TATCACATGTAAATAACAGTAATATGCAGGACCAAGTTATATTTGTAATTACAATATATTATTGTATAATAGATTGTATATTGAATACAGCTCAAATGAATTCTTCAAAGATATACAGTGTATTTTGATATGAAATATAAGTGGATCAAGCAACGAGTAAACTTTTTGACAGAATATTAGTGAGAGTAGCTTTACTTGAGGCGATATGGAGCGTCAACACTTTGGCTCTGTCCTCGTCAAAATATTGCAAAAGGACAATAAAATTCTGTCCACATTTGTTTGTGGACACGTCAATATTTAAGAAAAAGGTTTCCCTATCAAGTTTGAGTGCACAGTGCACTTCGATCAACTGCAAATGATTTAAATAAATCTACCAGCGGTAGTAACCTGGCAAGAGCCAGATTGATGATTGTGTAGAACTATAACGCGTTCTCCACGATATCAATCTGGGATTTCTCCCGGAGAATCCTTTCGGGGAAAGGAGGGATAAGCAGCAGAATACTTGAAGCTGATTGGGCGAAGTGACGCTGTGTGCCCGCCTACCAAGGTTGCCGTCCAGAAATGCACAAAGCGCCTCTCGCTGTTCATCTTTCAAAAAAGAAATTGGAGATTCTGCTAAAACTGACTTGATAGCCTCAGCTACGCGTCCGTCCTCCTGCGTAGCCATGTTTGTTTTGCTTCGGCCCGGCACTTCTTGCTTTCGTCAAACCCGGATATCCCGCCCTAAACCCCCAGACTGGCGCGTGATTGGCTCGCACACCCAGTGGTTCGACTCGAAAAGTGTAAGCGGGAGCGGTACAAGATGTATTCTCGAGTGTTTGTGAACTCACAAATACCGCGAGAATTCAGCTTGCAGGCAAGGTTACAGCGGTAGTGATATTCTGAACGTTATTTTCTGCGATAAAGCCACAGACACGGTCTGCCATAGCAAGCCTAGTGTTAGTTGTTGCTGATGCACCAGGTAAAGATGAAGTGTGGGAAAGTGCACAAACAGCTGCCTTGTGCGCAGTTTTGAGCTGGTGGCGAATCAAAACTTTTTTCTCATTACTCCCATATATGCAATTTTTTATGGCAAAGTACGCACAAGCACCGGCCACTTTCATCTTTTCGCACCATGACTCATTGATTGGCTCTTTTACATCACGCTGAGTTTTGCAAGAAGATCGCAAACAAGACAATATCAAAAGCTCACCAAGACATGTTTGTCCCCATTCCCAGTTGCAGCAAAGTCCGTTTTGTACATTCCGTTAAGTAAAATAGCATTGCGTTTGGTAAACGTTAATTACCTTTCCTCTATTACGCGCCCAGCTTACCAGTCCGCGGATCTGCTGCTGTTATTGCTCCGTTCGAGATTCAATTTTCCTCCTCTTCTCCTTTTCAAAAGCTCCGTGCAGTTTCCAGAAACTTTCACCTCCGTGTTACCAATGCTAACTTCATCGCGTCTTCATTTGCGCGTGAGCTCAGCTACGTCCCATTGCCTTGATTCATTTGCGGAGCGCTCATGTGGCCACGGCACGTTCAAGGCCCACTCGTGATTATATTACTTATTATTTCTATATACATATAAATAGAATTATATTCAAATTATTATTATACATATATATATATATATATATATATATATATATATATATATATATATATATATATATATAAACAGATTCACACGTATATGTATTACTATATATTATTTTTATAATCAATCATTTCATTGTGTGTATTATTATCATTATATATATATATATATATATATATATATATATATTTTTTTTTTTTTTCCAGACCAATTTCATTTGACGGAAATCCGTCACCTAGACGGAACTCTTTAATCCCTGCCCTATCCACACACACTTCCTCCAGCTCGTCCGCGGGGGAGCTATTATTGTTTCAATAATATTTGTGTGTGCGTAAAAAGATTTGCGCGTGCGTAACCAAATTTGTGTGTGCGTAACCAGATTTGTGTGCACGTTAATGAAATATTTGTGCGTGTTTGAATAGATTTGTATGTACGTATCAAGATTTGTGTGTTTGTAATTTGACATTTGTATCTGTAACAGAACAATCTGTGTGTAAATAACCACGTTGTACGAAGAGAAGAACGGAAAAAAGCCTAAGTGCTACACACAGAATCTGTTTTACACACAAATCTCTTTTTGACACACCTCTGCCGCCAAGCGTGTGTCAAAAAGATTTGTAAGTGTAATGTGGTTGTTCTAGCAGTACACCAGCAGATGGTGCTGTTGTAGCTGGTTATTACCTCAGGCTACAAGCAAGCAAACCAGCAAAGTTTGTGGCATTAAAGTGTAGATTTGAAGAAAACCAAAGGATTTAAGAAGAAGAAAAGTTCAGGATGATAAGGGACACTAAAATTCCCACAAAATCCGACCTTTATGAAAGCTGTAGGTTCTCTGTCAGCTGAGGTCGCGCTGTTTTAGTTTACATTGAGTTCTAGGGGGTAAATCTCTGTGTAGCCCACGTGAATTTAGTCTGCAGTAGAATCCTTCAGCTCCAAGCTAGTAACAGCCTATCCAGTTATTATAATAGATCCATGTATCATACAGTGGTGTGAATTACAGGATTTTGAATATAGGAAAAAAATATCACAAACAGCTGCGGTAGTGTGTCTTGTCAAGGCAGTAGGTTTTGGTTTGCTTGCGTGTAGGTAATAACCAGCTACAACAGCACCATCTGCTGGTGTACTGCTAGAACAACCACATTACACTTACAAATCTTTTTGACACACGCTTGGCGGCAGAGGTGTGTCAAAAAGAGATTTGTGTGTAAAACAGAGCCTGTGCGTTTTTCCGTTCTTTTCTTCTTACAATGTTGTTTACACACAGATTGTTCTGTTGCAGATACAAATGTCAAATTACACACACACAAATCCGTTTACGCACGCACACAGTCCAAGTTACACTTGCGAATCTGCGAAGGCAGGACAAATCAAAAGATTCGTGTGTAAAAAAAAATTTTGTGTGTAAAACGTACTTTTTTTTTTTTTACATACAAATCTTTCTACGCACACACAAATCTTTTTAATAGCTCCATATTGTTCACGTATTCACGACGTCTTGTCCTCTTTCCTACTGTTCTGTAACTTGTGATGCAACACTGAAATTTCCCCACTGTGCGACGAATAAAGGGTCTCTTAATCCCTCTCGTCTGTATTATATTGTTTTGATCCCGTATGCGCTCGTTCTTATTGTGTTTTGCTAACACAATAATGTCTGATGTCCAGTGAAATTCGACGCTGCTGTGTTTGTTTGGCTCCAGATAACGACTCCTACAGCAGCAGCAGCACTCAGAACCACTCAGAACAACTCAGACCATTAGACTTAGGCCCAGTTTATACATAGGCGCTGCGCAGATGTTGCCAAGCTATGAACAAAAACGACCAGGCTCCTAATGCAAATTTCACAGCGTGCAGGATCAAAAACTACAGTGCCTTGCGAAAGTATTCGGCCCCCGTGAACCTTTCAACATTTCGCCACATTTCAGGCTTCAAACATAAAGATACAAAAATTAAATATTTTGTCAAGAATCAACAACAAGTGAGACACAATCGTTAAGTGGAACGAAATGTACTGGATAATTTAAACTTTTTTAACAAATAAAAAACGGAAAAGTGGGACGTGCAATATTATTTGGCCCCCTTGCGCTAATACTTTGTAGCGCCACCTTTTGGTGCAATTACAGCTGCAAGTCGCTTGGGGTATGTCTCTATCAGTTTTGCACATCGAGAGACTGGAATTCTTGCCCATTCTTCCTTGCAAAACAGCTCGAGCTCAGTGAGGTTGGATGGAGAGCGTTTGTGAACAGCAGTCTTCAGCTCTTTCCACAGATTCTCGATTGGATTCAGGTCTGGACTTTGACTTGGCCATTCTAACACCTGGATACGTCTATTTGTGAACCATTCCATTGTAGATTTGGCTTTTTGTTTTGGATCATTGTCCTGTTGGAAGATAAATCTCCGTCCCAGTCTCAGGTCTTTTGCAGACTCCAACAGGTTTTCTTCCAGAATGGTCCTGTATTTGGCTCCATCCATCTTCCCATCAATTTTAGCCATCTTCCCTGTCCCTGCTGAAGAAAAGCAGGCCCAAACCATGATGCTGCCACCACCATGTTTGACAGTGGGGATGGTGTGTTCAGACCTTTTCACACCTTATCTGAGCTGTCCCACTCTGAGGCCAACCTTTGTGAACCTCTGTTCAAACCTCTGTTGTGGTTTGAACAGATTGTGACTGCATTAAAACATTATTCTCCGATGGGACAAAGGAAAAGTATCTTGGTTTAAAAAGATACAGAAATGAGAAAATAAAGCAAGTTTTTGAAATCAGACTAAATGTTTTTGTCCCGTTGGAAAATCTGCTTTTAACACAGAATGTGTCGGATTAAGATACAAACTCTTGATTCAAGCATTTTTGACCTCATATTGTATCATTTTTTGTAGTGTAAATATCACTAGTTCTTATAAAAGTATAATGTAATGTGTTTATCCATATTTTATGCTAAATTAATTTCACATTTAATTATTCTCAAGATTGTGTCAGTCTGTAATATTACGTCCGGGGTTTTTAACATGACTTTGAACATGGAGTCTTTCTAAAGATTTGATTTAATCCTTTAGATAAGTTGTAAGTACACACCGTAAGTACACCCCGTAAGTACACACACTTATTTACACACACACATACTTTTGTTGGCTGAACCAACAACATACAGCTATTCAAAAGGATGAGAGAAAAACATGAGATAGTGAAAGTACAGAAGGGGCAAAGTTGTTGTCGTCTGTCTCACTGTAAACATCTGTGTATCAACATCTGTGTATCAACATCTGTGTATCAACATCTATGTATCAACATCTGTGTATCAACACCTGTGTATCAACACCTGTGTAACAACTTGACTTTAAAACACACGTCTCTCTCGTTGTCGTCGGTGTTGTTGCTAACGTCGCTCTCTCGCTCAGGTCCCTATGGTTGAAGCCGCCGCCGTGTGCCATGCCTCCCGCCATGACGGACCTGGTGGACATCTGGGCCTCGCACTCGCCGCTGTCTGGTCATGCTCCGGCTCAGATCTCCGTGGACTTCCTCCTGCCCACCGGCATCTACATCCAAATGGAAGTGCCGCGAGAGGCCACCATTCAGCACATCAAGCTGGTCAGTCCTCAGCCCGCGTCATGGGACGGTCCACAGGGGCTGTAGATGGGGCCAGAGATGTTTGGCTAAAGGCACAGGCCCAGGTGTCCGATAAGTTAAAGGCACGGCAAAAGCTGGCAAATCATAAACAAACAACAGTTGCTGCTAATAAAGGCAAGGCAAGTTTTCTTTGTATAGCACAGTTCATTCACAAGGAAACTCAAAATGCTGAACCAAACAATGTAGAAACAATTACACAAGGATTCAAATCAAAAGCAATTACGGTCATTCAAAAGGAGTGAAGATACAATTCTTCACTTTTAGCACAGCTAAACAGAACTGTTTTTAACCTGTATTTGAACACTGTCAGAAGAAGTTTGTCTCACATTTTTAGGAAGAATATTCCAATTTTTAGCTGCATGAATCTAAAACACTGCCAATGTTTATTCCTGACTCTGGGACCAGCAGGAGGCCAGTCCCTGTGCTCCTCTGAGTCCCAGCAGGAGGCCAGTCCCTGTGCTCTTCAGGGTCCCAGCAGGAGACCAGTCCCTGTGCTCTTCAGGGTCCCAGCAGGAGGCCAGTCCCTGTGCTCTTCAGGGTCCCAGCAGGAGGCCAGTCCCTGTGCTCTTCAGGGTCCCAGCAGGAGGCCAGTCCCTGTGCTCTTCAGGGTCCCAGCAGGAGGCCAGTCCCTGTGCTCTTCAGGGTCCCAGCAGGAGGCCAGTCCCTGTGCTCTTCAGGGTCCCAGCAGGAGGCCAGTCCCTGTGCTCTTCAGGGTCCCAGCAGGAGGCCAGTCCCTGTGCTCTTCAGGGTCCCAGCAGGAGGCCAGTCCCTGTGCTCTTCAGGGTCCCTGCAGGAGGCCAGTCCCTGTGCTCTTCAGGGTCCCTGCAGGAGGCCAGTCCCTGTGCTCTTCAGGGTCCCTGCAGGAGGCCAGTCCCTGTGCTCTTCAGGGTCCCTGCAGGAGGCCAGTCCCTGTGCTCTTCAGGGTCCCTGCAGGAGGCCAGTCCCTGTGCTCTTCAGGGTCCCTGCAGGAGGCCAGTCCCTGTGCTCTTCAGAGTCCCAGCAGGAGAAAGTGGTTTGTAAGAATCTGATGCACTGACTCAAAACTGACATCAGGGGGTTTTTTTTGAAAAAAAAAATAAAAGTTAAATTTTCACAATTACAGAATTTTAGATTTGAACTGTTTTCATAGGAAACCTTCACAGGGAGAACATCCACTCAGAAAGCCCTTCATACTTTGTAACATTTTAAAATAATAATACTGGGAAAATGGAGACGCAACATTTCAATATTTGATTTTATTTAGTGATGCAGCATTTCAAACACAACACATATAATACAATAAAAACTATAAACATGTAACGTACTAGAACAGTTTGCTCCCTCAGATCCCACGCCACATCCACAGTTACATTCAGAAAACATCAATTCTGTGGACAATTAACAGTCCAAATACACAGCAGCAGGAAGAATCATGCAGCTTCAAATGTACAAACACTTTTTACTAAATAAAATCAGAATCAGAATCATTTTTATTGCCACTTAAGTAACAGGAGGTCACAGACTAGGAAATTGCTTTGGCTCAGTGCAACAGTCAAAAAGAGATAATAAAAATAAGAATAAAAAACACTTCTAAAGAATAAATTTAAATTTAAAATAGAGTTACAGTTACTATTTACAATATACAAGTGCACATGGTGCACACAATGTAAGGTGACAGCAGTACAGTGAAGTAAAGTGACGTATGATGGGCAGTAAAGTGACTTTATAAAGGGCGGGGGGACAGGTTAAGAAGTGTTCAAGAATCCAACAGCAGAGGGGAAGAAACTGTTCTTGTGGCGGGAGGTTCTAGTCCTGATGGACCGCAGTCTCCTGCCTGAGGGGAGTGGTTGGAATAGTCCATGTGCAGGGTGAGAGGGGTCGGCTGTGATACGACCAGCCCGGCCTCGAGCTCGGGCGACGTACAGGTCCTGCAGCGATGGAAGGCTGCGGCCGATCACTTCCTCTGCAGAGCGCACAATGCGCTGTAGTCTCTGTTTGTCCCTGACTGTGGCTCCAGCGAACCACACGGTGACGGAGGAGGTGAGGATGGACTCGATGATGGCCGTGTAGAACTGCACCAACATCTGTGCAGGCAGCTTGGCTTTCCTGAGCTGCCGCAGGAAGTACATCCTCTGCTGGGCCTTATTGATGAGGGAGTTGATGGTCGGCTCCCACTTGAGGTCCTGGGTGATGGTGGTGCCCAGGAAACGGAAGGACTCCACAGAGGTGATGGGGGAGTCCATCACGGAGGGTGGGGGCGGGGGGACAGTGCTCTTCCTGAAGTCCACAATTATCTCCACTGTCTTCTGGGCGTTCAGCTCCAGGTTGTTACCACTGCACCAGGACACCAGCCAGTCCACCTCCCTCCTGTAGGCGGACTCATCGTTGTTGGAGATGAGTCCAATGAGGGTGGTGTCGTCCGCGAACTTGATCAGCTTCACGGAGTCGTGGCTGGAGGTGCAGTGGTTGGTGTACAGGAAGAAGAGCAGGGGAGAAGGAACACAGCCCTGTGGGGCTCCTGTATTTATAATCCGAGAGTCAGAGACATTCTTCCCCAGACGCACTCGCTGCTTCCTGTCCGTCAGGAAGTCAGTGATCCACCTGCAGGTGGAATCGGGCACGTTGAGCTGGGAGAGCTTGTCCTGGAGCAGGGATGGCAGGATTGTGTTGAAGGCAGAGCTGAAGTCCACGAACAGGACCCTGGCATAGGTCCCCGGGGAGTCCAGGTGCTGTAGGATGTGGTGGAGGGCCAGGTTAATGGCGTCGTCTACAGATCTGTTGGCTCTGTAGGCGAACTGCAGGGGGTCCAGGAGGGGGGAGGTGAGGGACTTGAGATGGGAGAGAACCAGGCGTTCAAATGACTTCATGACGACAGACGTAAGTGCTACAGGTCTGTAGTCATTGAGTCCTGTGATCCTGGGCTTCTTCGGGACGGGGACAATGATGGAGGATTTGAAGCAGGCCAGGACATGGCAGGACTGCAGAGAGGTGTTGAAAATGTCCGTGAACACAGGAGTAAGCTCACTGGCGCAGTGTCTCAGAGTGGCCGGAGACACGTGGTCCGGGCCAGGAGCTTTGCGGGGGTGCAGCCTCAAGAAGAGTTGTTTAATCTCTTTAGCGGCTATTGTTAGGCTGGGGGCAGGGCTGATGGGTGGGTCGTTAGAGTAGTGGGGGGTGGGGGAGGGAGAGGTGTCAGGGGCAGCATCAAAGCGACTGAAAAATAAGTTCAGTTCGTCAGCTAGCTTGTTGTCGTCAGCACAGGGGGGGGCTTTGGGTTTGTAGTTGGCGATGTCCCGTAGGCCCCTCCAGACAGAAGCAGTATCGTTGTTACCAAACTGCTCCTGTAGTCGTTCTCTGTGCCGGGACTTGGCTGCTTTCAGTTCTTTCCTGAACTGATATTTAGCTGCTTTGTAGCCGCTGCGGTCCCCCTCCCTGAAAGCAGACTCCTTTGCTTTTCTGAGCTGCCGGAGTTTAGCAGTGAACCAGGGTTTGTCGTTGTTATAGATGACCCTGGTCCTTGTTGGAATTATGCTATCCTCGCAGAAGTGGATGTATGACATCACAGTGTCCGTATATTCATCCAAACTATCTGTGGCAGCTCTGAAAAGGTCCCAGTCTGTAGATTCCATGCATGCGCGCAGCTCTTCCACAGCTTCATCAGACCACACTTTGGAGCTCCTCACTGCAGGTTTCAAGAGCTTTAGTCTCTGTCTGTAAGCAGGAACCAGATGTATCATGGAGTGATCTGAGAAGCCGAGGGCTGGCTTGGGAACAGCGCGAAAAGCTCCGCGCACGGTGGTGTAACAGTGATCCAGAGTGTTCTCCTCTCTGGTCGGGCATGTGATAAACTGTCTGTATTTGGGTAATTCCTGGCTCAAGTTTCCCTTATTAAAATCCCCCAGGATAATAATCAGAGAGTCCGGGTATAAACGTTCCATACACAGTACTTGCTCTGCGAGTGCGCGCTGAGCCTCGCGCGCGTCCGCGCATGGCGGTATGTAAACAGAGGCAAGAATGAATGAAACAATTTCACGCGGGGAGTAAAATGGTTTACAATGGATAAAAAGATATTCCAGAGCAGGAGAGCAGTGCTTGGAGATCACTGTCACATCGTTACACCAGTTTGTATTGACGTAGAAACACAGTCCTCCGCCTCTGCTCTTTCCTGAGAGCGCACAATGGCGATCCGCGCGGAACAGCCAAAAGCCCTGCAGCTCCAGAGCGCATTCCGGGATTCGCTCATTTAGCCAGGTCTCAGTGAAGCAGAGGACACAGGATGAGGCGAAGTCCTTGTTTCTTCTCATGAGCAGGCTGAGTTCGTCCATCTTATTGCCCAGTGAGCGTACGTTGGAGAGAAAAATGCCGGGGAGAGCCGTGCGCGCTCCTCTCCTCCTAAGGTCTGTTTCACACCGCACACGAATTCGTGAACAAATTCGTCTTCGAAACCCGCTCGCGTGCATTCGCAAGCTGCGCTTCAAGTCGCGTCCTGTTGTGCAAATGAGAAAGCTCTTCTGTGTACAGACCGGCGCTGAGGCGGCGCGCAGGGAATCGGCGCGCGCCGCTGCCGCCTCTGCTCCTGAAACCAAAAATGGAACTCGAGCGCATTTTTTCCGCGTGTAGGCTGCGCAGCGAAGCGGCTTTCAGCACAAAAATATTCAAAAAATAACTTTTATAAAGCAATTTCACGTTTATCTTATCTCATTATTGTAATGCATAAGTACATATAAGTTTATTCTTTTAATTACACAATTTTCCATGTCATACTTTTTTTGTATGCATAAAATATAATTGTAACATATATTATATATATATAATAATATATATATATATAATATATATATATATATATATATATTATAATTATAACCTAACCTTAACCCCCATGGAGATCCAGGCCGCCCCCACGCCTGCACATAGCCCCCCTGGAGATCCAGGCCTTCCCCACACCTAACCTTAACCCCCATGGCGATCCAGGCCTTCCCCACACCTTATAATTAACTATGATAATGAAACGACAATCAAAATAGGCTATAAGATACATTATAAGGAAATGTTAGCAATTTATTTAAGGTCTACATGTGCTATTTTGATTTCTGACCTGTTATTTCAGACGCCGAGCGCAGAGCCGAGCGCCCTTTCCAGCCGAACTACCTCGCGGCGAGCGCATGTATTCAGACTGACGCCGAGCGTGGGCGAAGCGCCTAGACGAGTAGCACGCACAAAAGGAGTAGTATTGTACTCCAAACTAATAAACATGTTGTATATTTACATATGTTGTCTGAAATAACAGGTCAGAAATCAAAATAGCACATGTAGACCTTAAATAAATTGCTAACATTTCCTTATAATGTATCTTATAGCCTATTTTGATTGTCGTTTCATTATCATAGTTAATTATAAGGTGTGGGGAAGGCCTGGATCTCCATGGGGGTTAAGGTTAGGTGTGGGGAAGGCCTGGATCTCCATGTGGGTTAAGGTTAGGTGTGGGGAAGGCCTGGATCTCCAGGGGGGCTATGTGCAGGCGTGGGGGCGGCGACAGTAGCTCAGTTGGTAGAGCATTGGCCTTAAGCCCAGAAGGTTGTGGGTTCAATCCCCACCTCTGCACCTTCTCCACCGACTCCCACTGATGACTGCTGTCGTTGTGTCCTTGGGCAAGACACTTAACCCCACTTTGCCCAAAAGCTCCCACTGAAAGATCAAGGCTATGCTCACACTCAGAGAGCAGCCATCCTCCTGTGGACTCACCACCTGCAGAGGGTCAGTGAGGGGCTGGTGCTATGAGACTTGGGTGGCATCTCTGACTGCCACCCCCCTGACCCAGAAATGGATTAAAGGGTAGAAAATGGATGGATGGATATATATATATTTATTATATATATAATATATGTTACAATTATATTTTATGCATAAAAAAAAAGTATGATGACTTATATGTACTTATGCATTACAATAATGAGATTAGATAAACGTGAAATTGCTTTATAAAAGTTATTTTTTGAATATTTTCGTGCTGAAAGCCGCTTCGCTGCGCAGCCTACACGCGGAAAAAATGCGCTCGAGTTCCATTTTTGGTTTCAGGAGCGGAGGCGGCAGCGGCGCGCGCCGATTCCCTGCGCGCCGCCTCAGCGCCGGTCTGTACACAGCAGAGCTTTCGCATTTGCACAACAGGACGCGACTTGAAGCGCAGCTTGCGAATGCACGCGAGCGGGTTTCGAAGACGAATTCGTTCACGAATTCGTGTGCGGTGTGAAACAGGCCTTACATTGGCGCACACAGCTAGATACGGACCCGCTCGTCACATCGTGCAAATAGGGATTAAAATAGCGTTATGAAGAGACCTCCCCTCTCCCCCTTTTCTCTTTTTTAACCGACAGCTTTGACCGGTTAACGCTGTGACGGTCAACCACCGGTTAAACGGTCACCGATTTACATCCCTAATTCTTAGTTTCTAAAATCATGTGTTTGTTTTCGATTCAAAGCCTCTGTCCCTGATCCTACATGTTACTATCACACATCACTGAGGCTAAGAATGTGCCGAGAGACTGATAAATATTCTTCTGTGATCTCTGACTCGGTCTCGGATGTAGTGAAGAACAAACTCGTGAACGGCTGAATCCAAGGAAGTGAGTTTATCCTGGAGCGAGTTTGTGTTTTATATCATAAGATCTTTCTCTGAATTCACTCTGGTCATGTTTGTTTGTGAGAAAAGCTTTGATAAACTGACTGAGTGGAACTGGAGAATTTCCACTTTCTCGACTATTACTCTAAAAACAATTCCATAAAACTTCCTAGGGTACTCCGGTTTCCCCTACCACTAATAACATGCTCACTAGGTAAAATCCTCCAGCTCTGGTCCTGACCAAGCCGAGCATCAACATCTGGAGATGGGTTCCCGGACGCTGTTACTACGGCGACGACTGCTCCAGACGTCAGCCTTTGCGGCATCAGGATGGGTCAAATGCAGAGGATTGAATTGCCCTTTTATTAATCCCCGTAGGATTGATAAAAGCGCACCTTTAAGAGACTGAAGGTCACAGATGACGCTCTCTTTGTTTCTGGACCAAAAACAATCATTTCAGTTTTGTCTGTGTTTAGCTGAAGGAAGTTGTTTTGCATCCACTCACTGATCTATATAAATAACCCTTACTAACTTCCTTTGTGTTGTGTGTGTGCAGCTGTTGTGGAAGCAGGCGCAGTCCTTCCCTCTGTTCCCGGCCCTGGGGGAGATGGAGAGCCACATGTTTGAGTGTGTGAACCAGGCCGCGGTGCACGAGGAGCTGGAGGACGAGACCCGCCGACTCTGTGACGTCCGACCCTTTTTACCGGTCCTTAAACTCATCACACGCAACTGTGGCCGAGCCGAGAGGCTGCTGGACTCCAAGATCGGGGTCCTCATCGGGAAAGGTGAGATTAAACCATAGACTGTATATATAAACGGACGTAGTCACGCCTATCTCCGCCGTTCGAACTAATGGGCCAAACATTGGGCTTTCATGGAGTGATTCAAAATTTCTGCGGGGGCTGGAAAATGTGAAAAAACAGATATGTCCTCAGGCTAATGCTAAAGCAGATATTTCCTCGGGCTAATGCTAAAGCAGATATGTCCTCGGGCTAATGCTAAAGCAGATATGTCCTCAGGCTAATGCTAAAGCAGATATGTCCTCGGGCTAATGCTAAAGCAGATATTTCCTCGGGCTAATGCTAAAGCAGATATGTCCTCAGGCTAATGCTAAAGCAGATATGTCCTCAGGCCAATGCTAAAGCAGATATGTCAGCAGCTACATCCACTTTTTGGAGAATTTAACCATATTAAAGGTTTATAGGAGGATTTTCCCAAACTTTAGGAAAGAACCGCCCTCTCCACTTTCTGAACAAAACACAAGATAAATGAACACAGCTCTGTTCTCTGTACTTAACTCTCTACTAAATAAAATAACGTAAAATGAATTCTCTATCTTTAGCGTAATAATGGAGCAGTCTATAATCTCCAACTTTAGCAGAATGAACAAGCAAGAATTAAGAACAGATACATTTTGCTACTTTGACATTTTGGAGAACTGTCAATGCTGTTTTAATCAAAGCCAAAGTCAAGAATTTAACCAGAAAAATTAAATTAAAATTAAAAAATCCTTTATGTGTCCCACAGTGGGGAAAGTTCAGTGTTGCATCACCGGTTACAGTAGAATGAGGAGCACACCGCACAAGATACATTAATAACTCTGTAATTAAATTAAAATTAGCTTTAGCGAAATAAAAAAGCCATTCTATTATCTCCAAGTTTAGCATAATGAAGACCAAGACTTGGGTATAAAATCTCTGACTTTAGCAGAATAAAGAAGTAAGTATAAAACATATTACTAAATTGTTCCCAGACCTGGAGTTGTTTTTAGATCCGTCCATGTCAAAGAGCCCAGAAATAAGTGTAAAAACAAGTGACAAGGAACTATTTCAATGGATTATTTTACTTGTTTCATGTTTATATGATTTGAATGTGAAGTCCCCAGCTTTACTTGCAGATTAGTAAAACTCTGAATGTTCCAACTCAAACGGTCGTCTGCTTTGATGACGGAAAAGAAAAGATACATTTGATCTAAATGAGTTTCCGCCGCACAGTGACTGGGCGTTCACTTTGGAATCCGTTTATTTTCCCTTTACAGTTAAAACCTCATTAGTCACAGTCCTCAGATGTGATGTGGAGCTCGGTCACACAGGGGAGCTCAGAGTATAGCCACTGCTCCTCCATGTCGAGAGGCAGCTGAGATTTACTCTGGGCATCAGTTTCAGATCCTCTCGTATAAACAATGCATTATCAGATATATGTACAGCCCACTACAAATATAACTTAATTGTTGAGACTGATGTCTGTTGTCATTGTGTCCTTGGGCAATACACAGAATTGGATTAATGTGAGGACGATAAATGGGTGGATGTTTGAAGGTTTACATTCGTCGGCTGTGATTGTGAAAAGAAAATACTATAGGAAAACCAAACATTACATTTACATTTGTAGTTTTAAATGACACTTTTCCCTCCAGTCCTGTGTTACTACAATGTCTTGTGAGTCCTTTGTTAAAGAACTTAAAGCTGCACTAACTGACTTTTTGTATTCATTACGAAAATGCTATCCATGTCCATGTAGTGCATTGGAATATACGTCCTTTTTATATTTTAGATTGAGTTTTGATGAAACAAGGAAGAGATGTGTTTTGGGTCGCAGATTGTGACCAATCACAGCGGACCACTAGCCCCCACATTCGTGAGAAATCTACAGGTCTGTTAGCATAGACAGCTGAGTTAGCACAACAAGCGGCGGAGCTAACCCGAAGCTTTGTGTGTCTTCGTCACCGGTTACTGCTTACACAGCGAAACAGCCATCCAAAAGAAAGTCTCGTTCCCCCGCGCTTCCCGGTTCTATCGTTCTATGGTCACGCCATCCACGTGCAAATCCATGTCCATGTATTATCCATATTGGGAGACGCTAGCTCCGTCCCAACAGTGAGTGTGTGTGGGGGGCGATAGCTTCGTGGGTGCGGGGAGGGGAGGAGAAAGAGAGAGGCCAGCGAGTCCGCGGCTTCAAAATCCCAAAGTCAGTTAGTGCAGCTTTAAAACCAATAAAACCTCACCTGCTTCAGTGAAAGTCCATAACCGTGATTTATATCTGTAATAATTGGCTCCGGTCTACCTCCGGTCTGGCCCCGCTCTAGTCTGGCTCCGGTCTACCTCCCGTCTAGCTCCGGTCTGGGCTCATGCAGAAGCGTGAATATGGTGTTGACAACTTCCTGATAACTTCCCGTCACTTTGTGTTATCTGCGGTGACGATGCAGCCCCCGGAGCAAATGTGATTGATCCAAACGTATGCGGCCGCGGAGACACGGTCCTAGCTTCTTCTGGTCAATGCTAGCATAGCCCCAAACAATACAAAAAAAACTCAAACTACAAGAATCTGAAACTACTCTAACGCCCAGAGCTAATAATGTTGACTGCTTTCATTCAAACCAATGGAAATCTGAGAAAGTATCCCCAGTACTAATTTGTTTTCCAGTACTCATTTGTTATAGGTGATAAAACTGGTGAATATAACTGTATATACAGCAAAAACAGTTTGTTGAAAGGATAATGCTAACGTGTGAGTAAATGGTGTGTTGCTATGGCGACCCTCACTCGCTCTTAAGGCACTACTCACGTCTTAGAAATATGAGATTTCTTTAAAATGACATGATACATGAACAATAACTCTATACTGAAATACAATAAAAACTAGCTTTAGAAGTATAAGCTAGCAAGTCTAATACCTTTAGCATAATGAAGACGAGACTTAGGTGTAAAATCTCAGAGCAGAATAAATAAAATCACAAAAGTATGAAGAACAAAATTCTACATATAAAAAGTGTTTTAAATGTCTTATCCAAACAACCCATGATTTATTTATAAAGATAAATCCTAAATATTATTCTACCATGGTCTGTGAGGATTCCAACAATAAACATTTGTTACACACTTAAATTCACGGGACCATGTTGTAGGCAGATAAAACAACAAGGAGCCGTGCATTATACAGTTATAATTATATCGTTTTAATTATACAGTCATAATTATCTAGTTATAATTATAGTTATAATTATACAGTTATAATGCACTTCTGTTGTCCTCCTCGTTGTTTAATCCTTACTTATACCACTGTATTTATGTAAATTGTATAATATTTCCAAATAAAGAGTTTTTTATTGAGTGACTGTTGTTGTTTTGGGCAGGTCTCCACGAGCTGGACGCCATCAACGACCAGGAGGTGAAGGACTTTCGCAGTAAGATGTTCCGTCTGAGTGAGGAGCGGATGCAGAAGGTCCAGATGATGAGCTGCACCGAGTGGCTGGAGGCCTCCTTCTCCCAGCAGCCCGAGACCGGACCGGGGCCAGGACTTGGACCCGGACCGGAACTGGTCAACGGAGTCCAGGACAGAACCGGGGACCTCAAAGTCACCATCCACTTCGCCCAGTCCCAGGTGGGTCTGCTGAACGCAACGGAGATGTAAAGGAAAAAGAATGTTATTTGTGATGTGTTGGGAGGAGTAGGGTCTGAGAGGGTTTGGGTCTGTGTCTGATCAGAGGCAGGAAGTGAGTTAGAGGTTGTGTTGTCAATGGTTGTGTTGAGTTGTGTTCAGAGGGATTGGAACCACAACACAGAGATTGGCCTGAGCAATCTGGGGAAAAAGTCCCAAAATCCCAATTTTTTAAACTTGGTTGAAGTGAGAATTACATGATGCTTTTATTTTATTTTAACCCGAACCCATGACCTTTAGGCTCAAAGGCCAATGCTCTACCAACTGAGCCACTGTCGCCTCATAAAGATCATAAATCTTTTAAGACAAGCAAGTTATAAATAATGTAATTTAACTGTGGAGAAATGCCCAAAACTAAAATGGAGGCAACACTTGTTTTAAAAGACAGAAATCGACTGCACTATGACACTTTCTGATTCATGGAGAGTTCAAAAACTGAACATTTAGACGGAAATCTGCATAAAACTTTTAAAGAACAATAGGAGTGGATAGGTGGTAGGTGACAATCTCAGACTAGATTTCTATAGTTTTTCTTTGCCGATGCTCGAGGGTTTGAGGACCTTATGGACCTTTGGATCCATGCGTTTATTATCACTGCCTTTCCTATGTTTGAACTGTCTCATTCTCTGATCTGTTTTAAGGTCCTCTGAGGTAAATATTGTTGTGATTTATGTGATATATTCCACAATAACTTGAATTGAAACTAAACTATTGGAACAATCTTGTCCCATGAAAACCTTCAGGCAGAACATTACTCCTTTAATATATTCTGTGGTGCTACTTTGAACACAGCTTAACTAACATTTAACAACTGCCACTTTGTCCACGTCATCGCCTCCACCACATGCTTCCAATGTCAAGGTCACCCCGTTTTTTCCTGATGAAAAACACTAACAGTTTATTCATGAATCCACATGTTTAAGGTCAGGACTGATCCGTGCGTCCCGAGGCTTCACAGAGTAGTATTTCCATATCTCAGTTATCTCTGAGTCTATTTTCACTTCTCAAATAACAATCTGTTCTGGATCAAAGGGGAAATCCAGCATGAGTTTGTTCTGTGGAGAATGTGTCTTAAATAACGTGGACAAAACCTCCTTGTTTTGTGTTTCCATGTGACTCACAAAACAACACGCACAAAGCATCACACACAAACTGCTGCTCTTGTATTTGGACGTCGTACTCATTTCACGTGACAGTCTCCATCTTGTGGGTCATGTGGCTCCAACTGGGTCAAAACCATCAGTGAAAATGTGCCACTACTAATGCTACTACTGCTACTACTGCTACTACTGCTAATGCTACTAATGCTACTACTACTGCTACTACTAATATTGCTAATGCTACTACTGCTGCTACTGCTACTACTGCTACTGCTACTACCACAGGTGTCTGACTGGGGGGGTAAAGGGTACCGAGCATGGCGCCGTAAAGATGGCGCCGTGGCAAGAGCTCTGGTGTGTGTGGTGCACACCGGGGTAGTCTTGCACAGTTTTTCCAATGTGGTTTTACTGCAAATGGCAAATAAATGAATCTGAATCTGAATCTGAGTACCCAGGGCACAATGCGGGGAGCATAGACTGTATATATTAACGAACAGAGTCACGCCTATCTCCGCCGTTCAAACTAATGGGCCAAAAAATGTGCTCTACTGGAGCACGTAAACTAGCATGGTCCAAAAAAATCCACCCCCCTCAGCATTGACACACATGTGGAACGGAGCTTTGGGCCAAGAGCCAACTTTTGGACCATCCTGTAAAGACGTTTTCGAGAGGTCTGCCAATGCAATATGTTAGCATTGGCTAATTCTTCTTCTGGGTCCACCCCCATCGGCCCGGGGTGGTATTGCAAGCATGTCAGCGCACGTCATTTTGGCCACTTTTGAGCCGGGACCCGCCCCCACTGGTGGGGAGGGGTGTCTATATATATAAGTGTGTCTATATCAGTGGTTTCGCTAGAGATCATTTCAGCCCGTCATAATGAAGGACAGGGTCCAAAAAAATCCGTCATGAGCTATTTTTATCCGTCATTTTATTTTCACGTTTGAAATACCCTATAGGCTATTAATTAAACAATTGTATAAACAAAAACAGGCTTTATAACGTGCTTTATTAGCTGTTCGTTTACAAATGTACAATACATTTAATTTGTGAATATATAAAGTTGCATAAAAATCGCTAAACAATCGACAACTCTGCGTAACATTTAACCTGCATTTACATGTGGAACAAACACGTACAGGAGTTTGCCTGAATGCGGTTATTAAACCTTCTTTCGCGGCTTTGTGGACTTAAAGTGAGCACTCGCCTGTTCATAATTGAATGTGTGCAGGGCTGGCGACACCGAGGCGATTGTCATTAGAGTTTGTGTTTTTGTCTCGGTCAGACGGCTTCGAAGTGCAGTTTTGATTTTATTTTGGAGACTGAAGCCGCGCTCAGCAGCGACACTTGACACAGGCGCTACTTCGGCCAGAGTTTTGTAGTCTGGGAACATCTCCGCGTATGTGTTGATGAGAAGCTTACAGGAGTCCTTAAATGGCGGGTTACCTGAACCTGCAAGCACACGTTTCACGGAGCGAAAGTCCCGTACCATCCTTTCCTTTTCAACGAGTGAGACCGCTGCATTTGTGGGCGCGCCATAAAAGTCAGAAAGGCGCTCGACAGCATCCAAGCCGTACTCCTGCAGCGCGCTGTTCGTGTATAAACGGCGCTGGCGCCATCTAGTGGAGAGGACGGTCAACTACGACTCGCAATGTAAAATTATAACTTAATTTTCAATCCTTCAAAATGACGGACGGCATTCCAAATTTTACGTCAGAAAAAAAAAAAATCCGTCAATGACGGAGAATTTTCAGTTAATGTAACCTCTGGTATATATATATATATATATATATATATATATATATATATATATATATATATATATATATATATATATATATATATATATATATATTACGCATTAATATAGCGGGGGCCCATCGAGTGTGTTTGTACCCGGGGCCCAGAATTTGGTGCTACTCCCTACTGCTACTGCTACTACTACTGCTAAGCACATAGTCATGCTTTTAAAGTCTATGCTGACCTAAACATTTTCTGGTGTATATAAGGAGCTCCCCTGTGATTGTACGACAGACTTCTGCTAGAGCCGACGGGAAGCTGCGTTGTGCTTGATCAGAATACGCTCAAACCTTCTGATAATAAAAACTCTATTTTGCAGTTTTGTCGAAGTCTCTTTTGTCTTACGTCTGGGATCTTTCACAATTTGGTGACCCCGACGTGATACAAAAGGCCCAAGACAAAGACAATTATTTTTATTTTTTCAAACACATTTTTTTTTTTTTTTTGCTCCGGACAGCGATTCATCTTCTCTGGTTTTGCAGAAGTCTCCGTAAAAGAGACAGCTCCACCACAAAGGTACAAAGTAGATCTACTCAAGGAAATTACAGATGCCTTTTCTAAAAATCTGTTAAATTGGTCTTACATCAAAAAATGTCAATGTGGTTGAGACTGGCTCTTTTATGATTCCTGTTTATATTGTAAATATATATATGCGCATTTTTTATAAAAGGATCGCCGCCGTTTTCAGGCTTTTTCGGCGTGAGAAGAATGTAAAAGTAGATAGAAGCCGTTTTTCAAGGTTTTTTCGGCAGAAGTAGAATTTAAAAAACGATTGTAGTATGCGCTGTTTTTTAGAGATTTTTTCAGCGTCAGAAGAAACAAAAAACGTGTTAATTCAAAGAACTGGTTATTTTTGATAAATAGTCTTAAGTAATTAGCGTAAGAAATTCAATAATTACATTTATATGTATGTACATAAAAAGTGGTAGTAGGAGTAGTAGGTTTAAGTGGTAAAAAGGTTTGTATACTTATTCCTTTGTAAAATATTTGTAAATTTTTCAAGTTCAGAATCATTATTAGTTGAAGAAACTATTCATTCTTTGTAAGTAACTATTCATTCTTTCCAAGCGGTGGCTTCTGCCCTAGTTTGATAAGCAGGCAGCGGCGATAAAGTTAACCATTAACCATTACCCAAATAAGTCCTGTGTGTTATCTCTCTTTTCCTCGGCGTGAGAGACCGGCATGCTGCGTCTGGGAGCAGAGATTCCAGCAGGCTGGGAAAGCTGTTCCTGCATGCTTCTTGTCGCTCTGTCACTTTTGTTTTTTAAATTGAATATTCAGACGCGGAAAAGAGGTTGTCAGACCTCTCGGACAGTCCTTGGGACCTGTTTGACAAGAATAAGGTAAGCAGACACCTTTTTATATATAAAGTCTGTATAATTGGATATTAGCTAAATTCTGGTATGTTTTTTGGGTCTGTCAAACTCTCTAAATTGTATTTGAAGAAGTCTCGGGGTTAGAATCCCTTTGAGAAGAAGATAGAGAAGAAGGATCCTTAGTGAAACCATGGTATAAAAGTAAAAGCAATTTAAAAAAGGGAAACGTGTTAAAGAGGCCTTTGTTACAAAAGCTTTGAAATTGACGAATTTCAGGTTGATAAATGACAAAAGTATAAACTACAACATCAGTTATATTTGCTTAAAAGTAATCTTGAAAGTTATTCTGATAAGGAATTCTGCTGTATGTCTGTGTGTGTGCGTCTCTCTCTCTCATGCTGCGTTGCCAGGGTAACCGCCCCCACCCTCGCGGCTCTGCTTTCTCTCTGCTCTTCTGCTCTGATTTAAAGGGGAAACGGCCCCCTCCTTTGCTATGCTCTGGCTCTGAATCAGGACAAACCTACTGCTTTAGGATTTCTGGCTTTTCATAGTTGTTTTTCCGTTAAATTTGCAAAATTTGCCATTTGAATATTGTGTTATGACACAGTTAAACGTTTTTAAACACCATTTAGTAAAAAGAAGTTTTGAATTAGTATGTTTTTTGAAACCCAAAGATTAGTGCTAAAGCTGTGCAATTTTTTTAGATCTAACATATTTCTAGATTCCATTCTTTTAAATCTGCTGCTTATTTCTTAACTGTTTGTGAGTTGTGTTTGTTTTTATGTTTTTATTTTAGTTACAAAAGCCGTTTTTCAAACATTTAAATTGGAATCTGTGTTAAAAGTTATTATTGATTATAGACTTCGTCTAAAAAAGAAAGAGGGAATTAGTATTATTAAGTTAAACTTCAAAAATGAAACCCAAGAACGCATAGATAATTAAACACACAGTACAAAAGTACATATTACATATTTTAAAGTTTAAAGGTTTTTTTGAGATTTGAGTCTTGTTTTTTTTATTAAGAGAGTTCCTGGTCTTAAAAATGTTATCAGTAGTAAGATAATAAGTAATCTATATTTACATAGCGCTTGGAAAGCCAAGAGCGCTCCAAAATTGTTTAGAATTAGAGAGAAAAAACAGTCTCATTCACATACTGATACTGTATCTATTGTTTTTAATTTGACTATAAGGTTGTGTTCCAGGACCAAGAGCACACACTGTACAGGGACACTGGACAGCCACGCCCACCCAAGCACAGGTCACAGGTCAAAGAGCAAAGGAAAATGCCACCTCCTTGCCCCTCCCCACGCCACTCCAGAACTGAGTGGGTGTGAGAGAGACCGGGGCCATGAAAGAGAGGTATCTGGAGACGTGATGGGTGGAGCGTCAGGTAGAGACCTAGAGGCAGTTGAAAGTGTGTCCACGTGGTTAAATCGACACAGTGTGACCTTTTAACGCAGGTGGTACGAGGAGTCTGGACACCCCAAAATTCACACATACATACACACATACATCTACACACACACATTCACATTTACATATAGATACATGAAAAAGCAGAACATGAGAAAAAAGCATTTTAAAAGTTTACTCCAATGTAAACACATATTTTTAATTGTCTATCACTTGAATCTTTAGTTGAATCAGTATTTTTTGAGACCAGAAATGTTCATTTGAATTCTATATTGTCATGGACTTAATTGATCTCTGTCCTGACACTTTTGATTTGTTGATTTTGTACTGTGTGAAGTAATTACATTGATGAGGATTAGATCTGATAAAAACACAAATTAGAGAAGTAAACTGCGCTTGCTTTTGTCTAAAGGGATATTAGCAACAGCATGAATAGAAATTGTCTTTAAAGTAGAATCAAAGTGACTTAACCATAGAGAGTAACTATTGCATAACAAGCTGTGTACAGGAACTGTGACACTGCACCATTGACCAGAAGTGCATCGCAAATGACCTGATGTGCTTCAAGTGAAAAGACTGTATCTGGAGATCCTGATGTGCATCTGGAGAGACCAAACCCATGGATTGGACCCTACTGATGTCCAAGATGACATCTCTCGAAATATGACTTGACCTGATGACGACTGAGACTCATCCTCAGGGGACCTGAGGATCTGAGGACCTTGGAGAGAAAAACTGGGGAGTGATGTTTATATTATTGAAATCATACATTGATGAGTGCTAAATGAGAGAGATACTCATGATTCTTTCTTTTGTTTTTGTTTGTCCTTAGCTTCTGGACATCTGATGATCTATTGGACACAGACATTTGCAGAACAAGAACCAGCCAATGAAAAACCGTCTATTGCCGATGCTATTGCTACAAACCAGAACCACAACTGTGACAAATGCAATATACATGTTAAGTATTCAGACATCAGACAGACAAAACTTTGACTTTTAGTCTGGGAGACTGAGCAACAGTTAAAATGTTTTAAAATGATAAAGTATGAGTATTGTAGTGTTTTAATAGTAGTAAAAAAGTAGAATTGTCCTTCCTTTGTTGTTCATAAACACATTTCCACATAAGAGTTAAAATAGTACCATACAATGTTATCTCTGATAGAGCAGATATAATATTAGAATCAGAGTTATTTTAGAGATATTAAAAGTAACAGAAGTTACAAACTAGGAATATGCCTTTGCTCAAGCTGAAAATGAGCTTTAGAGTCACAATAGAGTAAAAATAGGAATAGATAAATGCATCAACCATAGATGCTTTCAAAAATAGAGAATATTTCTAGCCATTGGTAATATCAAATGGTAAAGGGACCATTCCACAAACCTTTGCTTCAAAAGTAGATAAAGTTACTTACAGTTTTATGTACAGTTTTATTAGATACTTGCCAAATTCACTTGTGTTCAAACATCTGTGAATGTTGACAATACAAAAAGTTCATATGAGTGTAGTCTAGATTAATGCCTAGATCAATGAGATAGATTAGAACCAACAGAGATTTAAAAGCATTTTGATGCATTTGGGTATAGCACAAAAACAAAAAGTAGACATTTAGATATTGAGAAGTTTCCAGCACAGATTAGAGAATCAAACACCATTGTAGAATAATAACCAACCCCAAACCTGCTAAAATAGATTAGCTCTTGTAAGGATAATACTAATTTGATTAATGATTTACATTCATCCCAAACTGCCAGCACTTCCTGGTTCAACAAATGTATTTGGAAAACTGACTGCCATAATAATGTGCCACTGATAAGGAAAGTAAACCACAGAATAGAGAGATTTGTTGGATTGAAATGTATGTTTGAGAATGTGGCTCAATGGAAGCAAATATGCAAACATATTTGTAGGTGAATTGGAATAGTTTTAAACTATAGTGAATAGTAAAAGTAAAGTACACAGTGTAAGATTGAATAGTGAAAATAATACAGTAAAAATAAGTGAAGTGTAAATAATTAGCATTAGAATAAAAGTATAGAGTAAGAAAAGTGAAATTAGCTTCAAATTTGAGACTCAGCTCGTTTTTGTCTGTGTTTTGACTGAATCTGCTGAGTTCTTGTGTGTCCAATAGAGTTTGTTTTTGTTTGTTTTTATTTTTTGATTTGTTTTGATTTGTGATCACATGTGGATGTGATCAAGAGAGGGACTGTGAATATTTAATTATTCTTTGCTTGCTGAAATGTCATGTTAAACAGTTCAATAAGAGTTCACCTGTACTTTGAACTGCTTACAGAAGCATGGAGCAGATAAGGTGTTGATGTACATAACATGAGATAATGCTATCTCATGTACATTGGAGTTTGGTCCGTTACGCAACTTTGAAACCATACGCTTACTTCCCACATAGTCATGCTTTTAAAGTCTATGCTGACCTAAACATTTTCTGGTGTATATAAGGAGCTCCCCTGTGATTGTACGACAGACTTCTGAGGCCAGAGAAGATGGGGAAGCTGCGTTATGCTTGTTCAGAATACGCTCAAACCTTCTGATTAATAAAACTTTATTTTGTACGCAGTTTTGTAGAAGTCTCGTTTTTTGTCTTATGTCTGGGTATTTTTCACATTACTGTTTGTTTTTAAATCTTTGCATGGACAGGCCCTGATTACATCTCGGACCTCATCCAAATTTACACTCCTGCGCGCGCCCTGAGGTCCGAGAGCCAGCTCCAGCTCGTGGTCCCTAACGCAAGACTTAAAACCCGGGGGGACAGAGCCTTCTCTGTGGTCGGCCCTAAGCTCTGGAACGCTCTTCCCCTCCATGTCCGGACGGCCCCCACAGTAGAGTGTTTTAAGTCTCGTTTTAAGACCCACTTTTACTCTTCGGCTTTTAACACTGCGTGAGTTGTGTGGTCCTCTGTGTTTTTATTTTATTTTATTTCTATTTATGGTTTTAATCTGTTTTATATATTTTTATTCTTTTATACTTGGTGAAGCTAAGGATAAGTTTTTATTTATTTTATACTTTTTTGTGCAGCACTTTGGAAACGTAACTGTTGTTTAAACGTGCTTAAACGGGCCTCTGAATTTCTCCTACAAGGGTCAACAAAGTATATTTCTATCTGTCAAATTCATGATTTGTGTAGTGTATCACTGTGTTAATCTGTTTTTATGGACTTCACTTGATTTCACTTTTGTTATGTGTTGATATTTCCTGTTTTCTCTTTTTTTGTTCATGTTTTTATGACAAATTATTCATTTCCCAGTCGTGACTTCCTGTGACTTACATATAATAAAAATTATTCTGAAATAAAGTGCCTTTGATGTGATCATAAAGTGCCTCTGATGTGATAATAAAGTGCCTCTGATGTGATAATAAAGTGCCTCTTATGTGATAATAAAGTGCCTCTGATGTGATAATAAAGTGCCTCTTATGTGATAATAAAGTGCCTCTTATGTGATAATAAAGTGCCTCTTATGTGATAATAAATTGCTGTGAATCTGAAGCTAACCATAATCAGGGGTTTGTTCCCGGTGACAGTGAAGAGGTCATAATCGCAGGTGGTTGTTTTTTTGTGTCCCACACCTGCTGCTTTCGGTGCAGGTGGCTCCATAAGAACGGCCTCATTGTGACAACTGCATCATGTGGAGAGACAGGACCTGGACCAGGTCCTGTGCATGTGGGCGGAGTCAGGCTGTGCATATGGGCGGAGTCAGGCTAGGCTGTGCATGTGGGCGGAGTCAGGCAGTGCATGTGGGCGGAGTCAGGCTGTTCATGTGGGCGGAGTTAGGCTGTTCATGTGGGTGGAGTTAGGCTGTTCATGTGGGCGGAATCAGGCACAGGTGTTTAGACGTCCTTTAAGTCTCCCTGTAATAACTGAGTATAATTTGGTTCTTACGGAGGGCCCGCGTCTCTTCGGCGGCAGAGGCAGCGGTAACGGGCAAGTCTTCCGGCTCAGCACGGCTCCGATGGCACAGATTTCTTTGTCGAACAGTTCTTGGATGGAGCTGCTGTGGATCAGGGTGAGATGAGGCGCCTCTTTGGCCTGAACACACGTCCGGATGTACTGCAAGGACCACAACACACGACAGTCTGACTTTGGAGGAAATTAATAGAATAGAACTTTATCGTCTGTTCAATTGAGCAGAAATGTTTCTTTAAACACAACACATTTAAATGTCTTTCATTAAAACACACTTAAATACATTTAGCAAAGACACAGCAGTTCATTATTGTTCATTGTTCATTATTGTGCATCTGGCTGTTCCTACACCCGTGAGGAACTTATGAACATCCGACCCACCGTTCCCATGGACCTATTGCCTGTTTTCTTGGCATCTGCGGCTGATTTAGTCCATGTTCTAGCCAAAAAAGTGTGGGCCCGTAAAAGGGGAAAGCGCGGAGGCCTGCTCGTGCGTCTTAGAAGGAGAGGAACGCGCACGGCTCTCCCCGGCATTTTTCTCTCCAAAGTACGCTCACTGGGCAATAAGATGGACGAACTCGGTCTGCTCATGAGAAGAAACAAGGACTTCGCCACATCCTGTGTCCTCTGCTTCACTGAGACCTGGCTAAATGAGCGAATCCCGGAATGCGCTCTGGAGCTGCAGGGCTTTTAGCTGTTCCGCGCGGATCGCCATTGTGCGCTATCAGGGAAGAGCAGAGGCGGAGGACTGTGTTTCTACGTCAATACAAACTGGTGTAACGATGTGACAGTGATCTCCAAGCACTGTTCTCCTGCTCTGGAATATCTTTTCATTCATTGTAAACCATTTTACTCCCCTCGTGAATTTGTTTCATTCATTCTTGCCTCTGTTTACATACCGCCATGCGCGGACGCGCGCGAGGCTCAGAGCGCACTTGCAGAGCAAGTACTGTGTATGGAGCGTTTATACCCGGACTCTCTGATTATTATCCTGGGGGATTTTAACAAGGAAAACTTGAGCCAGGAATTACCCAAATACAGACAGTTCATCACATGCCCGACCAGAGAGGAGAACACTCTGGATCACTGTTACACCACCGTGCGCTGAGCTTTTCGCGCTGTTCCCAAGGCAGCCCTCGGCTTCTCAGATCACTCCATGATACATCTGGTTCCTGCTTACAGACAGAGACTAAAGCTCTCGAAACCTGCAGTGAGGAGCTCCAAAGTGTGTTCTTATGAAGCTGTGGAAGAGCTGCGCGCATGCATGGAATCTACAGACTGGGACCTTTTCAGAGCTGCCACAGACAGTTTGGATGAATACACGGACACTGTGACGTGATACATTCACTTCTGCGAGGATAGCATCATTCCAACAAGGACCAGGGTCATCTATAACAACGACAAACCCTGGTTCACTGCTAAACTCCGGCAGCTCAGAAAAGCAAAGGAGTCTGCTTTCAGGGAGGGGGACCGCCGCGGCTACAAAGCAGCTAAATATCAGTTCAGGAAAGAACTGAAAGCAGCCAAGTCCCGGCACAGAGAACGACTACAGGAGCAGTTTGGTAACAACGATACTGCTTCTGTCTGGAGGGGCCTATGGGATCACTAACTACAAGCCCAAAGCCCCCCCCTGTGCTGACGACCACAAGCTAGCTGACGAACTGAACTTTTTTTTCAGTCGCTTTGATGCTGCCCCTGACACCTCTCCCTCCCCCACCCCCCACTACTCTAACGACCTACCCATCAGCCCTGCCCCCAGCCTGACAATAGCCTCTAAAGATATTAAACAACTCTTCTTGAGGCTGCACCCCCCAAAGCTCCTGGCCCGGACCACGTGTCTCCGGCCACTCTGAGACACTGCGCCAGTGAGCTTACTCCTGTGTTCACTGACATTTTCAACACCTCTCTGCAGTCCTGCCATGTCCTGGCCTGCTTCAAATCCTCCATCATTGTCCCCGTCCCGAAGAAGCCCAGGATCACAGGCTTCAACGACTACAGACCTGTAGCACTTACGTCTGTCGTCATGAAGTCATTTGAACGCCTGGTCCTCTCCCATCTCAAGTACCTCACCTCCCCCCTCCTGGACCCCCTGCAGTTCGCCTACAGAGCCAACAGATCTGTAGACGACGCCATTAACCTGGCCCTCCACCACATCCTACAGCACCTGGACTCCCCGGGGACCTACGCCACGGTCCTGTTCGTGGACTTCAGCTCTGCCTTCAACACGATCCTGCCATCCCTGCTCCAGGACAAGCTCTCCCAGCTCAACGTGCCCGATTCCACCTGCAGGTGGATCACTGACTTCCTGACGGACAGGAAGCAGCGAGTGCGTCTGGGGAAGAATGTCTCGGACTCTCGGATTATAAATACAGGAGCCCCACAGGGCTGTGTTCTTTCTCCCCTGCTCTTCTCCCTGTACACAAACCACTGCACCTCCAGCCACGACTCCGTGAAGCTGATCAAGTTCGCGGACGACACCACCCTCATTGGACTCATCTCCAACAACGATGAGTCCGCCTACAGGAGGGAGGTGGACTGGCTGGTGCAGTGGTAACAACCTGGAGCTGAACGCCCAGAAGACAGTGGAGATAATTGTGGACTTCAGGAAGAGCACTGTCCCCCCGCCCCCACCCTCCGTGATGGACTCCCCCATCACCTCTGTGGAGTCCTTCCGTTTCCTGGGCACCACCATCACCCAGGACCTCAAGTGGGAGCCGACCAACAGCTCCCTCATCAAGAAGGCCCAGCAGAGGATGTACAGGAAAGCCAAGCTGCCTGCACAGATGTTGGTGCAGTTCTACACGGCCATCATCGAGTCCATCCTCACCTCCTCCATCACCGTGTGGTTTGCTGGAGCCACAGTCAGGGACAAACAGAGACTACAGCGCATTGTGCGCTCTGCAGAGGAAGTGATCGGCTGCAGCCTTCCATCGCTGCAGGACCTGTACGTCGACCGAGCTCGAGGCCGGGCTGGTCGTATCACAGCCGACCCCTCAGCCTGCACATGGACTATTCCAACCACTCCCCTCAGGCAGGAGACTGAGGGGAGTCTCCTGGTTCCAGTCCATCAGGACTAGAACCTCCCGCCACAAGAACAGTTTCTTCCCCTCTGCTAACAAAACTGTGAATGTTAGTATGGACTTTTATGTGTTTATTGTAAACAGAAAAACAGAAAATGGTACAGTATGTTTTCTGGATGTACTATTATAGTATTGTGTGGAGAGTCTGAGGGAGCTGTGTGTGGTAAATGTTATTTGTTTTGTGTAGTATTATATGTACAATATACAGTAAATGTTATATTTACTCTATATTCTCTATTTGTTATATTTTTGTAACTCGTTTTCATTATTCATCTTTAGTGATGGATCCTGTGCCTTCACACGAGAACTTAATAAAGTCTTAATGAATACATAGATAAATAAAAATACTGTGTTTTATGTTCATGGAACCTTCAACGATCTTTACCAAATAAATCAAAAATCAAATCAATTTTCCAACAATGAAATACATCTTTAACAGAGACGCAAACCCAGACCTTTATTTGTTTGTGAAAAAGTCAGAATCTGTCAAAGACTTAACAGACTTTCCACTGTCCATTCCAACTGTGTTTTTCATTTTAACTTTGTGTCTTTTGAAGTTGTCCTTGAGATAGATTCTTTATTGATCCCCGAAGGAGATAATTCTAATGTCAAGCTGTAAAAATACATTATCCACACAAACGAAAAGAAATAAATACATGTAATTCCAAAAGTATATAATAAAGAAATAAAGTGTTTAGCTCAGGACTAAACCTGGAACAGATCTCTCTAAGTCTTGAGTGAAAGGCGCCATATAAATAAACTGACCTTGTACTGGATGAGGGGGTGGTCTCCGCAGAGAAACTCCAGGCAGTGGCTTATCCTCAGAAAGTACTGACCCCTGCTGGCCTCGTCCTCAGGGCCGTGTGTGCTCAGCCACTTCCTCAGGGCCACCGCCATCAGCTCCGACGGCGTGCACGAGGGAGGCACTTTCAGACTGGCCGAGTCCTGGACACACAGGGGGGGAGGGGGGGATGGTTTATAACTTAACAATGTCATCATTCGCAAAAACATCTACTCCAGGAAGTGGGAACACATGCAGTCGCTCTCAAACATTCACATTGCAGGTCACATTTCTGTACTTTAAAAGTGAAATGAAATCTCTGTTAGGGCGATACGGCTGAAAACTATAAGTATCACGATATAAGTGTTTCATGTCAGTAGATATCAATAATTACGGATTTGTTTTTTTTAAACCTAAATATATACATTTGTTATGTTCCCGGAGTTGGTGGAAGTTGAGCTGCAAAGACTTTAAGAATTCAAAATACTGCTGTGTGAAGGAGAGGATCCACAGGTCTGTCCTTCCTGCTGCTGTCAGACTGTACAATGAGAACTGCTCCACAGACGCTCTGATGACAGTCAGTTTTTATGTGGTTGATCCAAAGACCCGCTCCTGCTGCTGCATTATTAAAAAGGACTTTATTTTTGACAAGACGAGCAGATGGAGAGAGACTGTTTAGAGAGTCAGAAGCACATTTTAATTACATTTGGATCTAGGTTTGCCAACTTGAGAACAAAAAAATAAGGGACACCATTTAGGTGGATTGGGTTGAGCACTATTTAGTCCTAATTTCAATCCACACACTAAACCCCGGTTTTTAGAATGTAATTTATTGACTACATATAAAAAAAAAAAATTCGTAGTCAGAAATTTAATTTAATAAACAGGTGGAACTCTTTGGCTGGTTGAGGACTTAATGCATTCTTTTTAGTAATAAAAAATATAAAAAAAGACAAAGGCTATAATATACATTATTTATGGATGTTACAGTAAAGACCATTTACCGTAAAAGCAAATAAAAAAAGAATAATATATGTATTCATTAAAAAAAACCTCATAACTGTTGAAATCAAAGTCTGTAGCAGTTAGATATGGTCATTATTTATATTGTCTGAGAGTTTTGTGCGTGTACATGGCTTCAGTAAAAGCTACAAAGCTGGTCTGGACATTTGCTGAGAAATCCATTGAATCCAATTCACTGCAAGCGCTTTTCTCGGCGCTTGCAGTGCATTGGATTCAATGGATTTCTCTGCATTAAAACACTGCATTGGATTTGAAAAATCAACCTAGAGATGATCATTTTAGCACAATTACTTTTGTTTAACAAAGTAACTGTCGTGAGCCATTGACCGCTGAAGTCCGAATCTGGGAATATGACGCTTCTTTACCAAACTTCTGCCGTGATGATGCTGCGGGCACGGTCCACGATGGCGACACTCATTGGCCGAAAAGTAGACACTGTGATTACCGTGCGTGTGCGTGACATGCAGTGAGTGAGTGATGCATTTAAGGTGGCTCTGAAAATATGGGACAAAAGACGTCCCGTATCGATTCAATACGGGACACATAGTTTTTCTATAATACGGGACAATTCCGTATTTCAAGGGACGGTTGGCAACCCTATTTGGATCCCAGGAGCTTCAGTAGCAGTAGTAGTAGCAGTAGTAGCAGTAATAGCAGTAGCAGTAGTAGTAGTAGTAGTAGCAGTAGTAGTAACAGTAGTAGTAGTAGCAGTAGCAGTAGCAGTAGCAGTAGTAGTGTAACACTCACGCAGTATGTAAGAAATTACCAATCATATAATAATAACTGAGTTCGTGATTAAACAACGTGCTGTTCAGTAATCTGAAGTGTAATGCAAGAATCAAATAGCTAGACGGTTCCTCTTTTGCACCAAATTATATTAGGATATCACAATGATACAAAAAACGAAAATAAAAGAATCCACTATAGGTCCCCTTTAATGTCCCGACCAAACGGCACGGGCACGCTCCCAACCCGGCTGAAAAGTCTGTAGTTAATCCAAAGTGCAAAGGAATCCTGGGATCTTCCGCAACCGAAAGCCTCTTGTCCCGTACGTAAAGCAACAAAAAGGAAGTTTATCTGGAGCGAGACGCGCGTCTTCGTGCCGGCACAGATTAAAACATGCACGCGTAAAAAAACAATAATGGGTAGATCTCACCGGTATAGACGACAGTTCTTGCTGGTCCACGTGTTTGGAGGAGGACAACCCTTCCAAATCCCTGGATCAGTCCTTGGAAACACGTAAATTCCCACAGCAGACAGTCGCCTCTATCCCGGTGTCTGCGCCTGGAGCAGGGACACCACGGGCCGCGCGCACACACCTGCCTGCCTATATCTCAATCTCCGGCCATGCGCGCTCCCCTGTAAACCCCGCCTCTAATACATATAAACCGTCCACATACGTTTGTATACCACACACACACAATCAGACCAACATTATGTGGCCGTTGCTACATAGACCCCCCCACCAGCCGGAGGCTAACAGAGTCAAACCCCATAATACTTTTTGATGTTCACCACATTCACTTTATCCTCTTTACTAGGTGACCCTACCCACCTTACTAGATAGTTGAGCGGCCCTAGCTTCCTCCACACTGTAGCTGGCCCTTCCCATTTTGGTGCCAACTTTGCTGCAAAATTCTCTGTTGCTTTTGACAGAGGATGGGTTCGGACCCAGACTATGTCTCCCTGTGTGAACTGCACATCCTTCCTTCGTGCATTATAGTACTTAGCTTGCCTGGCTTGGTGCTCCCCTACTCTCTTTTTTACCTCCTCGTTCAGCTTGTGTTGGCGTTCCACCAGGTCATAGCTTTGCTGCTGGTCCGGACTTGGCGGTTGATGGATGAGTCGCTCAAGCGGTCCTTTAAGCTGCCGGCCCAACGCAAGCTCAGCCGGAGTTCTTCCCGTGGTCTCCTGTTGTGCTGTGTTAATAGCGAACCGGAACTCAGATATCCACTGATCCCATGCGGTATGTTGTTGTCCAACGTAGGATGCAATCATAGTCTTGATGGTGCGGTTGAAGCGCTCGGTGAGATTGGTTTGAGGGTGATAACTCGTAGTCAGCTTTTGGACTACACCCCATGTTTTGCACAGTTCTATCAGTAGAGCAGCCGTGAACTGGGGTCCTCGGTCTGAGACCAGATACCTCGGCACACCCCACCTTGTAAATATTTCTTCCCTCAGAATCTTCACAATTTTTGTGGTCTTACTGTCTCGTATTGGAAACATCTCCACCCATTTTGAGAAATAGTCCACTATGACCGTGAGATATACATTCCCCTTTTTGCTCCTTGGGAAAGGTCCCATGAGGTCGACCCCCAACATCTCGCCCGGGCCCAGGACTTCTGTGGACTGTAGGTATCCGGCAGGTTTGGTGTTGTCGGCCTTATACTGTTGGCAGACCTTACATGATTTCGTATGCTCCCACACCTCCTTTCGAACTGTGGGCCACCACGCCACTTCCAGAATCCGTAATAGTGTTTTCAGCTGTCCCAGATGTCCTCCCAACGGGTTGTCATGGAAGTACTTTAAGAACTCCGGAACAAGAGACTGCGGCACCACGAGCTGATGCTTCTCTCCCTGTTCTTTTAAGGGCACTCGACGGTACAGAACCCCTTGGTGGATGACAAAGCCGATGCGGTAGGGGTCCCTGGGTTTGTCCATCTTACCGCCTTTTAACTCACAAACCACCTGATCGTCATGTTGTGCCTTGGCAACCTCTGCCATGGTGACAGGGAGATCCGAGCAGCTAGTAGACGTGAAAGCAAGACAGGGAGTTCTTTCCCGGGGTGGGGCTTCAAATGCTCTTGAAAGGGCATCGGGAGCAGCATTGAGAATCCCTTTTCTATAATGCACCTTGAAGGTGAATTGCTGGAGACGAAGGGTCCATCTGGTAAGGCGTGAGGAGGTTTTTGGACAGTTGAAGGCCCAGGACAGGGCCGCATGGTCTGTGTAGACGTCAAACTGAACCCCTTCCAGATAATGCCTCCATTTCTCCACAGCCCACACCACTGCAAGACACTCTTTCTCCGATGTTGAGTAGTTTCTTTCGGCTCCCCGGAGCCCCCTGGATGCATAGGCCACCATTCTCTCGCCCTCTGGGAAGACTTGGGACAGTATGGCGCCTAGCCCCACCTCACTGGCGTCGGTGTGGACTTGAAAAGGGAAATTAGGAATCGGTTGAGCCAGGACAGGCGGACTCCTCAAAGATTGCTTTAGGGCATCCATGCTTGCCTGACATTCCCGGGTCCATTCCCACTCCACTCCTTTTTTCTTTAGATTGTTCAGAGGTGCCGCCATTTCAGCAAAGTGTGGGATGAACTTATGATACCACCCCGCCAGGCCAAGAAATCGCTGAAGTGCCTTAACGTCCTTGGGAGGTGGAAAATCGGCCACCGCTCGAGTCTTTGATAAATCGACTTCCACCCCTTTCGCTGTGACAATGTGACCCAGGAACTTTAGTTCTCGCTTGAAGAAGTGACATTTTTTCATATTGAGACTGAGGTTTGCAGTTTGCAGTTTATTAAACACAGCGTCCAGATCGTGCAGATGTTGCTCATGGGTGTGGGAGTAAACGATGATGTCATCAATGTAAACAAAACAAGTCCGCCCTCTGAGTTCTCCCAACACTTTTTCCATTAGACGCTGGAAAGTAGCGGCTGCATTTCTCAGGCCGAAAGGCATTCGCTTGAACTGAAACAGTCCTTGAGATGTGACGAAGGCAGTTTTTGCTTTGCTTCCTTCATCCATTGCTATTTGCCAATAGCCCGATTGCAGGTCAAGAGCGCTGAACCATGAAGCATTTTCCAGTGACTCTAGGATATCGTGAATGAGTGGCATGGGATAGGCATCCGGGAGTGTTTTGGAGTTGACTTTTCGATAGTCCACGCAAAATCGGTCACGCCCGTCTGGACGGTCTACCATCACAACCGGAGAAGCCCATTGTCTCTACATGCTCCTCAATTATCTTTTTCTTTGCCGGAGACACCCTGTATGCTCTTGTTCTGACTGGTATCTCGTCATGGGTGATGATTGCATGTTTCTCTACCGTGGTCTTTCCTAGAATACCGGCAGTAACTGTTGGCCACCTCTCGATCAGCTGCTGTAACGCTCTTGGGTAGTCTGTGTCATAGACCACTGGTGTAGCGTGCGGCATTTCCTGAAGTGGAGGTGAAGCCCACCCCAGTAAAGCAGAATTTGGCCGCACCGCATAATACAGGCTCACAGAGGATTGTACTCTTTCCCATGGGCTTGGCTGAACCGACGGCTGAAGGAATGGATAGAAGGTGTAACGTGGTCCAACCCGCAATCCATAGCATCTTCTTGCAAGATTTAAAATGATCCCAGCTTCTGTGAGAAAGTCCAGTCCAATGATAACCGGAAAGGCCAGGTGGCGATCCTCCATTATGTGCATGTGAGTGCCCCATCTTTGTCCATGCCAGTCGACTGGCAGCCTGTGCTTTCCCAGCGCTGAGTGCGCGGTTCCATCAGCCATGATAAATCTTTGTTTTTCAGCCTGAAATAAAGTCTCGTTTTTGTAATGTATTTCCTTCCAAAGACTTTCGCGTATCAGTGTGAAAGTACTTCCAGTATCAACGACAGCCGCCCCTTGGACCCCACGTATGGCGATAGGCACTAGCAGTAGCTCGGGTTTGGTGTCAGTTTGTCCCGGTTGTTGGACAATCGACACGCCTGCCATGGGTTTGGGCGGAAACGTTTTCTTTTCAACTGGTCTGCGACCGACCTTCTCACTGCTGGCTTGCACTTTTTGCCAGTATTCCTTTGCTCCAGTACAGTCTTTTTCCACCATGCTTCCCACTTTCACTAACTCAGCGACCGTTGTAACTGTTCCACGGAGGCACCCCGCAAACTTGGGGTTAACATTGTTCAGAATACGTCGGACCAACTCCTCCTCTCGGATGTCCGGTTTCCACTTCAAGCACAAAGCCCGATAATCATAAGCAAAGTCTCTAAGGCACTGGTCGGGTTTTTGAACCATCAATCTCAGTTTCTCCTCCACTTCGCTCATGTAATCTGTGGGCAGAAAAGCGGACATGAAGGCATTTTGTAATGTTATCCAGTCACGGACTTGGGACTTGGCAGCTTTCCACCAGCTTAAAGCAGGACCCTTTAAGACTGTAGTCAATGTACCAATGAGTTCCGGATTGGAGAGGGGTCGGATCTCCAAAAAGTTCTCACACTGCTCTATAAAATTCAGTACATCTGCAGCCTCACTGTCAGGACCAAACGTGGGGAACTCAAGCCGAACAGGTGGTTTAGAGTAGTAGGGAGACGCACCTGCCTGACTGAATGAGGTTAACTCTGGAGGCACAAGCCTAGCATCTGTAGACCCTGCCGCAGTACGACTGTTTATAGGCGTACTAGTAGGTCTCATTATTATGCTAATCTCCTTTTTCAGCCTTTCATCACGGCGCAATAAACAATCAACAACAGCTTTTTCTAGCTTGGCTAACTCTGACGTGAACTGTCCCTCGAGCTTAGCCAAAGCGGCATCAACAAAATGCCTTAAACTAGTCTCTCTGTTGAGTGAACTTGTTACCGACTCTTTACACCGTCGCTCGAGTTCAGAAAACCGTCCCTTCAACACTGCTACCGCGTTAACCAATTCATTAAAGCGTTCCTGTGTAATCTGCCCTTCCTGTTCTCCCTCTGGATCAGCGGCACTGTCTAGGGAATGCAACTCTTCCCCACCAGGGTGAACATGTTCCTCCGGAGCAGGATACAATAAGTGCTGCGCAGCACTTTCCTCATCTGCATTGTCCTGGTCTAAAGCATCTTCGTTTTCCGTTAAATACAAAGAACCTAACAAAGACGATACTTCATCTGTGGTGCTGCGTCTAGTAACAAACGGTCCAGCCGTAAAATCCAAATCCTCCCCCCTAGCCTCGGTCTGAGGGACCGGCTCATCTAGCAGGTTTGAGTTTTCTGGCTCCATAATATACAATACACACCCAGATCAAAACAACAGCATCAAAATCAGTTCCTCGTACGGGCCACCATATGTAACACTCACGCAGTATGTAAGAAATTACCAATCATATAATAATAACTGAGTTCGTGATTAAACAACGTGCTGTTCAGTAATCTGAAGTGTAATGCAAGAATCAAATAGCTAGACGGTTCCTCTTTTGCACCAAATTATATTAGGATATCACAATGATACAAAAAACAAAAATAAAAGAATCCACTATAGGTCCCCTTTAATGTCCCAACCAAACGGCACGGGCACGCTCCCAACCCGGCTGAAAAGTCTGTAGTTAATCCAAAGTGCAAAGGAATCCTGGGATCTTCCGCAACCGAAAGCCTCTTGTCCCGTACGTAAAGCAACAAAAAGGAAGTTTATCTGGAGCGAGACGCGCGTCTTCGTGCCGGCACAGATTAAAACACGCACGCGTAAAAAAACAATAATGGGTAGATCTCACCGGTATAGACGACAGTTCTTGCTGGTCCACGTGTTTGGAGGAGGACAACCCTTCCAAATCCCTGGATCAGTCCTTGGAAACACGTAAATTCCCACAGCAGACAGTCGCCTCTATCCCGGTGTCTGCGCCTGGAGCAGGGACACCACGGGCCGCGCGCACACACCTGCCTGCCTATATCTCAATCTCCGGCCATGCGCGCTCCCCTGTAAACCCCGCCTCTAATACATATAGTGGAAAACCGATTTTATATTTTTATAAATTTTTATATTATATATATTATTTATTACTTAATTTTTCTTTATTTTTTTATTTATTTTTATATATTATTTTTTTATTTTTTTTTTTTTATTATTTTTTTCTTTTTTTTTCATTTATTTTCACTATATTTTTATTACCGTTATATATATTTTAATAATTTATTTAATTATTATTTATTTTCATTTTTTTTATTATTATTTTTTCATATTTTTTTTTTTTTTCCTTATTTATAAATTTTATCCACATACGTTTGTATATTTTTTTATTTTTTATTTATTTATTTTTAATTTTTTTTTTATATTATTTATTTTTTTTTATTTTTTTTTATTTTTATATTTTTATTTATTTTTTTTTTTTTTTTATATATTTTTATATTTTTATTTTTTTATTATTATTTTATTATTTTTAATTTATTTTTTTTTTTTATTTTTATTTTTTTATTTATATTTTTTTTATATATATATTTTATTTTTAATTTTTTTTTATATTTTTTTTAATATTTTTTTTTATTTTTTTTTAATTTTTATATTTTATTTTTTATTTTTTTTTTTTAATTTTTTTTTTATTATATTATATTTTTTTTATATTTTTATTTTTATTTTTTTTATATTTTTTTTATATTTTTTTTTATTATTTTTTTTATTTTATTTTTTTTTATTTTTTATTTATTTTTTTATATTATTTTTTATTTTTTTTTATTTTATTTTTTTATTTTATTTTTTTTTTTATTTTTTATTTATTATATTTTTTTTTTATATTTTTTTTTTTTTTTAATTTTTTATTTTTATATTTTATTTATTTTATTTTTTTTTTTTTTAAATTATTTTATTTTTTATTTTTTTTTATTTTTTTTTTTTTTTATTATTTTTTTATATATTTTTTTATTTATAATATTTTTTTTTTTTTTTTTATTTTTTTTTAATATATATTTTTATTTTTTTATTTATATTTTTTTATTTAATTTTTAATTTTATTTTTATTTTATTTTTTTTTTTATTTTTTTTTTTATATTATTATTTTTATTTTATTTTTATTTTATTTTTATTTTATTATTTATATATTTTTTAATTTTTTTTTATATTTTATTTTATTTTTATTTTTTTTATATTTTTTTTTTATATTTATTTAATTTTATTTTTTTATATTTTATTTTTTATTTATTTTAATTTTTTTTTATTTTTTTATTATTTTTTATTATTTATTATTTTTTTTATTATTTTTTATATTTATATTTTATTTATTTTTTTTTTTATTTATATTTTTATTTTTTATTTTTTTATTATTTTATTTTTAATTTTTTTTTATTAATTTTTTTATTTATTTATATTTTATTTATTTTTTTTTTTTTTTTTTATTTTTAATTTTTTTTATTTATTTTTTTATTTATTTTTTATATTTTAATTTTTTATTTTTTTTTATTTTTTAATTATTTTTTTTTATTTTTTTATATTATTTTTATATTTTTTTTATTATTTTTTTTATTTTTTTTTTTATTATTTTTTATTTTATTTTTTAATTTTTTTATTATTATTTTTTTTTTATTTATTTTTTTTTTATTATTTTTTATATTTTTATATTTTATTATTTTTTTTATATTTTTATTTATTTTTTTTTTTATTATTTTTATTTTTATTTTAATTATTTTATTTTATTTATTTTTTTTTTTATTTTTATTATTTTTTTTATTTAATTTTTTTTTTATAAAATATGTATTTTATTTTTCTTTTATTTTTTTTTTTTTTTTTTATTTTATTAATTTTATATTTTTAAATATTATCTATTTTATGGGACTAACATGTCACTAATATATTTTGGTGCGAGGCCATGGAGAGACTTGTACACAAGCAGAGCTGTTTTAAAGTCTATTCTCTGAGCCACACGCAGAGACGCACACACGCAGAGACAATAATTTACAGGGATAAAGTTAGGTACCTCAGCTTTAAATAAACTATTAGACAGTTCCTCCTTTCTCTAATGAATAATGTGTGTTTCAGCTGTATCCCATCGCCTGGGTCAATACCATGGTGTTTGACTATAAAGGACTCTTGAAGACCGGAGACATCATCCTCCACTGCTGGTCTTCATTTCCTGGTACATTTTTATAACATTCTGTTAGTTTACATTAAAATCCAAAAGACTTTTTTATCTATGAGAAAGAATTGCATGTTAGTCTGTGTTTAATCTCTATTATTAGCTTCTTTATTATGCTAAAGCTAGAGATTTTATACTAGCTTCTTTGTTATGCTAAAGCTAGAGATTTTATACTAGCATATTTATTATGCTAAAGCTAGAGATTTTATACTAGCATATTTATTATGCTAAAGCTAGAGATTTCATACTAGCTTATTACGCTAAAGCTAGAGATTTCATACTAGCTTCTTTATTATGCTAAAGCTAGAGACTTTATACTAGCTTCTTTATTATGCTAAAGCTAGGGATTTTATACTAGCTTCTTTATTATGCTAAAGATAGTTTTAATTATTTTTTTTACTATAGAGTTATTCATGTATTTTGTGCTGTGTGCTCATAAATCCATCCATGTTTGTGTGTAAACAGATGAACTTGAGGAGATGCTGAATCCGATAGGAACCGTTCAGACAAACCCGTACACGGAGAACGCCACGGCGCTGCACATCAACTTTCCCGAATACTTGCCTCATTCTATCGTCTTTCCTCCTTTTGACAAGGTTCGTTTAGACCAGATCGGGTCACGTGCCTTTGACGGGTTTGAGTTGGATGTGATTTACGCAATGGCGAGTCCTCACAGAATCACTCAGATTAGGATTAGAATTATTAAATTATAAAACTGTAAACGATGATGATGAGGCGACTTCTTCGAAATGAACTAAGTACAAGCAACAAGAGAAAAGTACGACCTTCAAATGGCTTCCCTAGATTTGTTTCTCCAAAGAACAGCCTCGGATGGACCTCTGATTTGGATTTTGAGGTGTGTTAATGAGCTGAAGGGTAAACTGAAGGGTAAGCTGAAGGGTAAAGGGTAAACTGAAGATCAATATACTCTATAAACATTCATTATTAATGACATCACTTTGGGGCAAAAGACAGAAAATGTTAAGTGAAAAGATATTTTATGTGCAATTAAAAAAGTGACAGTGGCAGAGTAACAGTCCTAGTGCAGATTGTTAAGTCACTTCTGTAGACTTTGAAATAATTATGATTGATGTTATGTGACATCACAACCTTTAGTTTAATATTGTGGTGGACGCAAAGCTGTAAAATCTTTCTTGGTAACTGTCAAAACTCTTAGTTCTAGTCGTAATTTAAAGATAATTTCTCCTGGGACAATCCACCTGGTACATACCACCTGGTCTCTAATTATTTTCTCATAAAGGTGGCAACAAATGTAAAAATATTCCAAAGACATGCAGGATGTTGGTCTGGACAAGGTACTTTCAGACTGAAGAATAATATGGCCACAGTTGTGTTCAGACCCCGTTCAGACCCCGTTCAGACCCTGTCCCACTCACGTCTCTTTGGTTCTTTCAGATTCTGGAGAAAGCCGCAGAGATCGCCGGTGCCAGTGACTGTGTCCCGATGGTGAGTAATGTCATGTAGTGATAACATAAAATATCAAACTCTTGGGTTTGAGAAACATCAAAATAAAATAGTTCCTTTCTCTTAAATACAGTCAAAGCAATTTTGTGAGGACCTCAAACCGGGCCATCAATAAATGTTTATATAGATTTTATACATACTCTGTCTCGTATAAACTCATCCAAAACGACTCACACTGAGGACATTATCCGACGTTTAAAACATACTTTAAAATGGTCTTAATTCGTTCTTTAGTCTGAGAGCGGTTTTATAAACATGTTCACTGCCTCCTACACCGGAACACACGGCTCCTCTCCACCCACATGGAACAACACAAATAGAATCATAAATAACTGTGGATAATGCTTTAGAAATGGATCACATTCAGAATAAAGACATTTAAACATAAAGTTATAGTTCTAAACGGTAATAACTATAATTAAAGTGTTAAGATATCTGTAATGTTCCGCAGTATTACATTAAACTTGTACATTGTCTATTTACAAATACGTTTACTGCTCAAAAACCTGAAGACTCAAAAGTAGAGTTGAAAGTTTAAAACCAGGGAATTACATTTTCTAGCCAGGAGTTCCCAGGGGTCTCCTATCACGGTATTGACCAGGCCCTACCCGGCTTAGCCTCAAAGGACTGACTGATCTGGCTTTCACATGTAGTTGGAGCCAGTAAAAATATATAGTTAACTTCACCTTTTCTCAATGCCGTTTTTTTACTTCAGTTTATATGTGTATCGCCCTAAATCACAACAGCCGTTCTCTCGGAGGACTTTACAAATTGTGGATTTGCCAAAACACAGATCAGAAAACCAAACAGACTTATGCTTTTCTGCAGAGTCTGTTTGTTTACAGCTCTACGTCGTAATTCCCTTTAGCACAGTTCAAACATGTCCCTCCCTCAGAAGGATTTGGAGATCTGAGCTTTCTCTGCTGCGGGCGTTATGTAACGGAGCGTTCTGTGAGGGCAGGTCTGGACCGGTCTCTGCAGCTCGTACTAACCTGGGTCTAACCTGGGTCTAACCTGGGTCTAACCTGGGTCTAACCTGGGTCTGTGAGGGCAGGTCTGGACCGGTCTCTGCAGCTCATACCAACCTGGGACTAACCTGGGACTAACCTGGGTCTAACCTGGGTCTGTGAGGGCAGGTCTGGACCGGTCTCTGCAGCTCATACTAACCTGGGTCTAACCTGGGACTGACCTGGGTCTAACCTCTGTCTAACCTGGGACTGTGAGAGGCAGGTCTGGACCCGTATCTGCAGCTCAAGACTAACCTGGGTCTAGCCTGGGACAAACCTGGGTCTAACTTGGGTCTAACTTGGGTCTAACCTGGGTCTAACCTGGGTCTATCCCAGGACTGCGCTCACATAAACAGTTTCCATTTCGATTGTAGGTCAAAAGTGCGTCACTGTTTTCTGCCACTTCCTCTATGGTCATTATTACACTGGTCATCAGCCCCTTCCTTTGCCGTAAGCTATTTTCAGATTTGCTTCTGGTGGATCAGCAATTTATCTGTATCCAGACAGCTGAGTCTTATTTTGTCATTCTCTAAATGAATCACTGAAGAAGAAAACAGTTTAGCAATGATCTCTGTGCTGTGTTGTGTGTAGTTTGATACACGTGTGGCCTCTTGTGGCCGTTTACTGTAACTACCTCCACAATACCTACAGTTTTTTCATCTTTTCTCTTTTATTTTTAACTGGAGAAATCCTTGATCCGACCCTTTTGTAGCTTCCAAGTCTCACCTTTTCACCTAACGTCCAGAGTGTGTTTAAAAGCATTAAAAGTACTGTTATTAAAGTTATGGAAATGAACAGATTATTGTCCAAAAAAGAGCATTTTAAAACTCCATTCAATTTATTTTTGTACAGCCCTGAATCACAACATAAGTTATTTCAGAGGACTTTACAATGATGTTGATTTGCCCACACAGATCAGAGAATCTTGAGAAGCAGAGACCACTGTCCATAAATGTTTAAGAAGAAGGTCCTTTATTTGTCTCACAATAGGGAAATATCAGTTTGATGCAACATATACAGACACACATACACATGATATACACATACACATATACACATACACAGACACACATACACATGATATACACATACACATACACACATACACATGATATACACATACACATATACATACAGTACATGGGCTGTTGAGGTTTGTGCTGTATTTGCTGAGGTACATCTCCAGTATGTATTTCATAATAATCTGTCCTGCAATGACAACAAAATTAGAACAAAATTGATGTTAAAATTTGAAGAAGGATGGTTGAGTGGCATTCTGGCAAAACCAAAGTTAAGAACATACATACAAATTAAGGATGTATATGAAGCAGAATTCTATGTTAAAGCAAATCTGACAAGAAATTAAAGATCTCTGCCTACTCAGTTGCGAACTGGAACCCTCCCCCTGGCCTTAGAAACGGGAAGGTTTACTCAGACTCCCGAAGAAGACCGACTTTGTAAACTTTGTGACTTAGTAGAGGTGGAAAATGAAACACATTTTGTTTTGTTATGTCCTTTGTATGACGATCTTCGTAATCTTTTGTTTAGTGGTCTGTTTGTTAAAAAGTCTGAATTGTTTTGGAGCAGTGATGATGAGAAGCTAAAATGTTTGTTTAATTCCAATGCGTTTAAATTGGCTACATATGGTGGTAAAGCCTGGAAGCGCTGGCAATCCTGTTTATTCAAATAAGTTATTTTTGTATCCTGTCAGTCATCTGATCCTGTTCTTTATATTGGTGTCTTATAAGCCCATGAAAGGGCTGGGCATACAGTTGTATGCAAGACACAATAATAAATAAATATTCATTCATTCATTCATTCATATTCATACACACATACACATGATATACACATACACACATATACACATACACATATACATACACATACACATGATATACACGTACACACATATACACATACACATATACATACACATATACACATACACATGATATACACGTACACACATCAAGGCAAGCAGCAAACATCACTTCCTCGCTCCTTATATGCAAAGTTGCCCAACAGCAGACATCAGAGCGAGTTGGTGGAGAAGGTTCCTTGGTGGGCTCGGACCCACGACCTTCAGCCTCAAAGGCTCATGCTCTACCAACTGAGCCACTGTCGCCCCAAAATAGAAGTTCATAAATGTGAATGATCCAGGACGATCATCACCACTGTCCTCAGACCAGGCCGGTCCAAACTCTGGCCCGGGGGCCAATTGCGGCCCTCTGTGTCATTGTATGTGGCCCTCTGCGTTAATAACCCACTGTAGTCTTTGAGATCATAAACACAAGTTCACTGTGTCATCCATCCAACTTCAGCTCAGCCAACATAGACCTTGTTGTAAAGCCCAGTACGTCTGTGACTTTGTTTTAGCACAAACTGTACTCACATGGTTTTTAACTCATTCACTACCAGCCATTTAAAAAGTAGCATCCCTCATACTGCCAGAGATTTTGGACATTTTTAGTGTTTTTCCGAACCGCATAGAAATGTGAGCCCTTAGTTGACACAAGTATGAAACATACCAAATGAAAGCTCTATCCCTTGGCTTTCTTTTTTTTTAAAGTAAGTTTCTAACCCTTTTAGTTTTTTAGCAATTGAGAGTGCAACATAGGTAACTAGGGCTGGGACAACGCGTCGACGTAATCGATGACGTCGACGCAAAAAATACACCGACGTATAATATGCGCGTCGGTGCGTCACACACAAAACAAAGATGGCGGCGAGCGGTAGCAATGTGAGTGCCGTGTTAGAGAAGTGCAAGCCGGTGTAACGCTGAGATACACTGCCTTGAAGAGATGCACAGCCTCAGCTGTTTATCATGTAATGCAAACCTGCGCATGCGCGTCTCACGGCAGCCGAAGCAAACCAAGATGGCGGACCGTGAATTTCTTTAAAAGTTAAAATACGAACGAATTCAGACACGAATGTCACTTTTAATGCAATTTGAGGCGAGATGTTGATGGTTCCGTTTTGTCACATGTGGGTTTTAAGAGTCAAAGTTTCGTGCAAAGTTTAGTTTAAGCAGTCAACTGCGCCTGTGAAACCACAAAGCTAATGTTTTCATAGCAGTCCGCGGCTGCTGACGTAGGCTGATGACGCGTCCTGTGGCCACTCTACAGCTTGCAACTGGTTTGTCTTTCTTTGTATCAAACGGAATATTGGCGCCCGTAATAGCCCCTACATGTATTATTCACTGTCATGTATATGGACATTTTTCAACATGTGTTCAATATCCTTAATGTGTTTAACTGTTGATTGATTCTCTGATCTGTGTTGGTGACTTCAATGTTGTTTTAAGTCCTCTGAGATGACTTCTACTGTATTCTTTCAGTAACTCTAAAAGAAAGGATGACTGGTTGACCTTTTTATTTGCTACACAATGCATTTTTTTTCTCTTGTACACTCTTACTTGAATTTTATTTTTGAATTTTGAGTTTAAGAAAAAGGTGAGTGGCAGAGTTTTGACTGTTATTTTTATATGAATGAAGAATTTAAGAGATGCACTTTAATTAATGGACTTCAGTAATATAGGCCTATGTGTCTTCAACTTAAATGTTAAACTCTGTTGGTTCAGGAAGGACGCCATGACAGGCTGATGGCTCCCACTGTTTTTGCTGGAAAAGCACTCTTTGTTTAGCTTAAAGCCTTCAAGTTTACATTGGTTACTGTTTTCTTTTAGTTGCTCTACACAAGTATTTGGCTGAACTTTTTCATATTTTTATTGAATGCTAAGCATCAAATGTTTGTTTCAAGAATGATAAGATGCACTTTTTTCAGTAAGCTGTGTTTTCAAGGCTTTAAGGTTTTATGCTACCTCTAAGAATGTCTTATTTTTGAATTTTAAGAGCAAGCAATACATATTTTTTGTGAAGGAATTCATGTTTTTTTCATTAAAATATTTAAATCAACATGTATACATCAATATTAGTCAATTAATGGGGAGATAATCGAGAATCAAATCGAATCGAAATCGAATCGAAGCGAAAAAAATAATCGTTAGATTAATCGATGCATCGAAAAAATAATCGTTAGATTAATCGTTTAAAAAATAATCTTTATCCCAGCCCTATAGGTAACTTTCACACAAAATGCTGTTTCCTGACCAAGATTTGGAGAAAAAAGCCTTTTTGTGAAACGCACATTTTCAAGCAGAAAAGTGGGTTTTTTTTGTCTTTACTGATATTTTACAATGTATGACACTTTCTTACTATGACACAAAACAGAAACAATAGAACAATTTTTAAACAAATTAAACGTGTACACACAATACACTCAAAGGATTGTCTTATGTACAAATAAAATATTCAACTTGTATACAATAAAAACACTTTGTATACAGTAAAAATAACACTTTCTGAACACTTTGTGAAACAATTTTACTTTAGTTTATAAAGAATAGTTATTAGGTGACCCCACACTCTGCTGAAGTGTGGGGTGGAATCTACTTCCTCCGCACGCCCAATACATTTCCAGATTAGTTTTTTTTACAAACCCAGTGAGAAATGTCAAACCAAAAAAGGTTTTTAGCTGCTAGACTGTCACTGGCTTCCATGCATTTTCTCTGCTGAATGGGAGACGCTGTGTGTGTGCACTGAAATATTGTGCTGCATACAGCTTTGTTTGTTTGACAACAAGATCCAGGATCCAGCAGTTCATCAGTTATGAAGAGCTGCAGAAGTCAGTTGTCTGATCCAAATCAAGCTCTGCTGCAGCATTTTGGGGTCCTGGGGTCAACAATCTACAACACAAAGGAAAATATAAAATCACCATACATTTTCACATTATAACAAGTGTTTTGGTTTCAGCAGCTATGACATTGAGATAAATAAAAAAACTTTTCAATACTCGCTAAAAACGCTACTTTATGTTTATTTTTACTATAGTATAAGCCAGCGATTGCTATCACTCCCACCAGAATCTCTCAATGTTTGAACGCAAAATCACGCAGACTCCGGGATCAGAGCAACAGAGTCAGTCTCTCTCCCTGTTCCAAAGCAGCAGCGGGCGCGCTCCTGACGCACCCTCCACAGTGAGACGCACCACAGCAGAATGCACAACATGGTGCGGTAAATCCACTTGTTGCTCATCATGGGTCCCGCTCACCGGTCTGCCATGGATCACCTTCCCCTGTCCCTTCTATAAACCACACTGTAACATCATCCATAGCTCCCTGGCAGCTAATGCTGCATGCCAGATTCACACGCCTCCAAACTCAACAGGGAAACTTTTGGAAAAATGTGCCACGTAATCAAGCATTTTACCCTGCAATAATCATTCATTAACAATTGCACGCAAAATCCTGGAGGGGCTGATAGTACATTAGACAAAGGGGAGAAATAAACTCGTAAATGCAACATGTTGAAGTGAAAAGCAACTTACCACATGACGACGGGGGGAGGAGCCGCTGCCGCTGCTGCTGCTGCTGGACGAGGAGGGAGGGGGAGGGCTCCGAGGATCCTGGAGTCTCATGTTACCTAAAACCTGAAGAACTAGCATCGTGGCATCTAGCTGCTTCTTATTTATCCGTTTGATGACTGAACAGGCTCTCAAACAGCGTTAGCTCCGTGAGCTTTTCAGATCCGCGGTCCTTTATGTAAGCATGGCTGCTCCTCTGGCTGTTACCCGCTCACAGCACCACATGCCCCCTTCTCCCTCCCTGGATCTGACCACAGTGTAACCTCTGCCCCCTACAGGATCGATTCCAAAGTGTTTACAGGTCTGAAATGTTGACACAGGATGCACAAGAGCCTTGACGAGCCATAGAAAGAATATTGACGTCTATAGACGTCAATGGCAGTGAATGAGCTCAACTTCGGCTCTAGTTTAGGAATATTCATCTTGTCTTCTTAGTAGAATTAAAAGTACTGGAAGTTATCCGTCGGAACACGTCAAGGTAATAACACCACAAAACCTTATATTATCTGGTATAGAAGAACCCAGTACTTTCAACTTCAGCTCCGTTATAGACAGTGATTGGAATAACGGCGTTGAAATAAACTGAGTTACCAACGGCGTTACTTTTTTCAGTAACGAGTAATCTAACTAGTTACTTTGACTGTAACTATAACGCCGTTATCGTTGCCGACACCCCACTACTGCACGTTCCTCAAGTCGCACAATTAACTGTTTTTTAACTTCATGATAGGACTCGTGTTGTCATGAGAGAAGGATGAGAGGAGCTCTCAGGTGATTGGCTGATGTAAAGTAAGATTGCATCTTCAGCCAATCAGAGAAGAAGGTGGGTGTTTCCACATTCACAGTGTTGGGGTTTAGTGCTTACAGCACAGAGAGAGATGAAGAGTGAGGAAGACTCCAGCAGAAAAACAGCCTTTCCCAGATGGAAATATCAGTACTATTTAAACTCACTTAGGTTAAAGGTCAACATGTGCACGTGGAGTGCACGTTATGTTCCAGAACCAAAGAGCCAGGGGTTAGCGTATGCATGTTAGCTTATGAAACACGCTCTGAGAAGGTGGGGGCCAGGGGGGTTACGGGGGCGAGACACGAAAAAGTAACGCAATAGTTACTTTTACTGGTAACTTGTTACTTTTATAGTGGAGTAACTACTAGTTACTTTTGGTAGAAGCAACTAGTAACTATAACTAATTACTTTTTCGAAGTAACATGCCCAACACTGGTTATAGATCATCATAAAGCTCAGAACAGCCCGATGCCCGTCAAGACCCGCCCCTGGACTGGTCTGGGGAACTAAAGTGGCCCTCTCACTAAAAAGTTTGGACACCCCTGATTTACACCCTCAGAAAAACACTTTTGGTCTTTTATCTTGTGTTGTGTGTTTTCCAGAGCCGCGGGGGTAAGAAGTTCCACATCGAGCTGAAGGAGATCATGGAGCGAGACCCTCTGTCTCAGTTGTGTGAAAACGAGAAAGACCTGATCTGGACCCTGAGACACGACTGCAGAGAGAACTTCCCTCAGTCTCTGCCCAAACTGCTGCTGTCGGTCAAGTGGAGCAAGCACGAGGACATGGCCCAGGTCCGAAACATCACGTCTACTCCAACTGTCTGATTTTAACCTGAATTCTTTTTCATTCATTCATTTGAGCTACCATCTATAAGATCTCTCTCCTCTCTGTGTCTCTCTCTCTCTCTCTCTGTCCGTCTCTGTCTCTCTCGCTGTATCTATTTCTCTCTCTCTGTATCTATTTCTCTATCTATATCTATTGGATTACAAAAATAAATGTTAATGATATTCTAGTGTATTGTGCAGGTTAATATTTGGGATTAGACTCTTTCACACATCATGACTTTGAAAACTGTATACTAATCTTCCATCGTCCCTTGTAGCTCCAGGCCCTGCTGCAGATCTGGCCCAAACTCAGTCCTCGAGACGCTCTGGAGCTTCTGGACTTTAACTATCCCGACCAGTACGTCCGGGAGTACGCCGTGGGCTGCCTGCGGGACATGAGGTACACCCTCCACACCAACACATGGAATAACATGGAATAACATGGAATAACATGGAATAACATGGAATAACAAACTCAAATGTGACTTTATTGTCAAATTGCTTCTTCAAAAATATCGTAACAAGAGCAGTATTTTAAACGGCCATGTCCTGTTTGTCCTTAATCCTGTTGATGCTGCTTGGGCTGGGACTGACTTGCTATTGCTGTTCAAGTTAAAGGTATATAGGGAGGACCAATAGTCTTGATGATCCACCCGGAAGTAGAAAATCCTCCAACTGTCAATCATTCTGGTGATACGTGCTCGTCCAATAAGACCAGAGAGTTTTGTTCCTATAACCTATAAACCTTTAAGCTAACACAAAGCTACAAAGGTGCTTTTCTCGATCCAGGCTCGGAAACCTTTAAACTTAGACAGACTTTATTGATCCACAGAGAAATTGCGTTTTCACAGTAGCTCGCATAGAATTTCACAATAAACATAGCATTAAAGTAACAATATAAAAATGAGAATAAAGATAGTGCAGCCATTAGTACTTATGAATGAGTGAATCGTCTGAATGGACGTAGAACAACTGCAGACATTGAGGCAGAATCAGCCACGATTTGAGATTTCACACTTTCATAAAAAGAGAAAACTCAGCTAGAATAAATGAAATCGAGTTAAACACATCTGTATGAATTGTAAATGTCTTATTGGAGTTTTGACATCTTTAAGATCCTTTTGTGACTTGATGGATCCCAGACAGAGCGACCTCTTTGTGGAAGCTAATGCTGATGAGGAAACAAAACAATCTAGTGGTGCATGTTAAAGTATTTGTTTATATTAATGTTGGATATTGTGGTGTTCCCAGTGACGACGAGCTGTCGCAGTACCTGCTGCAGCTGGTGCAGGTGCTGCGCTATGAACCGTACTACGACTGCGCCCTCACACACTTCCTGCTGCAGCGAGCGCAAGGAAACCGCAAGATCGGACACTTCTTATTCTGGCATTTAAGGTCTGTGCACAATGTTTGCTTCTGTCTGCTCTTACTGATGGTCCTTATGTTAGCTTCTGTCTGCTCTTACTGATGGTCCTTATGTTAGCTTCTGTCTGCTCTTACTGATGGTCCTTATGTTAGCTTCTGTCTGCTCTTACTGATGGTCTCACACTGTGGATCCTGATGTTAGCTTCTGTCTGCTCTGACTGATGGTTGCTGTGGATCCTTATGTTAGTTTTACTGAGAAGGACGAAGGAAAACTACTTTGAACATCTCTGTTGGTTTTTAGGCCCGAGCCCCAACTGGGGTAAGGGCCTATTGCTTCGCCCAGGCATTACTCGTTGTAACTGTCATAAGTACGCCCGGAGATTGTGACCTGCACGCAACGGCACGTGCCCCGACACTGATAAATCCGTGCCGGAGGCACAAAATGGCTTTGCTCCTGCTGTAGTACACAGTGAAATGAATGGGGTCCTATGGAGGGGGTGGGTGACCATATGATGGTGACAATCACTGAGAACCCAATAGTTGCGTTCGCCTGGTCGTTCGTTTTAAAATGGTGTATCATTTGTATTATAGGTTACTATAGAAACCTATATTGTTTTTGCTCGAAGATTTCCGGAAAAAAATCCTTCTTTTTTCTTCTGCGCTTAGAGCCTTAATTTGACCCCCTGAACATTAATGAAATTCATGAAAATTAATTTTGCCCAAAATTCAGAACCGGCAAAAAAATATTTTTTTGGGTGTTTATTTTTTAGGGACAAAAAAAAAAAAGCCGGAACAGCGCCCTCTACAAAAGTCAGTGTACATTGCGCCTATGGGAGCGGGTCGGAGGTCAAGTTTGTCGTAGAGCCACAAAATTCGGTACACCTGTTCCTCAAGTCAAGACATGAAAAAAAAGTCATTATGGCTCCGCCCCCTGGCAAACAGGGAGCTCATTGCTTTTGTGCTTTTTCACACATGTTGGTTGGAAATCAAATCGCTCCACATGGTCTAAACACATGTACCATCAATAGTTGAATAAAGAATTTGGATCAGTTAAACGTTGTTTGAGCAGCGTAGCGGCAATATGGGCCTTTTTTTTTTTCAATTTTTTACAAAAGAAAATTTGCTCCCGTTTGCACAAACCAAGCCGGATTTGTACCAAATTTTAATCCATTGTTCAGCTCCAGGGTCTAGGTCATTTGAAAGTTGAAATATTGAAATAGACTCTTTAGCACCCCCTACAGACTATGTCACAGTTTTACATGGGCCTAATCCAATGTAGTTTTTTAAAAATGTTTGAAATTTTGCACATAATTCTGTTTTGTCATCTGGATTCAAAAAGTCAATGACAACATATGATTATTTTTTACCCTGTTGCTGTGGCGACAACAAACACGCTCCATTCTGTGTCTATGGGAAAATCGTTAAATCTCTGAAAAGTACACCTCGCTCAAACATCAAACCAGCCGCGGCCATTTCACTAATTTGTCTGAAAATTGCTCCACATCATCTCAACACATGTACCATCAATAGTTGATCATAGAATTTGAATTAGTCAAACGGTCTGAGCGTGACAGACTCCCAAATTGTGGTTATTTTCATAGAGAGGTGTGAAGTTCCCATGTTATCCAATGGAGACTGTATGGGCACACAGATTGTATGTGCAAACAGGAGCACATTTACAAACTCTGATTAGCACTAAACTTGACTCGGTTGTTCAACTCCTGGGCGTAGGTCACATGACAGTGTACACAATGACATTGGTCCATTAGCGCTCCCTACAGGCTGAGTAAAGGTTTACATGGGGATAAAGGTATTTAGGTTTTCTGTTGTTTGATCTCATATCTGACACACTGAACAAACACAAACTCACCAAACTTTATAGAGGGGCTCGGCCGCGCTCTGACCAATCAGAGCTGCTGATCAGAGCAGCAGCAGAGCGGAGCCAGAGCGGGAAGGAATGGAGCAGAGTTTGTGGAAGTAAAGTGTGGATTTAAAGAAAACCAAAGGATTTAAGAAGAAAAAAGTTCAGGATGACAAAGGACACTAAAATCCCACAAAATCCGACCTTTATGAAAGCTGTAGGTTCTCTGTCAGCTGAGGTTGAGCTGTTGTAGTTTACATTGAGTTCTATGGGACTTTTTTCTGGGTAACGTGAATTTAGTCTGCAGTACCACAGCGCCCCCTATGCCCATGGGTGGGACAGCTATAAGCTAGTTATACTCTATCCAGTTATTAAAATAGATGATAGAACTCTGGTCCATGATCATTTCCACATGTACGTCTGGGTCTTACCATGTGTAAACTCTGGTCCATGATCATTTCCTACATGTACGTCTGGTCTTACCATGTGTCCAGGTCGGAGATGCACATGCCGGCCGTGTCGGTCCAGTTCTCCCTGATCTTAGAGGCCTACTGCAGAGGCAGCATTCCTCACATTGAGGTTCTGAAGAAGCAGGTTTGTAACTGTTTATTTCTACTCGAGTCTAAACTCAAAGTAAAAAACAAGGACATAAAGTTTGAAATGACACAGGGAAAGCTCAGACCTGTAACACACAGACAGAAGGACTGAACAAATACTGCTACAATCACAACCCTTTTCTACCATTTTGTTTAAACCTACGCCATCACTGTGTCAAAATGGAAAGTAAGATTGTGTGCAGCTCGAACAATCTAAGATACTAAATACATTTAGATTACATAAATATTATTAATTCATAATTACATAATATAAACAGACTCATGAACCCTGAGTCAGTATTGGACGCTCAGGACTCATCGTCAGCGGTGTCTTTATCACAGTGACTGTTGGGAAACAATGGCATGTTAAGCCTAGCGTACATCGACAGAGAAACTGGGGACAACTAGTTGCAAGGCGGCTTTTGGCAACTGAGAGGAGATGGTGGGAGATGATCAGTTGCCGAAATCGGTCGATGTGCGCGCTCTTACAACTGGAGATGATCAGTCGGTCTCCAGTTCCAGTCAGTTGCCCGTGTTCTACTTTTCGGCAACTAGTTGTCCTCAGTTGCCCCGATGTGCGCGCTCCATGCGCCGCTCCGACAACGTGTGTGTATTGCGTGTATTGCGAGCCTGCAACAGTTTATGTCAGAAAACACACTGTGGTTGAGGCCAGTTGCTGTCGATGTACGCGCTGTTATTCAAGAGACTGGCCTGCGACTCAGAGTTGCCCGTTTTCGCCAGATTGTCGATGTGTGCGGGGCAGCAACTCAGAGGCGACGGATATAATCAGTTGCCAGTCCGATGTACGCTAGGCTTTATACTTCATTTTAAAGCCAGTTATCTCAGGAAACAACCATATCATTGCATCTGCTCTAAAATGTTGACTGAAATGTAAGAAGTTTTAGTCTCCAAACACACGTCTTCTTGGTGTTTGGCCCAGTTGTTGTTGAATCCAAACCTACCAAAATTATTTACTAATAATATACTATAATATACAAACTCATGTTAAAGACAGTTTGTTTGTCAAAAGATGAAAATATATTAAAACATAAACATGAAATACTTTTGGCCCCGTCCAGCAGAGTGAGTGAGGTCCTCTCCTGTATACAGCAGTGAGGTCCTCTCGTGTGAACAGCAGAGTGAGGTCCTCTCGTGTGAACAGCAGAGTGAGGTCCTCTCGTGTGAACAGCAGAGTGAGGTCCTCTCGTGTGAACAGCAGAGTGAGGTCCTCTCGTGTGAACAGCAGAGTGAGGTCCTCTCGTGTGAACAGCAGAGTGAGGTCCTCTCGTGTGAACAGCAGAGTGAGGTCCTCTCGTGTGAACAGCAGAGTGAGGTCCTCTCGTGTGAACAGCAGAGTGAGGTCCTCTCGTGTGAACAGCAGAGTGAGGTCCTCTCGTGTGAACAGCAGAGTGAGGTCCTCTCGTGTGAACAGCAGAGTGAGGTCCTCTCGTGTAAACAGCAGAGTGAGGTCCTCTCGTGTAAACAGCAGAGTGAGGTCCTCTCGTGTAAACAGCAGAGTGAGGTCCTCTCCTGTAAACAGCAGAGTGAGGTCCTCTCCTGTAAACAGAGTAAAGAGGCCCCAGACTAAAACACAGAGATATTAAACTAACTTTAGAATCAGGAACTATGGGTTTTCCTCCTGCAGTATTTCCATGTTTTGTGCTTTGTTGCTCTTTGTTTTGCGCTCATGTTTATTTTTATCCAGTATCGAGGCTAAAAATCAACTCTGAAAAAGAATGTCCAGCGTAGGTTTCCTCCAGGTGCTCCGGTTTCCCATGCAGAATAAGAATAATCCTCTAGCTCTGTCCTCTGACCTGTGACCTGTGTGAAGTTCAGAATCAGAATCATTTATTTGCCATTTGCAGTAAAACCACATTGGAAAACTGTGCAAGACTACCCCGGTGTGCACCAGACACACACCAGAGCTCTTGCCACGGCGCCATCTTTACGGCGCCATGCGAGTTAACTCTGACCATTTCTCCGCTGACCACTTCCTCTTTACTTCCTCTTTACTTCCTTGTCACTGTGATTATTTATGAAACTACTTCCTGTTTTGAAGAGCGCACATACAACAGGACATGTGCTGAAGCTGATGGAGGGTTAACTGTTCCTACTGCGGGGTTAGACGGCAGTGGTTTGAACTTCTGGATTTATTTATTTTATTTATTTTATTTTTAATGTTTTTATTTTATTTATTGAACTTAAATAAGATCAGTTTTATTCTGAATCTATCCATACTTATCTTTTCTGTGTGTAAATCCAGGTTGAGGCGTTGACTAAACTGAAGTCTGTGAATGAACTGATCAAACTGGGAACCATTAAAAACGCTCGGAGCAAAGCGAAGGAAGCGATGCTGACGAAGGAGGCCATGCTGACCTGTCTGCGACAGAGCGGGTACTCGGACGCCCTCTCCGACATTCACTCCCCTCTCAACCCCAACATCCTCTTGGCTGCCATCAAGTAAGACCCAAGACCAGGACTGAGGCTGTAGACCCAGGACTGAGGCTGTAGACCCAGGACTGAGGCTGTAGACCCAGGACTGAGGCTGTAGACCCAGGACTGAGGCTGTAGACCCAGGACTGAGGCTGTAGACCCAGGACTGAGGCTGTAGACCCAGGACTGAGGCTGTAGACCCAGGACTGAGGCTGTAGACCCAGGACTGAGGCCGTAGACCCAGGACTGAGGCCGTAGACCCAGGACTGAGGCCGTAGACCCAGGACTGAGGCCGTAGACCCAGGACTGAGGCCGTAGACCCAGGACTGAGGCCGTAGACCCAGGACTGAGGCCGTAGACCCAGGACTGAGGCCGTAGACCCAGGACTGAGGCCGTAGACCCAGGACTGAGGCCGTAGACCCAGGACTGAGGCCGTAGACCCAGGACTGAGGCCGTAGACCCAGGACTGTGTTGTGTATTTTGTAGTGTGGAGAAATGTCGATACATGGATTCTAAGATGAAACCTTTATGGATCGTGTATAACAACAAACTGCTGGACTCGGACACTCTGGGAATCATCTTCAAGAACGGAGACGGTAAAACTTATATTTATTGATTTATTTTTTTTAGTGCTGTCCAACGATTAAAATATTTAATCGCGATTAATCGCATGAATTTCATAGTTAACTCGCGATTAATCGCAAATTAGTCACACATTTGTATCTATTCTTTATGTCCCTTGAATGATCATTTTAATACTACTAAAAAGTGAATAGGCGTGCTCTGTGCAATTGCTTTTTTTAATATTTTGTAAATTTGTTCATGTAAATACTCTATGCTGTTTCTCTGTTTACTTTCGGTATATCTATGACTGTATACTGTTTGCTTGTATTGCCTTTTTTATTAACCCCTCCCCCCCATCTCCCACTTCATGTCCCCCCCCCCCCTTCTTGGTTTCTTCTTTGGCCCCCTGTATCTCCAACTACATATTGTTTGTAATCTCTGTCTACAATGTATCTGAACTAGTCCTTTTCTTTGTTTCTATTTTTTTTTTCTGTATATGTGTTTGTCTGCAATAAAAAGTAAAAAAAAAAAAAAAGATTTTTTTTTTTTTTTTTTAATTGCGCGTTAAAAAAATGACGCCGTTAATATTGATCTGCGTTAATATTTTGGACAGCACTAATTTTTTTGTTATTATTCTATTGTTATGGCTATCTTGGTCTGTATAAATAATAACTATGATAGGTCTAATAAATCTCCTTTCAAAGCACTTCAGATCTAAGTCTGGCAGAGTTCAATCTCCCTCTTTTACTTCTCAATGTTGTGTATTCCAGTTGTCTCTTACTCAATTTTTCTTGGTTGTACATGAACAGGTGGAACTCGGAAAATTAGAAAATTGTTCAAAAAGTTAATTTCTGTAATTTATTGAGTGGACCCCGGGAAGTCTAGAGACCACCTGGAGGCTAATGAGGGTCCATATAAATAAATGAATAAATAATAATAATATCAGACTAATATATGACATTGTAATTAGAGTTTCGTTCGGGCCTGAAAAATGAAGCCCGACCCGGCCCGAGCCCGCTAATGCTAAGCCCGAGCCCGTATAAGCCCGACCAATGAACGCTGTATACAGGCCCGAGCCTGACAGAACCCGACACATCTGATTTCCCGTTGTACGCACTCACCTTCCAATTGCAAGTTTAGTCTCCACTTTTGAATTTGTTTTGTCTCCACTTGATCCATTTCTACTATTGTTCCTGTTCGCTGTTGACCACAGCATGCAGCAGGAGACACGGGGATGATGCGTTCACGGCTCGCTGCTGCTGTAGGACACGCTGGTTACGGTGTCATTAATATATTAACTTTTTTTAATAACTTGTTGTCAATCAACGGACATTGTTAATATATATATATATATATATATATATATATATATATATATATATATATATATATATATATATATATATGCATATATGCATATCATTATGTATAAAAATCATTTAAAAATAATTATAATAATAATAAAAAAGAAACATATATTTAAAAAAAGAAGCCCGAGCCCGGCACGAACCCGACAGCTGAGCGCCAAATGAGGCCCGATCCCGGCCCGAACTCAGGTCGGGCCTCGGGCCTGCTCGGGCTCTGGCTGAAAAGCGAAACTCTAATTGTAATCCATAATCAACATAATGACAAACAATTTACTGTCATTTTATTGTTTTTTTGTTTTACTCTGTAAGTCGAGTTCCAAGAGTAAACAAACTTATTTCCTGTGTTCTACATTAAAATATGTCTTCTTCAGAGTCCTGTAGCTCAGACTGTTTATTGACAACATTTACAACAGTCTGGTCTGTCTCAGTGAAAGGAGCAGATGGCTCTGAACATGATGGAAATAGACGTGTTATTGTCGTGTTTTCGAGATGACGTGCTACGGGAGGTGCTCGTTGCTATGACGACGGTTTATGATGTTTTAACAATTACGCAATTCAAATGAAGTGTTGTGTTATTTTAAGGGACTATAAATGGGACGAAAATTGGGGAAAAGGGGTAACATAGAAGCAATAACCTCCAACCAGAGAGACAGAGACAGACAAACACACACACACAAACTCTGGCCCCATACTTTTGAATGATCGGAGCCAGTTGTGATATTTCATCACACTGAATCATGTACAGTAATACAGTATTTATAGTATTCATATTATATATATAGTAGGTATTATATAGTATGTATTGGAAGAAAAATTATTGAGAGAAAAATCTATGTTTATTTCCTACATTCTTTCAAATGCAACAATAATAATACGAATAAAAGCATGAATGGTGTGTGTCGCGGTGTCACGTGTTTGGGGTGATCCCTTTCCGCAGAAGGGAAATGCCAAACACATGTAAAGGTTATTTGTGCAAACAGACGGCTAATGTGTGATGTGTGTGTGACAGATCTGAGGCTATGCTAATGCTAACGTGTGATGTGTGTGTGACAGACGGAGGCTATGCTAATGCTAACGTGTGATGTGTGTGTGACAGATCTGAGACAGGACATGCTCACGCTGCAGATATTACGACTCATGGACCTCCTTTGGAAAGAGGCCAACCTCGACCTCAGGTAAAACCTTTGGTGTTTCATGGTCACATGTTTAGGTTTCTGTCTCTGGGTCCGACTGAGACACACTGCAAAAAATGAGGAAATATGAGGAAATAAATGCTTTGGAATTGATGCAATGTGTGGGTGGGATGTTTCTCTCCTCTCATTCTCCTCTCTCTCCTCTGTCTCCTCTCTCTCTCTCCTCTGTCTCTCCTCTCTCCCCTCTCTCCTCTCTCTCCACTCTCTCCTCTCTCTCCACTCTCTCCTCTCTCTCCTCTCTCTCCTCTCTCTCCCCTCTCTCTCTCCTCTCTCTCTCTTCTCTCTCTCCTCTCTCTCTCCTCTCACTCTCTCCCGTCTCTCTCTCCCCTCTCTCACCTGTGTCTCCCCTTTCTCTCCCCTATCTCCCCTCTCTCTCCCCCCAGTGCACTCCAAACTGTTTCTTTGGACTCCTGTGCTAGAGGCAGAATCCTGTTAATTATTTGTGAGAAAACAAGAGTCTGAAATGAAGCTGCCTTTGTTCAGCAGGAGCCTGGTCTGGACCGTTCTGGACCAGTCTGGACTGGAATCTGTCCTTTAAACTTTAAAGTTTAAAGTTTTCAGGTTAAAGCAGGAGGCTCAGCACGAATACAATACTGATTAACTCGAGGTTTGATCATTTACTCCCATTAAAACCTCTGACCTTCGTGGTTTGCTGTCGTCACTCGGCTGTAACTAAATGATCCAAAGTCAGAATTAATTTTCAAACTACTGAAAGTCAGAATGAAACATGAGGAGCAGAGCTGTGGTTTAGCACCGGCAGGTTCAGGTCGAGATGTGGAGGCCGCACTTTCATGGGTTAGCATTTAGCTGCATTTGGTGAAACATATTTACTGGATTCTGTTTATTTAGGAACAAACATTTAAATAAGTGAAGGAGACGGAAACATGGAGCATTTTCCCGTTCGTGGTTTAGGGCTCGGTTGATTTGATTATTGGACTAAAGAACATCTGTAAATAAGCCACAGAAACGTTTAAAAAGAAAGTACCTTTTGACCAGTGACGTGCAGTCAGGGGAGGCAGGTGAGGCTCTGCCTCCCCTGACTGCACGTCACGTCACATCATAGGAAACAAATAATTATTTTAGTGATTGTTTTCCACTGTCCTATGATTTTAATGTATATTTGGCACTGTTCCGACCAGTTTTGATAATTTCTGTAGTCAAAATCGCTGAAATCCTATTTTTCCTATTCAAAGACCGAAGGTGAGGCCTCCCCCCAGATCCCTCGCTCCCACTTAGTGTGTGTGTGTGAGTGCACTCAGCTCGTGCTGTTGATATATCGCTGTTTGTTTATAATATCCTGCTTTGATAACATTTGTCTAACTTCTCATGGTGTTTAGAACTGTATTGCACGTATGTGTGTATTATTTTTATTTAGTTTAAGTCTTTTGATCGGAGAAGAATACACAAGTGAAAAGCTTGGCGTGAGGCAGGCAGTGTCTGTGCCTCACCGCTAGGGGTGATAGTGAGCAAAAAGTTCATATCCGATTTGCTAACAATCAGCCCAATATGCTATTTCTTTTGCTGGAAAATGGATGATTTGATTGAAGATGTTTTTCTCAAATGGACTTTCAATCAAAGCAAGAAATAATATAGACTGAGAGTTTCAGTCTCTGTGTTTAATGTTTAAAAATTGACTAGATAGCTGCTTAATAGTGCTTCTCCGAAAAACACTGATTCAACCACTGCTCAACAGTTCTGCAACTCTTTCTCTCTCTCCCCCCGTATCTGTCTCTCTCTCTCCTCCCGTCTCTGTCTGTCTCTCTCCTCCCGTCTCTGTCTCTCTTTCTCCTCGTGTCTCTGTCTCTCTCTCTCTCCTTGTGCTTCGAAAGATGTTTGATGCGGAGCAGAGAGTCAGCAGCTAGATTTGTTGTGAGATTATTAAAATAAGCTAGTTCTTTTATCTTTACAGTATAGGAAGTTTGTGGATGTTATTGCATTGGTGATTAAATGCTATTTTATTTTTAAAATGATGGTAAATCTGACTTAAAGTCAGTGCCTCCCCTATCACAATCCTCACCGCACGTCACTGCTTTTGACCACATGTAGGCCGCACTTGAATATAAGTGTTCATATTGTAATGTAACAGACTGTTTTAACTGAACACATGATTTAATGAGGTGTTAGCTTAGCCGTTAGCTTCCATGAGGCTAATTTGACAATGAAAGAGTGTCCTATTGATACTTAAACTTGGAGTCAAAATAATAAGTCCATAAACTCTAACTCTACCACAATACAAAAAAATGATTCCATTGCTTCATAAAAGCCGCAGGGGTCAAATAACTAGAAAAAAGTAGCGGCAAGTGTAGTTCATAAAGTCATTAATGACTTCACGCCTGACCCTTGACCTGTCTGACCTGCACTTCTACACACACACACATATACACACTTACATATACACATACACACGCACACACAAACTTACATATACGCACACACATACACACTTACATATACACACCCACCCACACACTTGCATATACACACACTTACATATACACACTCACACACTGTGCCGGACACATCTGGAGCAGAGTTTTTTTGACAGATCTGCAGAGGACTCGGGTTCAGGCAAGTGTGGGCGGGTCCCGGTTCAAAAGTGGCCAAAACGACGTGCGCTGACATGCTGCTATACCACCCCGGGCCGATGGGGGTGGACCTGGAATAAGAATTAGCCAATGCTTACATATAGCCTTGGCAGACCTCTCAAAAACGTCTTCACAGGATGGTCCAAAAGTTGGCTCTTGGCCCAAAGCTCCGTTCCACATGTGTGTCAATGCTGAGGGGAGTGTTTTGGACCAGTCTAGTTTAATTGCTGTGAATTTTTTAAGTCACTCGTTTAAATGAATGGGGCTCTCGCCGGCTGATGCAGATGCGTTTTTTCACAATTTTTGGCCCATTTGTTTGAACGGCGGAGATACGTGTGACTACGTCCGTTAATATTTACAGTCTATGGTTCAGGCCCAGGATCTAGGTCCAGACCCAGGATCTAGGTTCAGACTCAGACCGAGGAGGAAGAGCGAAGCAATCCTTTTTATCATAATAAGTAACAGGAAGTCAAAAAGTAGGAATTTGCTTTGGATCATGGCCGAGTTATTAAAATAAATATACATTATAGATTTGTGTAAACATAAAGCTCGAGTACGTAGATTTGTTGCTTTCTTAGTGATAAGTGGGTCAGCTCTCATGAAACTGAAATGTTGTGAACTAATGAGACCAAAACATCATTCAACACTTCTTCTAATTAGAAAACATGTTATGTGTCGCATTTATAAAAGTCTCACTGCAGCAGTCAGTCCATCTGAGGTAGAGGGAGATCTCTGCCACTAGAGGGCAGTGCAGACCTGAATACTGAGACTGGGACTGGCTCATGGGCAAACAAGAAATAACAATAGATTTGTGCATAAAAAGGTCCTCGCAGAATTCAAATTTACACGTGCACAGTAATAACACACAATAGTACATTAGGTAGAAGACTGTCTCTCATTTTGAGGAAGACTGTTCTAGATTGTAGCTGCATGAATCTGAAATGCAGCCTCCTCATGTTTAGTCCTGACTCTGGGACCAGCAGGAGGCCAGTCCCTGTGCTCCTCAGTCTCATAGCGGTCTCCTCTGGACCCTGTGTGCAGGATCGTCCCGTACGGCTGCCTCGCCACCGGAGACCGAGCCGGACTCATCGAGGTCGTGTCTTCCGCCGACACCATCGCAAACATCCAACTCACCAGCAGCAACGTGGCGGCGGCGGCGGCGTTCAACAAGGACGCTCTGCTCAACTGGCTCAAGGAGAGGAACACTGGGTACGACTCACTGTTACACACACACACAGGGTACGACTCATCATACACACATATATATATGTGTATATACAGTGGGGCAAAAAAAAGGAATCCAGGAATTCACATTGTAGGATTTTTAAAGAATTTATTTGTAAATTATGGTGGAAAATAAGTATTTGGTCACTTCAAACAAGGAAGATCTCTGGCTCTCACAGACCTGTAACTTCTTCTTTAAGAAGTTCTTCTGTCCTCCACTCGTTACCTGTATTAATGGCACCTGTTTGAACTCGTTATCTGTATAAAAGACACCTGTCCACAGCCTCAAACAGTCAGACTCCAAACTCCACTATGGCCATTACCAAAGAGCTGTCGAAGGACACCAGGAAAATAATTGTAGACCTGCACCAGACTGGGAGGAATGAATCTACAATAGGCAAGCAGCTTGGTGTGAACAAATCAACTGTGGGAGCAATTATCAGAAAATGGAGGACATACAAGGGCACTGATAATCTCCCTCGATCTGGGGCACCACGCAAGATCTCATCCCAGGGGGTCAAAATTATCATGAGAACGGTGATCAAAAATCCCAGAACCACACAGGGGGACCTGGTGAATGACCTGCAGAGAGCTGGGACCAAAGTAACAAAGGTCACCATCAGTAACACACTACGACGACAGGGAATCAAATCCTGCAGTGCCAGACGTGTCCCCCTGCTGAAGCCAGTGCATGTCCAGGCCCGTCTGAAGTAGTCTGAGAGCACATGGATGATACAGCAGAGGATTGGGAGAATGTCATGTGGGCAGATGAAACCAAAGTAGAACGAGGACAAGTTGCGCATCTTAAAAGCTCTCATCAGTGAGAGCTTTGAAGATGAAACGTGGCCTAGCCAGTCAACCCCATTGAAAATCTGTGGAGGGAGTTGAAAGTCCGTGTTGCTCAGAGACAGGCCCAAAACATCACTGCTCTCGAGAAGATCTGCATGGAGGAATGGGCCAAAATACCAGCTACTGTGTGTGCAAACCTGGTAAAGACCTATAGTAATTGTTTGACTTCTGTTATTGCCAACAAAGGTTATATATCAAAGTATTGAGTTGAATTTTTGTTATTGACCAAATACTTATTTTCCACCATAATTTACAAATAAACTCTTTAAAAATCCTTCAATGTGAATTCCTGGATTTTTTTTTTACATTCTGTCTTTCACAGTTGAAGTGCACCTATAATGAAAATTACAGGCCTCTGTCATTATTTTTAAGTGGGAGAACTTGCACAATCGGTGGCTGACTAAATACTTTTTGCCCCACTGTATGCACACACACACACATACACAACATATACATAGCACACAATAAATACACGTACACACACACACACACAGCATATACACACACACACACGTACACACAGATAAATCAGTTTTTTGACGTGCTAATGGATGATAACGGTGTGTTGCTATGGGAACTAGCACTCGCTCTTCTATGGTGGAAAAGAAAAAAGAAAATGGCTGCATTTATATTTTATAAGGTAGAACTTCTCACAATTAAAACATAAAATATGATTACATGAAAATAGTGACGTAGGAACAGAAAAAGTAATACGATTATGAAGACCAAACACTTTTTTTTATTTTATTTTTTTTATTTCAACTTAAAACCATACATGAAAGGACAGGACAACAGACATCAACAAGGCACAAAAAACAAAACAAAAACAAATACACCTTTGAACAAACAAAACACACACACACCCATACCACATTCTATGGAATGTACATGTTCCTCAGAACTCAAATCAGGGGAATGCAGTAAGCAAATATTGAAAAATGACTAAACAATACAAACTAGAAAATATGAATGAATACATTTTACCGAAAAAGGAGAAAAAGATAATCATAATTGAAAAAAAAGAGCAAAAAAAACATTCAGACTACATTTTGAAATATGTTAGACAAGGGGGGGGCTAAACAGCTATATCAATAATAATAACTGAAAAATTAAATTTTTTAAATTGTCATACACTTATCTTACACTTACTTATAATGTAATACATTTCATATAAAGAAAAAAGATAAATAAAAAAATAAAATAAAATAAAATACAATATTACTATCCAGTAGATATCCACTCTATCAATCTGGACCACCGTTTTTCATGAATATTTTTTTCTTTTTCAGATTTTAACATACACCCCTCAACTTTGTAATAATATTCAATATACCGCAAAAAACTTAACATGTTTAGTGAAGCCATATTTTTTGTTTTAAAAATAAATTTCTTACCTAAAAGAATAATTAGGTTAATTAATTGCTTCCATTTTGATTCTCCAAGAAACCCCAACACCACCGAAGGCAGGCCTAACTGACATTTTATATTCATCCATCCATCCATCCATTTTCTACCCTTTAATCCATTTCTGGGTCAGGGGGGTGGCAATCAGAGCTGCACCCAAGTCTCATAGCACCAGCCCCTCACTGACCCTCTGCAGGTGGTGAGTCCACAGGAGGGCGGCTGCTCTGAGTGTGAGCATAGCCTTGATTTTTCAGTGGGGGCTTTGGGCAAAGTGGGGTTAAGTTCAGTGGGAGTCGATGGAGAAGGTGCAGAGGTGGGAATTGAACCCACGACCTTCTGGCCTTAAGGCCAATGCTCTACCAACTGAGCTACTGTCGGTAGAATTATTCATGTCTTTGAATAATTGCTGTACTGCTTCCCAAAGGGCCGCCACCACATGGCAGTACCAAAATAAATGGTCAATAGATTCTGTTTCACTTAAACAAAAACGGCATTTGTCGGATTCAGCAAGACCCCAGATTTTAAGCATTTTATTTGTAGGTAAAAAATTATATATAATTTTAATTTGAAAAAATCTGCTGTGCGCGTCCACCACAGTTTGATATATTGTAAACCATCTTCCAGTAAATCGGTTGATCTAACAGATCTTCCCATTTTTTAAAAGTTCTATATGGCCAGGCTACCGCTAATTTTTGATGGAGATAAAACATATTTATACTTCTATTTATCTTATTTCCTTTCGACCACCTATAGGCCGACAAACTAATAACTTGCTACATTCACTATTAATTTTAATTTTCCAATTTCTCTTCAGGGCAGAGAGCAGCTGATTATATGAATGAGGGGAGCAGATATCTCCATAGGTACTAATAAGTTGATCATATTGCATTAACTTCCCATTTTCCCCTATGATATCGTTTATAAAAACAACTCCCCTTTTGATTGCATTTTCCCAAAGTATGGGTTTCCCTTCAATCAGTATATTTGAGTTTAACCAGATTATTTGTTGTAAAATTTCATCACGGTTATTTGGAGGGTTGAATTGAAAACATAACCAACACTCAAGAGTTTCTTTTAAAAACATTGATCCATCTTTTATAAGATCTATTACATTAGACATATGAGCTTTCTCTAGCTGCAGATACATGAAAAGTCCAGTTGAAAATATCACATGATTTTGTTCCAATAAAACACTTGTATACCAATTAGGGTTTTTGTGTATTTTTTGAACAAGAGAGGCTTTTAAAGCGAAACAAAATGCTTCTAGGTTTAGTAATTTAAAGCCCCCTACTTCATAATTATTGTAAAAAATATCCCTCTTTATCTTTTCAGGTTTACCGTTCCAGATAAATTCAAATATTTTTTGTTCATATAATATAAAAAAGCTTCTGGATGGAGAGGGAAGTGACATAAATAAATAAACGAATTGAGGCACTATTAAGGAATTTATCAATGCTACCTTCCCATACAAGGTTAATGATGCACCCTTCCATAGTTGTAGTATCTTTTCAATTCATCTTCTTTCATTCATTCATTCATCTTTTCAAAAAAAACAAATTTCAAAATACAGAGTAATCTGTCAATAGATTGGACAAATGGTCCAGTCAATATTCTAGGGATCGAAATACCAGAAAGTTTGAAAGATCTCAAAGTGAATTATGAAACGAAACTAAAAAAGACCAAACACTTTGATAGATCATGTTTTTAATAGAACAACATTGTCTAAACACCAGCAGGGGGCGCTAAACCTCCATGAAACTGTAGAGGACAGATGTTGATTTTTTGGTGTGGAATCATTTTCTAATGTCCTCCAATGAATGAAAAATAATTACTGATTGTATCTCAGTGTTTGCTTCCTCAGTCTATATCATTAAATACTGCCGTTAAATATCACCAGTTAAAAAGACGTTCTTATGATATTGTTAATCTAAGATTTGGTTTAATTAAAGTAGCTATACCCGTTTCTGCAAGGTTTGCTTGTTTAGCACCACCTCCCAACTCGCTCAGAGGCTTCTATTTTCCACTAAGCAGAGCCCCCTAGTCGTATTTGTGATCTGATGCTAACATTAGCATTAGCGCAACTTAAGCTGTACAACAATCACTGATGAAATGGTACAAAAGCAACGCACCTCTAACAAAATATATTACTGAAATATTTTGCGTCCGAATGTGGTCCGAGCATAGATAGTCCGAGGCGGTCCCACAGGTCTCTCCCATTGACAAGTCTCCCTAGAGGATACGATGTGTAGTATATGTGAAAGGTAATTATATACGTGGGGTAAATGAAAATGTAGTGTAGTGCGGCTAGTCTCCAGATCAGAGTCTCGCCGTACTACACGAGTTGGGGATCTGCTTTTTATTTTGGGCACCAGCAGAGTTTGAAAACTTCTGCACAGATCCAACTAATTTGCCTCGATACCAGTATCATAAATCTGATGGTTTTGAGTACGTAAATCGGCCAGGGATATCCAAGACTTAAAAACACGACGCTGAAGTGAATGAGTTAAAATTAACGTGGGTTTATTGACTACAAAATGAAAATAGAAAATATCAACGAAAAGGGGTTTTCTGGTCACATTAAGTAAAGATTGCCATACATATCATTTAAATCACATCCCAACAAAGAACAGTCTTACTTTTGAGAAGTCCGAAGGGGTAAGGACGATGGAAGGCAGTGGAGAGGATGAGAATGAAGAATGAAGAATGGAGATGGGGAAGGCGAGGGTGTCGTCCACGTGTCCTTTGTCCGGACGGGAGCAGGAGGAAGCCAGCGGGTCGGATCCAGACGTGGGTTCCGCGCACAACACGGTCTAGAATGGTGTTGCGGCGGGGTGTCCAGGGAGCCCGAGAGTGGCTGGCGATGGAGAGTCCTTGTCTCCAACAGCGGGGTGGCTGCTGTCCTCGTGGATGTACAGGCCCAAAAGTGGCTGGCGTAGGCCGCGTAGGAGACGCGTACCGAAAAGGTAGAGTTGTTAAAGTGATTACAAGGGAGAACCAAGAGGAAGTATCACTGCATTGTGTGTGTTTATATTGACTTCTAAAGGGGGCGCGTCCGTGACGTCATCCTTGTGCGTCTCTCTGGACCAACATGTCCCAAGGCAAAAACACATCACGCAGACATTCGCAATCAGATGCAGGATTAATACCAACATTCATAACACATGTACAGGCGCACAACGCATTTTCATTACTGATAACGATACACACGTTTAGGGCACAATACAGGTTATCCGAATAATGGCTTCACGGGTGATTGTTTAGACTGTCGTCTCGGGTGTGATAGTGTTCAGTGTCCACTGGGGGGCGCCATAGCACCGTGGGTGAGTCACAGATTGTCTCAGGGCCATGGAATGTCCTGGGAGTGAGAGCAGATTAGTGATCTCTGATCTCTGCCAGGCAGGAGGGCACAAAGATGTTTATTCTGGGGCTCAGTTTATTGCCCTGGTGGACACTTATGGTCTCTGTGACCGATGATGTCCTCTGGTTGACCTGGTCGTCCCTTAGATGTGCCTCAGGATGGGTCATGCTCAGGAGGGCATGTTTACATATCCTGGTTTGCTGGTCAACGTCCGACTGGCTGTCCTTTAATTCACCTTACAGATGTAAGCTAGCTATGTTCACCTGGGCTTGGTTTCGATCATTTTCTCGCTTTAGTTCCTTCTTCTCTTCCTCACTATTGTTTCGTTCGGGCTGTTTTGCTGTGTCTGCAGTTACAGCCAGAGGAGTTATAGCCACATATGCTAACATGCTACTGTTTTTAGCTTCGCTGTAGAGGCTAGAGGACGCAGCCTCGTTCAGTGATTGGAGCACGATGATCGGGCCGATCTCTAGGCTCTACTCAGCACTTTTATATGGCCTGAGTTCATACACAGCTGAATTAATGAGCTCTAGTTATCAATTAAATTCCGGATTATAATACAACTTGTATGTAGTAATAAGCATTTTTATGAACTCATTAGAAAAAAATCGGGTATAGCTTCTTTTAAGTCGTAGTTCAGGGGCGACAGTGGCTCAGTTGGTAGAGCATTGGCCTCTAGGCCTGAAGGTTGTGGGTTCTAGCCCACCACGGACCTTTCTCCACTGACTCGTTGTGTCCTTGGGCAAGACACTTAACCCCACTTTGCCTGAAGCCTCTGCTGCAAGATCTCAGCTCCTGTGGACTCAGCACCTGCAGGAGGATCAGGGGCTGGTGCTCTGACTGCCACCCCCAACCCAGAAATGGATTAAGGGGAAGAAAATGGATGGATGAATTTGGTCTTATTTCTTTTAAACCAAACCTTTTCTCATTCAGTTTGAAATCTGCTTTTGACAAACTTAACATTCATACAATGCGAGACATATCCACATGTGTGTGTAATGTTATTTACTGTGTCGTTTGTCTCGTTTGTCTCGTTCGTCTCGTTTGTGGTGTGACACTTTCCTGCAGTGATGCTTTGGATCGAGCCATCGAGGAGTTCACTCTGTCCTGCGCCGGATACTGCGTCGCTACCTACGTCCTCGGCATCGGAGACCGCCACAGCGACAACATCATGGTCCGCAGCACGGGACAGGTAAGACACACACACACACGTCAGACACACACAAAGGTCAGACGCACGCACACACGCACACACACACACACACACACACACACACACACACACACACACACACACACACACAGGTCAGACAGACACACCAGATCATTTTAGTTAATTTATTTTTAGTTTTTAGTCATGAAAAAAACCAGGACAATTCCAGAGAGATACACATTCAGACACACACACATACATTCAGACACACACACACTGTTATTAGTGCCCCAAAGTTATGTTATGTGTACCAAAACAACACACATTATACTAAACTGCCTCTGAGCCTTGATCACGTCACATCCTTCTTTGTGTCCTTCTCCAAAAGCAGATCCTGATTCGTTTCTTTGTTTGTAGCTTTTTCACATCGACTTCGGCCACATCCTCGGAAACTTTAAATCCAAGTTTGGAATCAAGAGAGAGAGAGTCCCCTTCATCCTCACCCACGACTTCATCCACGTCATCCAGCAGGGCAAGACCGGCTACACCGAGAAGTTCGGGAGGTAACTCTTCATCATCATCATCATCATCATCACACATCTGTCTTAGTCTAGCACTTTACCAAAACAATGTGTACAAAGTTCTGCAGTCAGAATAATAAACAGTAAAACTAATAATAATGAGATAGGAGATACAGGACGACAAAGCAGACGGTACAGTACGACATGAGGAGGTTAAAGCTGACTGTTACAATCTGTTTGATAAAAGTGAGTTAGTTACAGTTTGGAGACACAGAACAGCTCATAAATATAATAAGTTAAAGGGACAGTGTCATATTTTCATTCTAAATTAAATCCATCATTTGTGACGACAATAGGATGTTTGTTCACGACTTTCAAGCAGTTCCTCCAATCAGAGCAGGAGGAGGCCCTCTTTGGGTTGCCAGGTTGGAGGTGACATTTAGCTGCTCTTGGCTTCATCTTTGCTGTTCATCTATAGATACAGTTTATAACACAATTCGCATGCAAGTAATAACACAACACGTTTGTTAATCTAAAGGAATAAATGTTCATTTGGAATGAATAGTGTCGCTGTCACACACCAGCTACACACTCCAGCTACACAACTACACACTCCAACTACACACTGAAACTGTACACTCCAACTGTACACCCCAGCTACACAACTACACACACCAACTACACACACCAACTACACACACCAACTACACACACCAGCTACACACACCAATCAACAAAAGGGTGTTTCTCATCAGTATAAACCGTGCATTAGAATAAGTAATAAACGTCTCAAACACAAACAAAATAAAAAATATGCATTAAATGTACATTAGTAAAACACATGTAAAAACACACGTGTTCATAACAACATGAGAAGTCCTTCTCTGACTGAGAAACAAATGTGCAATGGTCATTTAGCCTCTAGAGGGCGCTGTCCACCAGCCCATTTCAGCCAAATACTTTTAAAGCTTTTCTCAGTACTGAGAAGTATTTGTTTGAGAATCAGAAATCAGTGAATCTGGTCAACAGCTTTTCAGTTTTTATCTTTGATTTTCATGGGACACAATCTGTTGAAAATATAAAAATCTAAGGTTTGAAAATATTATTTAAAAGTGAAACTTAAAGGTTATGGCGCACACAAAATTTAGGCAGCCCTTGATGCTCCTGCAGGAGGTCTGACCCCACTTTGCCTCAAGCCCCCTCAGACAGTGTCCTTCAGTGTCAGAGACAAACACAGCCTCAGTTCAAACCAGTGGGGGCGGGTCCCGGCTCAAAAGTGGCCAAAATGACGTGCGCTGACATGCTGCCATACCACCCCGGGCCGTTGGGGGTGGACCCAGAAGAAGAATTAGCCAATGCTAACATATAGCGTTGGCAGACCTCTCAAAAACGTCTTTACAGGATGGACCAAAAGTTGGCTCTTGGCCCAAAGCTCCGTTCCACATGTGTGTCAATGCTGAGGGGGGTGAACTTTTTTGGTCCACTCTAGTTTACTCGCGGGGAATTTTTTAAGTCTCTCGTTCAAATGAATGGAGCTGCGCCGGCTGACTCATGCGCAGATGCGTTTTTTCACAATTTTCTTGTGGGCGGGATCACTCGCGGCCTTCTTGGATTGCTCCATGAAAGCACTTTTCATGGCCAACTCCTATGAACGGCGGAGATAGGCGTGACTCTGTCCGTTCATATATACAGTCTATGGTTCAAACACAGCCTCAGGTCAGAACTGTCCAATGGGAGAGGTTGTTATTGTAGTGGACAAAGAAACGGTGAATCACGATGACAGCTCGACCAAAATAACGTGTTTCTGCTTCACTGAAGCTTTTAAACACCCACAGAGTCCTCACACTCTGAGTCAGGACCTCTCTGCTCCATATAGAGAGAGATAGAGAGAGAGAGAGATAGAGAGAAGTAAAGGTAGAGAGAGTAGGTGTGCTGTCTGGAAACAAAGGAGACTGTAATAACTTTGTTTCATGTGTAACGATAAGAAATGGGTGAGAATGGACCTGACGATTGACACCTGCAGCTGAAAAGACAAGATCATAAAGAAATCAGATGCAAAACAAGAAATACAAAAGTAAACTTGGCGAATGACTAGAAAATAGGATAATAAAGGAATAAGGAACTTGGGAAACATCATAATCAAACAAACTGACAAATTAATGTTTAAGATTTTTTATGAAAGACCAAATATAGCAAAGAATATTCAAAGACCTGCAAACACTGGTAATACATGATGCAACATGCAGGTGAAAGCTAGATCCTGTCAGACCTCTGAAGCTATGCAGGACAGGGCCTGGTTAGTACTGTGATGGGAGACCTCTGGGATCACCAGGTGCCACAGAGTCATCAGTTCTTGATCATGTCAGTGGACCACAGACAGATTAAACATGTAATATACTTCAATGAATTTGATTCTAGCCCTGTATCACAGAATTACATTTTTGTTCTGCATTCCGTCACATTTTTCCAATTCAATATTCAAGAATGTATTTGCCATTTGCAGTAAAACCACATTGGAAAAGCTGTGCAAGAATTTCCCCAGTTTGCACCAGTTTAATAAGTTTTTATTGTTTTATACACATTGCAGTCTATAGTTTACAGTTTACTCACTTCTTTTCTTGGATCCATATTTTAACTGAAGTAACAAAGTCAATCAGACCGAGACCAGATGAACTTTTGAGAAGACTCATTTATTTCCTGTAGACCTCCACAGAAACATAGATTATTATTTTTATTTTATTTTTTCTCTTTCGAAATACATCCTGGTGCGTATGATCTCTGTGCACATGTTAGAAATAAAAGAAGAATATAAAAAGCACGTGTGTGTGATCCGTGTGAGAGCCTCTGATATCCACGTGTTTCACCTCCACATTTATCCTCTCATTTAGACTCATTTAGACTCAGACCAGATGGTCCTGACACCATCGCTGCAGAGACGTACTCCAGGTTCAATGTGTCGTCACCTCCTGGTCTCTCTCTGGTCTCTCTCTGGTCTCTCTCTGGTCTCTCTCTGGTCTCTCTCTGGTCTCTCTCTGGTACCTCTCTGGTACCTCTCTGGTACCTCTCTGGTACCTCTCTGGTACCTCTCTGGTACCTCTCTGGTACCTCTCTGGTCCCTCTCTGGTCCCTCTCTGGTCTCTCTCTGGTCTCTCACTCCCTCTGCTCTGTATCACAACCTCTGTCTGGACCAGTGTGGGCGGGTCCCGGCTCAAAAGTGGCCAAAATGACGTGCGCTGACATGCGGCAATACCACTTGTGGGGGTGGACCCAGAATAAGAATTAGCCAATGCTAACATATAGCATCTTCTTACCTCTCGAAAACGTCTTTACAGGATGGTCCAAAAGTGGCTCTTGGCCCAAAGCTCCGTTCCACATGTGTGTCAAAGCTGAGGGAAGTGTTTTGGACCAGTCTAGTTTAGTCGCTGTGGACTTTAGAAGTCACTAGTTTAAATGAATGGGGCTTGTGCCAGCTGACGCATGCGCAGATGCGTTTTTTCACAATTTTCTTGTGGGCGGGACCACTCGCGGCCATTTTGGATAGCTCCAGTACAGCACAATTTTTGGCCCATTTCTTTGAACGGCGGAGATAGGCGTGACTACGTCCGTTAATAATTACAGTCTATGGTCAGGACTTTACAAAGTTGTCTATTGATAAACAGCAGATCAGAGAATCAAACCGTTTGAACACAGAAATGATAATAACAAACCCACACAAGATCCATCGGTCCAGAGGCTGTGACCAAAGTCCCACAGACGGGAGAAAACAAAGAAATGTATGTTTGCATAAAAATGTACCTGAAATCTTGCTAAATGTCCTTAAATATAACTGTCCTTAGACTCTCCTGCATCGGCAAAGCTGTAGACCCAGGACTGAGGCTGTAGACCCAGGACTGAGGCTGTAGACCCAGGACTGAGGCTGTAGACCCAGGACTGAGGCTGTAGACCCAGGACTGAGACTGTAGACCCAGGACTGAGACTGTAGACCCAGGACTGAGACTGTAGACCCAGGACTGAGACTGTAGACCCAGGACTGAGACTGTAGACCCAGGACTGAGACTGTAGACCCAGGACTGAGGCTGTAGACCCAGGACTGAGTCAAAACTACAGACCAATGGTGTCTTGTTCTCTGCAGTTTCCGACAGTATTGTGAAGAGGCGTATCTGGTCTTGCGGAGGAACGGGAACCTCTTCATCACGCTGTTCGCGCTCATGCTAACGGCCGGTCTGCCCGAGCTCACCTCCGTCAAAGACATCCAGTATCTGAAGGTAAATATAGAACTATGAATCACTCAAACCCATTGGAAATTAAATGCAAATATATTGTGACGTTTTAGTCAAATAAGTCACGGGAGATACTTTCTTTGCTCAACTCGTGCCACATACACCGCAAGACCCCGAGAAGGCAGTTTTATTGCAGTTTTAACATTAGACTACATAACACACTGAAAGCAAAGGACCCTATCAATTAACATGGTGAGCTCAGTCATGGTGCAACACTTAACAGTCAACATAACAATAAACCTGACAAACGGAACACTGCTGTGGCACGTTAGAATATCCTTAGAAGTAAAAGTGCTTTTTTCTGACATCAACAGAAATAAACTAATATATAAACTAAAAAATCAGATCTTTGGACAGTGGGAATGAAAGATGAAAAGTTTAGCTGTTGCTTAGAAACACTCATGATATTATGTAAGGGATAATGTATATTACGCAAGTCATTATCGGAAAATAAGTACTGACAGGGCAAAGCTGCCCTGAAGGTACTATACATTATCTGCTTATCATACAGCTTTGTACCAACAGAACACACAACATAAACTTCAGTCACTTTTAGGAATGCCGAAAGGTTTATTTAATGACTGCAAATAAAATAGTTCCCAAAGATTTTCCCGTGGCTATGTTAGCAACAGTTAGGCTAGTAACAGTTAGGCTAGTAACAGTTAGGCTAGTAACAGTTAGGCTAGTAACAGTTAGGCTAGTAACAGTTAGGCTAGTCACAGTTAGGCTAGTCACAGTTAGGCTAGTCACAGTTTGGCTAGTCACAGTTTGGCTAGTCACAGTTTGGCTAGTCACAGTTTGGCTAGTCACAGTTTGGCTAGTCACAGTTTGGCTAGTCACAGTTTGGCTAGTCACAGTTTGGCTAGTAACAGTTTGGCTCGTCACAGTTTGGCTCGTCACAGTTTGGCTAGTCACAGTTTGGCTAGTCTGTACTTCCACTGTACTTCCGCAGTGGAAGTGTGTAGACGTGTTCCTTGGTGCTCCGCTGCTTGCTTCGCTTTGTAATCTCTTTTAATTGCTTTATTTACATTTTTATTCTACAAAACACGGATTACTCCTTCTGCAGACTTCAGCTTTGTGAAATTTGTCAACATTAATCATGTCCGGACGGAAGAAACGAAGACAAATCTGCGATGGCTGCTGCTCTCTGGAAAATGAGCTCAAATTTCTTCAAAAACGGATGGATATTTTGGAAACAGAAATGGGACTTAACCCGACTCTTCCAATGTGTGAAAATGGAATGAATGGACAGACTGGAAATGTAAGTTATGATGACGTAATTACTTTTCCCAAAATCAACAAAGAGAACTATTGGAATAAATGCGGCGCTAAACCCAAAGTTGACAAAGCTAAGAATGACAATGGGAGTGGAATTCTGCCACGAAATGTTTGCAAAACTTCAAATCGTTATGCTGCTCTGTTTGAAGAAGCAAAGCCACAGTCTGTTTCTCCCCCTCCGTCAAGGCCACGGTGTTTGCTGCTTGGAGATTCAGCCATTCGGAATGTATCTTTGAACTTTGTACAGACTCATTCTTTGCACTCAGCCTGAGTCTGAGATAAGAGCTTTGTTGCCAAAAGTTTTATCTCAAACCAAGGATGTAAGTACATTGTTGATACACACAGGGGCAGTAGACATTTATGACAAATCCCCCGAGAAGTTGAGAAGAGATTTTACTCTGCTGCTGGATGACCTTAAAAAAATTGAGTTAAACGTGCTAATCAGTGGCCCCATTCCAAATGCAGATGGAAAAATCGAGAAGTTTAGCCGTCTGTACCAGTTAAATTCATTTCTACACAATGAGTGTTCACGCAGAGGACTTGGATTCATTGAAAACTTCAATCTGTTCTGGAATAGGCTCGAGCTCTTTGAAGGGAAAGGCCCACATCTGAACAAATACGGAGTAAAAGTGTTGATGGATAACTTTGCATCTGCCTTAAGACCTCAGCTTGCGCAGCGCGTTCAGCCGTTGAAAGAGAGGAGGATACAAAGGGCGAGACCCTCACGGAACCCAGAGGTCTCGGCACCTCCACCGCCTCAAAAGAACTCAACACGTCCACCAGCATCATCATCAGCAAAGGATCCAGCACCAGCAGCAGCAGTGGCTGCCACAGCGTCATCAGCGCCTTCAGCATCAGCACCACCAGCACCAGCTGTGGCTGCTGCATCATCTTCAGCAGCACCTTCCCCACCTACAGCTCCCGTGAAGCCCCCCCCATTGCTCCAGGCTACAGTCAGGCCTGCACTGGGGGCCTCTCAACCACCTCCGTCTCCACCAAAGACTCCCTCATCACCTTCCATGGACCCGGTTTGGGTCCCCCCCGCTACATCCACTCCATCTAAGGAACATGAGGACGACCTTTCCCTGTGTTTTCCATCACTATTGGATTTACCGGAACACTCTGCAGGCATGATAAGATCGGCGATGAAGAATATTCCTCTCACACCCACTGTAGCCAGATCAAGGGTCCTATCTAACATTCATAACTTCTCCCCATACGTACCTCCAAAGCCACCTAGGGCGTCCAACTCAAATTCTCCCACAAAATCCACCCGTCCCTCAAATTCTACGAATTCACCCGCAAAATCCACAGGTCCCTCCCCTAACCCCAAAACCATTCCAGCCCCACCCCCACCCCCCCCTCGTTTCCCATCACCAAGAACCCCTCCACCTCCACTCCCCCCTCGTCTATCTCCCAACTCCTGCCCCTCCCCTAACACCCATCCACCTCCAACCCCCCCTCGTCCAACACCCAAGAACCACCCACCTCTCCATCCTCCTCCCTCCTCTCCCTAGGATGCACAGGGTCTCTGCTTCGCAGCCACTGGCAGTCTAGTTAGAGGAGAGACCTGGCTGGGGCCCTGTCATGAAGCCACCTGTGCCATTCCCTTAGTGATAACACAAAGAATACATTACAGAAAGACATCTGGAGTTAATCAGTCTAATCTGGAAAATCTAATTCTTGTTCCGTGTAAGAATCAGCCGACCACAACCGCTGATACTGAAACTTTGAAACTTGCTATGCTAAATGTCAGATCTCTTTCTAACAAGTCTTTTTTAATCAATAATTTTATTTGTTCTTATAATCTTGATCTTATGTTCATGGCTGAAACATGGCTTGACCAAAATACAGAAAATGCAGTTTTAATAGAAGCATCACCACCAAATTTCAAATTTGAATCTGAAATACGGGAAAACAAAAAAGGAGGAGGCTTAGCTGCCATTTTTAGAGACCACTTTGTCTCCCATAGAATGTCTCTTGGGAAGTTTCCGTCTTTTGAATATGTGTCTTTTAAAATACAACAAAAACAATCTCCTCCAATACTCTTCATAGTCCTATACAAGCCACCGCAGTCATGTCACAGTTTTATTGATAATTTTACCGAGTTGCTTTCAGTTGTATGCACAGATTTTGATAGTTTAGTTATTACAGGTGATTTTAATATTCATGTGGATAATGTTGATGACAGAAATGCAAAAGAGCTGAGTTCTTTACTTGATACCTTTGGTCTCACTCAGCATGTGAGTGGCCCCACCCACAGCAGAGGGCACACTCTAGACCTGTTAGTTACAAAGGGGGTGAATATTTCAAATATAAGCGTGGTCGATGTTGCTCTTTCGGATCATTTCTGTGTATTTTTTGACATGTGTTTCACTAACAAACCACCAGTGGACTCTGCAACTGTTCGAAGAAGACACATAAATGAAAATACAAGTGAACTATTTATGGGAATGATAAACTTTGAAAATGCATCGTATTCTACTGTAGATGAACTGTTTAACTCTGTCACCTCTAGTGTTTTGAATGTTCTGGATACCGTTGCCCCTGTGAAGGTTAAAATAGTGAAAAATAAGCAGAAGGCGCCGTGGGCTAAAGCAGACTCGGTCAGGGCACAAAAGAGAAAGTGCCGGAGGGCCGAGCGGAAGTGGCGCAAGTCCAACCTCCAGGTTGATTACAAGATCTTCAAAGATAAGTTGTGCGAGTTTAACCGGGTGCTACGTAGTACGAGAGAAAGGTATTTTTCTGAAATGATTGAAGGCTGCAGTAACAATCTGCGTGTTCTGTTTTCAGCAGTTAATAGATTAACAAACCCCCCTGTTCAGATGCCATTAGAGCTAACTTCCAAACATAAATGCAATGAGTTTGCACACTTTTTCAATGACAAGGTTCAAGGCATCAAAAACGCCATTGTCTCCAATCCACAGATAACCATCCAACAGCCAGAAAGGCTCTCTGAGCTAACTTACTTTGCACCTGTAGATGATAAAAATGTCCAAGAAATAATCTCCAGTTTGAGCTCCTCCACATGCAGCCTGGATGTACTACCCACTAGATTTCTGAAGTCTGTTCTGAGCAGTCTGTTACCTTCACTCACACAGATAGTAAACATGTCCCTTCATTCTGGAATATTCCCAAAGGCCCTGAAAACTGCAGTCATCAGGCCCCTGCTAAAAAAGAGCAGCCTGGATGCTACGGTACTTAACAACTATCGTCCCATCTCAAATCTGCCATTTATGGGGAAAGTCCTTGAAAAAGTTGTCTACCTACAGCTTACTAGATTTCTTATAATTAACAACTCATTTGATATGTTTCAGTCCGGCTTTAGACCCCACCACAGCACTGAGACTGCTCTTGCCAGGGTTACAAACGATATCCGGCTGAACACTGACGCAGGCAAAGTCTCAATCTTAATCTTGTTAGATCTGAGTGCTGCCTTTGACACCGTCGACCATGAGATCCTCTTACAGAGATTAGAGGACTGGGTTGGAGTCGCTGGCACCGCCCTAAGTTGGTTTAGGTCTTACCTTGAAGACAGGAAGTACTTTGTGGAGATTGGAGACTGTGTCTCAGATCATATGGCCCTGACCTGTGGAGTACCACAGGGGTCGATCCTGGGACCTCTTCTGTTCAATCTCTACATGCTGCCGTTAGGTCAGTTAATACGCAGAAACAAAGTGTCCTATCACAACTATGCAGACGACACTCAGATCTATGTCTCACTGACTGCAGGAGAACATGGACCAGTGGACTCACTCCTTCACTGTATCCAACAGATCAGTGAGTGGATGCAAAACAACTTCCTTCAGCTAAACGCAGACAAAACTGAAATGATTGTCTTTGGTCCCCAGAAACAAAGAGAGAGCGTCATCTGTCACCTACAGTCTCTCTCCCTAAAACCTTCAAACAAGGTCAGAAATCTAGGGGTAATACTGGACTCAGACTTAAATTTTAATAGCCACATCAAATCAGTAACATCAGCAGCTTTTTACCATCTAAAAAACATTGCCAGGATCAAAAACATAGTGTCTAAAGCAGACTTGGAGATTCTTATCCATGCATTTGTCTCCAGTAGGTTGGACTACTGCAATGGCCTGCTCACAGGTCTGTCCAAACAGGCTGTAAAACAGCTGCAGTACTTTCAAAATGCAGCAGCTCGAGTCCTGACTAGAACCAGGAAGTACGACCACATTAGTCCGGTCCTCAGGTCCCTGCACTGGCTTCCTGTGGCTCAGAGAATAGACTTTAAAACAGCTCTGCTTGTGTACAAATCTCTCCATGGCCTCGCACCAAACTATATTAGTGACATGTTAGTACCATATGAACCAGCCCGGACTCTGAGGAGCACAGGGACTGGACTCCTGTTAGTGCCCAGAGTCAGAACTAAACATGGGGAGGCTGCTTTTCAGATTCATGCTGCTAAAATCTGGAACAGTCTTCCTGAAGATGTGAGACAGGCCTCCTCTCTGACAATGTTTAAGACAAGGTTGAAAACAGTTCTGTTTAGCTGTGCATACAACTGAGGGATTTTATATTTTTATCTTTTTTTTAATGTACTGTGATTATTTATGATTTTAATGCTTTCTTGTTCTGTTCAGCACTTTGAATTGCCTTGTGTATGAATTGTGCTATATAAATAAACGTGCCTTGCCTTGCCTTGCCTTGCCTAGTCACAGTTTGGCTAGTCACAGTTTGGCTAGTCACAGTTTGGCTAGTCACAGTTTGGCTAGTCACAGTTTGGCTAGTCACAGTTTGGCTAGTCACAGTTTGGCTAGTCACAGTTTGGCTAGTCACAGTTTGGCTAGTCACAGTTTGGCTAGTCACAGTTTGGCTAGTCACAGTTTGGCTAGACTAGAACTCTCTCGAACTGCATGAAAGCTGAACAAAGAGAACATCAGTGAGTGACCCAAACATAAACATCTGAATTACAAGCAGAGGGTGCGTTGCCAAAGGGCAGCGGTCATTATTGTTTTGAGAGGTCCGTTATCAAGAAATAATGACTGTAGAACGTTTTGAAATTACATTCAAATCAACGGAGCGTTCTCCTGCTGCTGTGAGGAGCCGTGTAATGAGAATTATAAAAGGACACATTACTTCATATACTTAGACGGATTCTAATGAAGCAAAAGGTTCTGAGTCATAACCGTAGACTTTCACCTTTGTCAGAGGAGAGGAGTAAGGAGTCATGTTTATTTATATAGCTCCTCCTCTCTCCTCCTCTCTCCTCCTCTCACCTCCTCTCTCCTCCTTTCTCCTCCTCTTACCTCTCCTCCTCTCTCCTCCTCTCTCCTCCTCTTACCTCTCCTCCTCTCACCTCATCTCTTCTCCTCTCACCTCTCTCTTCTTCTCTCACATCCTCCTCTCTCTCCTCCTCTCCCACCCCTCTCCTCCTCTCTCCTCCTCTCCCACCCCTCTCCTCCTCTCTCCTCCTCTCCCACCCCTCTCCTCCTCTCTCCTCTCACCTCCTCTCTCCTCCTCCTCTCTCCTCAGGACTCTCTGGCTCTGGGTAAAACAGACGAAGAAGCTCTGAAACAGTTCAGGCAGAAGTTTGACGAGGCGCTGAGAGAGAGCTGGACCACCAAAGTCAACTGGATGGCTCATAACGTGGCCAAAGACAACCGCTCCTAGAGTCCAGGACCGGACCCATGACCGGACCCATGACCGGACCCATGACCGGACCCATGACCGGACCCATGACCGGACCCATGACCGGACCCATGACCGGACCCATGACCGGACCCATGACCGGACCCATGACCGACCCATGACCGGACCCATGACCGGACCCATGACCGGACCCATGACCGGACCCATGACCGGACCCATGACCGGACCCATGACCGGACCCATGACCGGACCCATGACCGGACCCATGACCGGACCCATGACCGGACCCATGACCGGACCCATGACCGGACCCATGACCGGACCCATGACCGGACCCATGACCGGACCCATGACCGGACCCATGACCGGACCCATGACCGGACCCATGACCGGACCCATGACCGGACCCATGACCGGACCCATGACCGGACCCATGACCGGACCCATGACCGGACCCATGACCGGACCCATGACCGGACCCATGACCGGACCCATGACCGGACCCATGACCGGACCCATGACCGGACCCATGACCGGACCCATGACCGGACCCATGACCGGACCCATGACCGGACCCATGACCGGACCCATGACCGGACCCATGACCGGACCCATGACCGGACCCATGACCGGACCCATGACCGGACCCAGGACCGGACCCAGGACCGGACCCAGGACCGGACCCAGGACCGGACCCAGGACCGGACCCAGGACCGGACCCAGGACCGGACCCAGGACCGGACCCAGGACCGGACCCAGGACCGGACCCAGGACCGGACCCAGGACCGGACCCAGGACCGGACCCAGGACCGGACCCAGGACCGGACCCAGGACCGGACCCAGGACCGGACCCAGGACCGGACCCAGGACCGGACCCAGGACCGGACCCAGGACCGGACCCAGGACCGGACTACACACTGTAAAAACACAAAACTATAATGCGCCTTATGGAAACCAGTGAAAGGGAACGGACAGGAGACGCTTGGAATGTTTTATAACCAGAGGAACGAGCAAAAACACTTCTGCCTTTTCTTTTTCTTTTTTTTTTTTACTCACAAAGAATCAGAGCGTTTGACTTTACTGTGGGCGGAGTCAGGGGCAGGGTCGTGGGCGAAGTCACGAGACACAAACCAAAGTAAAACAGTCTGATTACGCTCACACAGAAACGCTCTAAGTTCTCTCAGATTCAGCGAGAAAGACGTTTTAATCCGGAAGGAGCAGAAGAAGAAGAAGAGTCTGATGTGATTCTCGCTGCCTCAGAACCACAGGAAGATTGTATTTTTTTGTATTGATTTCAGCGTTTTCTGTGGAGCTGAAAGTGCTTCTTCACTAAGTATTTTTGAAGCAGAATGTGGTGTAAACACATGGCACACGCCTTTTTAATCTAATACATGTTAAATTATTTTAGTTAGAAACACTGGAATAAAACTCATTAGTTCATGTTTTTAAGGTTTTATCCATAGATTTGATCCACGTCCCAGAATATAGATACAGATTGTAAATCTGTCGTGGATCAGGACGTTCCTGACGACACCGGGATTTTAAGGCAAAACAAAGAATATTACAGAATATTATGGTTTTAAAGCTGGGATACCTAACTTTCAAACCATCTAACTACTCTTCACATGAATGTCTGGGTTTGTCTTCAGAGAAACCACCTGGGTGTTATTTATGAAACCAAAAAGTTATGAACCCAGCTTTAATGTGTATTTGACATTTAACTTATGACAGATTTGATTGGATGCAAGCAATGTGAACTATTGTTGATAAGTTAACTGATTATAACACTGGAACTCCCAGAGCAGTCAATTTGACTGCTTCTGTGGTCCTCTGTGGTCGTCATAGCTTTGACTTTTTCTGTATCTATGAAATTAACCTTTATTTTTGAAACCAGAGCAGTTCAAATGTTGCCATTTTTAGTCACCCGGCAACTGACATCTTTTGCCAGTGCTAGTTACCATAGCAACGCACTGTTCATTTCCAGCAGTTACCGTAGCAACACACTGTTAACTAGCAGCAGTTAGCATAGCAACTGTTTTTCGCTGTATTTAAAGTTATATACATATATTATATTCATCATTTTGAGCAGTTATTAAATATGAACGGTAAAACATAAATATTACTTTAAGTCAAACAGGTGGAAAACAAACTAACTTTAGGAGATTTTCAGAGTTCCATTGATTTTGAATGAGAACAGTCAAAAAGACTGCTCCTGGAGTTCCATAGTGTCATAGATCTGGGAGTTTAGTGAAATAAAGCGGAGAAAGTGCCATAATCAGTTTCTTCAAACTACACTGCAAAAAGTGACAAAAAAGTTAAAGACACCGTTCATCTTTGTGCAAAAGTGTAGGATTCTGTGATTTTTTTTTTCTTCTCCTGGACCAAATGTTTATTATTATTATTATGTTTTTAATCATGAGTCAAAGCTGAATGTGCCACTGTCTGTGGGAAGTATTAAGTTTGTGGGTCTTTGCAAAACCGTCTGCTCTGATTGGACGAACCGTGCACCAACGGTATCTTTGAATATTGTGCAATATCTGAGAAATATGATAAATAGATCTGATAAACGTGGCGCCCACTTTTTAATTTTCTTGTGATTAATGTGTATTTTCTTGGAAGAAACTCTTTCCTCTGAGTCTCAGACACTGGATCCAGCTGCATAGGTTCATGTTTTTATGTTTTTGTTTCATAGGAGTTTTATTAAAGCTATTTTTGACTGCACTGAGTTTGTCTGAGGTTTTTGATGAAGTGAGAAAAGTATTTGTTTTTTATTTGAATTAAAGGGACGGTGTGTATTTATTTATCTTTCATGTGTTTCTAGGTCAGAGGTGTCAAACTTGTTTTGGTCGAGCCGGAATAAGAAATTCCAGCAGGTGGATTGCATCAGTAATCAGTGGTTAGCAGGAGGAGGATTTGGGAAGAATGCATTGATAGAATCTGACGACTTCATCTGAATTCAGCAAAAACACCTCTGTCCTCCGGTGCTTTAGAACCGACCTTTTAGCTTCAGCCAGGTTTGGTTTGTGCGAAAGGCAATATCTATGTTTTTAAAACCACTGACGACAAATGTTATACCACAAAAGTCAAGACAAATGAGAAGGAAGAAGGAGGAGGCTGTCTGTTTGTCTCTACTCAGACTGCTGCCTTCTGACCAGGCAATGGATGAAGTGGAAGATTAAATGGATGGGTTAGTTGTATGTGTTGTACTAACCAGAAATGTTGTACCTTTAACCTGGGTGGTGAGAAACTGCTATTGTAGCCACAGCTGCCCTGGGGCACACTGACTCATTCTAATGTGGGGGAAGTGTCTTGCCTAAGGACACAACCAGAATTTGGCACTTTACAGCCGTTGCCGCCTCACTGTGGCACCTGCTGTTCCCAGAGGTCTACCATCACAGCTCTAACCAAGCCCTGTCCTGCTGAGCTTCAGAGGTCTGACAGGATCTGGCTTTCACCTGCAGGTATAGTGTAAGTTTGCAGTACACCCCAGCTTTAGTTTCTGTCAATTCGATCGATTTTATTCTTGTCTCTGAGATCACAACAGTTTTGTCTGAGGACTTAACAAAACTGTTGATTTCTCCAACACCTCCTCCTCTGACCTCCTCTTCTAACAGTCTATACTCTGACCTCCTCCTCTAACAGTCTATACTCTGACCTCCTCCTCTATCAGTCTATACTCTGACCTCCTCCTCTATCAGTCTATACTCTGACCTCCTCCTCTATCAGTCTATACTCTGACCTCCTCCTCTATCAGTCTATACTCTGACCTCCTTCTCTATCAGTCTATACTCTGATCTCCTCTCTACCCTCCAGTCTTTCTCTCTGGGTTTCTCTCTGGGTTTCTCTCTGGGTCTCTCTCTGGGTTTCTCTCTGGGTTTCTCTCTGGGTTTCTCTCTGGGTTTCTCTCTGGGTTTCTCTCTGGGACACAGTGACTTTACCTTTTACATGTCTTCATTTATTGATGGTCTTTTTCTTCTCAGCGTGATCCAGAGTCTGTTGTTTTCTCAGTTACATAACTCTGACTCTGGACCAGAGCTTTTCTCTGCAGCCGGAGGACCACACATGTAAACGGAGTAAATGTTCATAAGTTATTCATGAATATTAATCATGAGTTATGTGTGTCCAGAGAGGAAAGAGCAACTCTGTCCAAGCATCGGTTTGTTCTGATTAATTATGTTTTATTATTATCCTTGATTTCCAATATTCATTTTTTATTGATATTTACCCATTTCAATATGTTTTGTTTAATCATTTTCTGAGAAAAATTAGTAAATACTGGATTTCTTCCTATATTTTCAGATCGCAGGGTGACCATAAAACAATCCAAATATAGGAACCTTTTCACACCTATTTTGAAACTTATTTGTTTTTCCCGTTCTGTCTTTGCTCATGACGAATGGTCGGATTGTAGTAAATTGGGTTAATGTTGGACGTCTTTGGAGGATTTCTGGTTTGATAATCACAACATTGTGAGAACCAGGGGCCGAGTGACTCAGCCGAGGATTGATGATTGAATGTGATTGCATACACTTCATAAAGAGGATGCAGAGACGATAAACCGTGAACCAATCGGAAACCGCCCACTCTCCGCCGCGCCCACGGTCCATGAATATTCACATGTTGCAATCTTTCAGAGTGTTTTGTTTCTGCGAGTTTCAGCCTTTTCCAGAGACGCTTTTTCAGGAAGTGTCAGAGCGTCTCCTTTTAGACCATCATGGATTAACTAAAATGTTATCTTAGTTTGAAACAGTTCTTCAAACATTGGAACAACCAGCGTTAGTTTTATTTCAAACACAGAAAGAACACATTCACTTCTTGTTGAACCTTTAATGGTTTGGTAGATCACCTTTAACTTTAATCAAACTGCATCTCATTCGGGAAAGGCTTAAAAGTGGGGATTATTGTGTTATTAGTCCTCAAAATAAAAACAAGAAAACATGACTTTTCTTCAAAGAGTGAATATTAAAGAGTTAATTGCAAATCTTGTTTTCCGAAATATCAAAAAGTCTGATTAATTCATGCAAAATGTGAGTAATTTCAATATTTGGCATTTTTTGTAGTGTAGTGTTTCACCGATAAAACAATCTTTCATCTTTTGTTAATGTAAAAAGTGCAGTTTTTATATTTACTCTTCACGATGATCCTTCAAGAGAAGAAGAGGAGGGATCTGAGCTGAAGGTCGGAGTGTTAAATGTTTTTCTAGTGTTGTGTGGAGTCATCGACAATAACCTCTCAATTCAATGTACTTTTTGCATTATAACACACAGATCCATAAAGAGAAGACACTTGTGTCCTGACATCTCCTTGAATGTCCTAGAAGGCAGAAGGTACGGGGTTCAAATCCCAGTTGGAGCAGGCCTTTCTGAGTGGAGTTTGCATGTTCTCCCTGTGCCTCTTCCGGTTTCCTCTTGATGCTCCGGTTTCCACTACCACTAAAAACATGAACAATTTTAAAGCTTTCATCCACGCTAATAACATACATCTCAGGAGCCAACTCGTCCCCCTGCCCCTTCTGTGTAAATCTCAAACCTGAAGAATCCACACACGAACAACTCCTAGACTCCAGGAAAAATATCTGTGTTTAAACAAAAACTCAAGAGTTTTTTCCAGTGAGACCACGTTTTAACTGCTCGGTGACACTGCTTCATGTAAAATCCTTCACACATCTTCATCCATCTCTTTTCTATTCTGATTATTTTACATTGTGAAACATCAAATCCATCCATCCATTCCATCCATTTTCTACCCTTTAATCCATTTCTGGGTCAGGGGGGTGGCAGTCAGAGATGCCACCCAAGTCTCATAGCACCGGCCCCTCACTGACCCTCTGCAGGTGGTGAGTCCACAGGAGGACGGCTGCTCTCTGAGTGTGAGCATAGCCTTGATCTTTCAGTGGGGGCTTTGGGCAAAGTGGGGTTAAGTGTCTTGCCCAAGGACACAACGACAGCAGTCATCAGTGGGAGTCGGTGGAGAAGGTGCAGAGGTGGGAATTGAACCCACGACCTTCTGGGCTTAAGGCCAATGCTCTACCAACTGAGCTACTGTCGCCCCAAACATCAAATGCCAAAGCAAATGGTCTCATTAATATACGGACTAAAAACTATATTTAATTTAACTAATTATGCCCCAAATATTACTGCACATTGAAGACTAACGCAGCAGATTTGGTTTGTACATGTTTTAAAGCTCTTTGTGACTCTGGGCTGTGAAAGCGCTATATAAATAAGCATGGCTCACTGACTCTGAGGAAAGATAAGATAATAGATTCATGCCACAGTGGGGAAATTTCAGTGTTGCAGTGCACAGACAGGACAGTAGTAAGAGACACAGAATATACAAAATACGTAGCTGTTTTGTTTATTTTATTTTAAACGAATGAATAATGCATTTTCCAACTCTCCCTTTAATATTGTTTTCCAGGAATCCCACAAAACTGTGTCGGCTTCTGTAGGAAACATTTTGTGAATCAATAATGTGTGAAAAATGATTTAGCTCTGTAGGAAGTGATGGATGTGTGACTGTAGTTTTTGTGCCAGTGCCCGGTTCAGCAGAGAGAGAGTGGGAGAGAGACTTGGCTCATGGGCTATGGGCATCGCACCCACACCCTTCGTATCCCCCATATGTCTCTGTGGGCGAAGTGTCGCACAACAGGAGCCAAGAGCTGAGAATCCCTCTGAGGTCCGTGTTGTGGATCCGTGTTGTGGCTGTCGGTCCATGTGCTTCTCATGACGAGGCCAGAGATGAACAAACCGTGGCGAGGAGCAGCTCGGTCATGTGTGATGCGTGTTGAATAATGGACTGAAATAGACTGAGGATGTCAACTCTCACACCTCAAAACATGATGCAAGAGACAGCCACGGGACCAACTTAGTAGCCTTAACATGTGAACAGCCTTAGCATGTGAATCAGAATAATTTTTATTAGTTTTTCTCTATTGCTACAACACAAAACCCAGTACTCTAAACCAAATGACCAATTGCCTAAACACATTTATCAAAACTTCCCCCCACTTCTCACAACCATAAACACAATTCTCCTGTAGACACTGTTCACAAAACACATGCCCTTTTTCTCAAAACTCTAAACACATTTTTCTTTTGCTAAAACACATTTTTCCTTTGCTAAAACACTTTTTGCATGTATCTCTGCTCCTATAATCATTGTGAGGCTCATGTGATGAAAAATGTCTCCCACTGTCAGCAAAACCTGAACACAATGAACATACCTGGTGTCATTCAGTAAACACAACCACTCAGAATTGAAAACTCCTGTTGCAAATGATGTGACCACAACTTTAGTCAGTGCAGGTTCCAAACGACAATGGATGATCAAGGCAGAAGAAGAGGAGTTTGTGTCAGAGGAGGGAGAGGAGCAGGTCAAAGAGGGAGAGGAGCAGGCCAAGAAGGGAGAGGAGCAGGCCAAGAAGGGAGAGAAGCAGGTCAAGGAGGGAGAGGAGCAGGCCAAGAAGGGAGAGGAGCAGGTCAAGGAGGGAGAGGAGCAGGCCAAGAAGGGAGAGGAGCAGGCCAAGGAGGGAGAGGAGCAGGCCAAGAAGGGAGAGGAGCAGGCCAAGAAGGGAGAGGAGCAGGTCAAGGAGGGAGAGGAGCAGGCCAAGAAGGGAGAGGAGCAGGCCAAGGAGGGAGAGGAGCAGGTCAAGGAGGGAGAGGAGCAGGCCAAGAAGGGAGAGGAGCAGGCCAAGAAGGGAGAGGAGCAGGTCAAGGAGGGAGAGGAACAGGTCAAAGAGGGAGAGGAACAGGTCAAATAGGGAGAGGAGCAGGTCAAAGAGGGAGAGGAGCAGGTCAAGGAGGGAGAGGAGCAGGTCAAGGAGGGAGAGGAGCAAACCAAGGAGGGAGAGGAGCAGGTCAAAGAGAGGAGCAGGCCAAGGAGGGAGAGGAGCAAACCAAGGAGGGAGAGGAGCAGGTCAAAGAGAGGAGCAGGCCAAGGAGGGAGAGGAGCAACATGTATTATGAATGCACGGGAAATGTAGGTACCCCAGCTTTAATATAGTGAGTTGTAGTTTCAGGACGACAGGTGGAGACATGGGGGACACTTCCAGAGGCTCACATAATTCAGTTGTGTTTCTCTCGCAGCGGTGGATTTATCGCTTCCACAGGTTGTGCAAAGATCTGCACTTGTCCTGTCCGCGCCGGTCACATGGGAATCAGTGCCTTGCAGCACCAGAGCATGTGGAATCTAGTTCCACGTACATAAAAAAACAATAAGTGTCCCACGGTCACGCGCGCTCCCCGTGGTGAAATTGTGTTTTCAATTGTTTTGGTGATGTGGTTAATGATGCCCAGTAAGTTTCACATTTTTTCAGATCATGAGAGGTATTTTGGTGTGATGGGTTGGTTTTGAGAATATGAGTCACTGTTTTGGTGTGACGAGTGTGTGTGTACGTAGCTTTAGAAAAGAGGTTTGTGTTTAGAGTTTTGAGAGGGAGGGCAGTATCGTGAAATGTGTTTAAGCAATAGAGAAAAACTGTAACAGGAAGTCACAGACTTGGAAATTGCTTTGGCTCAGTGCAACAGTCAGAAAAGAGAGGTAAAGGTAGAGAGGCATTATAAAAAATAAAGAAAAAAAGCACTTCTAAGGAATACATTTAAAATAGAGTTACAGTTACTATATATAATATACAAGTGCACATGGTGCACACAATGTAAGGTGACAGCAGTACAGTGAAGTGCAGTAAAGTGACTTGATAACCTGTCCCCCCGCCCTTTATAAAGTGTTCAAGAGTCCAACAGCAGAGGGGAAGAAACTGTTCTTGTGGCGGGAGGTTCTAGTCCTGATGGACCGCAGCCTCCTGCCTGGGGAGTGGTTGGAATGGTCCATGTGCAGAGGAGAGGTTGGAATAGTCCATGTGCAGGGGAGTGGTTGGAATAGTCTGTGTGTAGGTGAGAGGGGTCGGCTGTGATACGACCAGCCCGGCCTCGAGCTCGGGCGACGTACAGGTCCTGCAGCGATGGAAGGCTGCGGTCGATCACCTTCTCTGCAGAGCTCACGATGCGCTGTAGTCTCTGTTTGTCCCTGACTGTGGCTCCAGCGAACCACACGGTGATGGAGGAGGTGAGGATGGACTCGATGATGGCCGTGTAGAACTGCACCAACATCTGTGCAGGCAGCTTGGCTTTCCTGAGCTGCTGCAGGAAGTACATCCTCTGCTGGGCCTCCTTGATGAGGGAGCTGATGGTCTGCTCCCACTTGAGGTCCTGGGTGATGGTGGTGCCCAGGAAACGAAAGGACTCCACAGAGGTGATGGGGGAGTCCATCAGGGAGGGCGGGAGTGGGGGGACTGGGCTCTTCCTGAAGTCCACAATCATCTCCACTGTCTTCTGGGCGTTCAGCTCCAGGTTACCACTGCACCAGGACACCAGCCGGTCCACCTCCTCCTGTAGGAGACACCAGGACACCAGCCGGTCCACCTCCCTCCTGTAGGCGGACTCATCGTTGTTGGAGATGTATTTATAATCCGAGAGTCCGAGACATTTTTCCCCAGACGCACTCTCCCCAGGGCGGCACGGTGGCTGAGTGGATAGGACTCTCTCCTCTCACTGCCTTTCTGAGTGGAGTTTGCATGTTCTCCCCGTGTCTGCGTAGGTTTCCTCCGGGTGCTCCGGTTTCCCCTACCACTAAAAATATGTACAATAGGTCTGGCATGTGCCTCCTGTACTGGCACCCCCACTCCCAAAAATCACAATTGTAAACTGCTTTGAGACTCCGATGTGCAGTGAAAAGGCGGTATATAAATAAAGATTACTTACTTCTTACTTACTCGTTACTCGCTTCCTCGCTGCTGGAAGTCAGTGATCCACATGCAGGTGGGAGAGCTTGTCCTGGAGCAGGGATGGCAGGATCATGTTGAAGGCAGAGCTGAAGGCTGAACAGCCTTAGCATGACCAAATTAGGACAGAGGAAGAGGAGCATCCAGGGTAAATACTGTAATCATGTGCAATGTGCAAAACTGCTATTTCACTTCATTATGCTGCCAAATATGTCCCGCTATATTACGGTACACTACACTGCAAACAATGATAAATTATTATAATAATAATCATTTCTTGACTCTTAATCTTAATTTGACACATTGTGACTGTGTTAAAACCAGATTTACACATTTGCATTTACTGCATCTTTCTAAAACCAGCTCATTTTGCAAATCTGGTTTTAAGGCTCAGTCAGAATGTGCTCAGATTAAGACACATTTTGCCAAAGGTGAGTACTTTTTGCAGTGTATATATATATATATATATATATATATATATATTTTATAGATTATAGATAGATAGATAGATATGTATTGATATTTAAGCATCTACAGCTACTTATATTGTATTTGGTGTGCTCCCTAAGTCTCTTTCTACTGTCCTGTAAATGCACTGCAACACAGAAATTTCCCCTCTGAGGGATGATTAAAGGATCTTATCTGTTTCCATGAATTTACATTTGCAGTTTCATTGTGATTCTTTTCTTTGGAGAACTTTTGCAAATGAAAAGACAGTTTACTGAGAGTCAGAAGAGCAGATGTGATCATTCTAGATCACATCTAGAATCATTCTAACGTTTGTCGAATTTTGACTTTGAAGAGACTGAAATAAAAACTGCTGAGATTCTAATTTAATCCTTTTTGAATCTTTCTCTTTTTCAGATTGACAATGCCGTCACAGAGCTCATTAGAATACATGTGTGTTGTAAAACTAAACAAACTACAGCCCTGTTGTCAAGGTTTGTGGCAAAAACAAATGGAAATAGTAAAAGTATTTTTAAGAGAAATTCCCTCAAAAAAATCTTGTGTGGTTGATCATCTAAAGAACGACATGGATGTATTTTGTTTTGCAGTTCAGCACAGTCATCTAAGACTTATACTATTTATATATTTAAATTCAGCTTGACATAATGAATAACTTCCAAAGGATAATTAACAGAAGATTAGGCTTTTTTTTACTTTTTTCAGTGTTAATATTAAAAAAAATTATTCGGCAGATCAATTGCCATTTTTAAATCCTTTGGGAGCTGCTTCACAGGGTGGGCTACAGGATGGAAACCTCCTGACCTTAAATGTATGAAACCCAGATATAAAGTTTAACCATATGCATTTAGGATTTTGAAGTTGAAACGACCTAAAGCATGGAACTAAAATAAACGAGGCCTGAAGGAGCAGCTCTCTTTGTCTTCAGTCTCGAAAAAGTAGCTCTGCGATTAAATAATGGTTGTATATTTGCTCTTTCATTTATAACGCTACGTAACAGGACGTCTGACAGAAACACATGCTCCTATTTCTCGGTCCAACAGTTGCAGACTTGACTTTAACCACAGTTACATAAATAGGCTAAGTGTCTCGTCAGTTTGTGTTTAAATTTCACATTTATGTAAGTTCAGCCGCTGACACACGTCCGCACCGTGCTGCACGCGTAGACGTAAGCGCCACACACAACATGGAGTTCCACGTGCAGGGGCTGTCTTGTTTATATAAATGGACAGACAGCCGCGAGGGCCAATCCGCGTCCGTTTTCGCGAAGTCGTCAAGCTTGCCATGGAAACCCCTTTCTCTGGACCAATCAGAGGAGGCAAAAGGCGGGCCTTAAAATGAGGTCGCGGTGTGAGTGCTGTGATTGGCTGGAGTGCTGGAGCCGGGAGAAGCAGGGGTGGGTCCCAATGACCAGTGTGTCAGTCTGAGCAGCGACTCCCATTGAAGAATACGCGACTCTATAACACGTCTTTTCGCATCGTTTTGCTTTTCCTTCACACGAATAAGACAACACACGGATTCTCCACCTTCCTTTCTACATTATCGGTAAGTTTAACCACATTTTCACTGCGAGTCTTTAGAGAAATCACTTAAAAACAGAGCAAAAAATAAGTTGCATAACTGAGCCGCTTCTGCGCATGTGCCAACATTCCGCTTGCTCTACTTCAGAATCACTTATGTGAGCTTTTAACGTGAAATATAGCGATATTAAGGGATTTTCCAGCTTTGCCTGAAGGAGAAACGTTTTTTATCGCCGTTTCTGACCAGTCCGCGGTGTTTGCAGATCTCAGTTCCGTGTAGTTTAGTCGAAACGGTGACTTTTACATAACTGTGTCAGTGTACCGTGCAGTGGATTGCAGGTCAACGTGTGTGGATGTTGTATGCAGGTCATGGAGCTAGATGGGGGAAGGGACCTATTTAACTAACATTATTATACGTTACTTTATTTGCTCACGCATTTTAATAGGTATTACTCTGTATAAAATCATATCGAACAAATTCGGTAATTCCATCCAAATGTAATGGTGATTTTGTCAATAAAGGGAGAAAGAAGAGGCTTCCCTCACCTCAATGTTTATTAATATGATGCAAAACTAGCTTATTACAAAATGCTCCATTGTAACATTTGTCTCCACGTCTTTATAAAGGAATTTAACCGCTAATATTATAATTTTGCAACGACGTCATGCTTTGTAAGGTTTAAAACGTGTCTCTAGCATTGCCTGCCATTGCCCTATGGCCTTTAACTATCCAGCGAAAGTACTTTTCCCCTTTTATTAACATTATAACAGAACGCATTGATTTCATTGCATTAGTACATGTCACAAGTGATGCAAAAACACATTTAAATCAACTTTTTATGTGTCTTACCTTTTACAGGACATGAAAATGAAATGAAAAAAAGGTTATTTTGATAATTAGGCCATACTGCTGAACAACGGTGTCATAACTGGCTCTTCTTCCCATTTTCCCAGTTTTAGTTGTTTTACTTTTATTTTCTTGACTTTTGGTTGTGTTGTGTAATGCCTATATAAAATGCTACTCAGATTAACCTATTTATTTTGTGCTTGAGCCACAACCCAGCTCCTACTCTAGTGTTAGTTGGCAGCTCTTCTTATAGACTGTAAACATATGTGAAAGTATGTGCACATTAAGTTATATTTAAATGTCTTTTAATATGATTTTATTTGCTCACATTCAACAACAAACATTAATCAGCTTAAAATATGTATATTAGTATTCTGACTCTAACAAGTTTACTCCCATGATCTCATTATAGTCTAGAATAAGCATTTTTCCCATTTTTCCATGTCTACGTCTGTGGTATGACGTATTTCCCTGAGTATGCGCCGTGCAGTGAAGGCATGCTGGTTTATTAAAGAGGAAAGAGTGGCTTTGTGGTCCATGTGACTGGAGTTGCGTTGTATAATGCCCGGGATCTGCAATACTGGACTGGGTGTGTTAGCTCTGAATGGGCTGGTTCAGTTTTACATAATGTCATGTTTTCCACTGGTAAGTTTGTTGCTATTCACCACTTATTTCATACGTCGTTTTTTTTTACTTTTAAGACTGCAATACTGTGGCATTTAATTCATCTCTTTCTCTAGAAAAAGCAAGCAGTGTTTAAACTTAATATATTTGAGCTTTTGACAACTATCTTTTGACAGAAGGACCATCACAAAGTTACAGAAGTTACTTGAGGCAATATCATCTACATTTTATTCAATGGTCTGCTATAGTTCTCTTCACTTTCTTCTGCAGACTCCCAAGTTCCTCCAAGATTTAAATTCTTATTGTATGTCTAAGTAAGTAAGTAAGTAATCTTTATTTATATACCGCCTTTCACAGACCAGAGTCACAAAGCGGTTTACAATTGTTATTTTTGGGCATTTGTCCACTCACTCCACACAGTGATGGGAGCAGGGTCGCCGAACAGGAGGCGCATGCCAGACCTATTGTACATATTTTTAGTCTAGTATAACCCTGCAATGGTAATAACATGTAGAAATAACATATCCTATGCTTTTCAATGCAATTACTCCTAGTTAGTAAAATCAGGCCTGGAGCAACACTCTTAAAAAGTGCCATCAAATAGAAATATCTAATAACTGTGCAATTTTAAAAAGTGCAATTAGTATAAACCATGATACAGTAGAGCTATTGTGTGTTGGGAGTATTTAGGGAAAGCTCTAATTGCGGAAGTCGAGTAGTTCTGGGTGAGTGCTAATCCAACAGTTCAGCACGGTGCAGATATTTGAGCTAAATTTGGTTTTAGTGTCGCTTGAAATAGTTGCATAATTTAATGTAATAAATCTCACGCCACATCCCAGACCAAACCCCCGGCTGTACGTTTGATTTTGTGCCAGATTTTCTTGAATTTTTTGGCGTCACATGGTTGTTTCATAAGCCCGGGATATTACCAAACCTTTCTAATTTGCCTGGCTCTTTGTTTATTATCTCTAGCCCCCATTTCCATTGGTCTTTAACCTGTTGTGAGTAGGGACTGCGCCTGGATTGGCTGGCTTTGGGAGCCAATAGGAGATCGTTTTCCCATTGCGCTGTCTAGACTTCACAGTGGGTCATTACAAAAGTTCAGGTGCAATGTTTACTGGTGACTCATGGTTAATTTCTTTCCTCATTTTAATGTCCGCGGAGATTAACATGAGATTGAGACACACTAAAGTTACATAAAATAAAAAATCTTATGTTAAGAGCACAAAGAGTAGCCTCGTTGCTTATTTTCAGCACTTACATAAATGGCTGTAACATGATCTGACTCACAGGAAAGAATAGTCTCAGTTTGACCTCAGTTTGTTGCCTTTGCGTTGCCATGTTTGGCCGTGGAGGAGAGAAGATGCGATCCTGTTTACTTTTGGTTATAACTGCGTTGGTTTGATAACAGTTTTAGACATCCGTGGGACATGTGCCCACGCTGAACTGGAAAAATGCACTGCTAACGAGAGATGAATGAATCTGTCCCACTATAGAGTAATTTAACTATTGCAGCAATTATTGCACAAACTGTAAAGGCGTATAAATCTATGGCACTAATGGAGGCCTTATTGATCATGTTTACTCTTGGGGGATAGTGAAAAGTATTACTGATTTGGTGTGATTGAAATACAGAATCAGTTCAGCCAATTTGCTTTTGGAAAATCACCTTCAAGTGCAAAGACAATGCATGGTTTTTATTTAGCAATATTCAGTCTAATTCTGTGGGACCCTGTAGGCGGTCTTCCAAAAGGGAAACACGTGTTGACGCCCCCTCCCTGTGACGTTGCATCTTTCTGCAATAATTCTCACCCTGTTTCTCACATAAGAACTGGGTGGATACTGGTGACACACTCCTCTTAAGCAATGGGGATGCGTTTTAGCCGGGGATGCGTTTTAGCCTGACCTGCCACGTTTTCAGAAAAAAAAAATGCTATTATAAAACTGTGTGGGTTCAGTCTGGTCATAGTTTTTTGTTGAGTGCATCGATGTTTGTTGTTTTTCTTCCTGGAGATATGGATCATACTTAATGTTGTTGTGCTGCTTTTATCTTTGTAATGCCTCTTCATGCTGGATCAAACTGGTCTCTCCAAAGGGCACCACTTGCACCAATCTTTAGCAGGACCTGTTAAAATCTATGTGTGAAAAGATGAACGAGGTCATGGACACAGCCACAGTGCACAGGGCCTTCACTCTGGCCGGATACAAGCAGGAGTCAGAGGCTAGAGCTGTCCCCTCTCTGTATTTCCATCTCATTGTAATGATTTTCTATTTATCAGCACAATTCTACATTAGGGCGAACTGATGTGCGGTCCATTCAAACCACTTCTTTGTAGTCTTTTGTCTTAACAAACTCATTGTTGAGCCATAGTTTTTTGAGTTTACTTTTGGCTTCAACAGTTTCAAGTCTATTTCATGCTTTACTCTCCCGTCCAAAGAAACCTACAGGTAAAAAGATGCCGTTAAAATATAAGTATATATCTTTAGAGACCAAGAGACAACCCTACTTTGCCTATTTATTCAGTTTTTTTCCAAAACATTTTTAGCTCCGTTGATGTTGTGCTTCTAGCCTGCAGTAGAACTCAAAATCTGAACTCTGGCGTCCAAATGGATGTTTATTGTTTTTCTAATGTTTCTTCCTCTCCTTCCTTTAGGTTAATTCATCTGACGCAGCAGTGTCTGTTTTGATTATATCCTTCTTGGACCACGTATTCTCTTGTTCTACCATGTGGACAGTCACCTGAGCCCCTGCCTTGTGGCCAACACAACACAACATCCCAAGCTCCACCTGTGCCCGTGGACATCAGCGAGACATGGCCAGCGGTTACAGCGAGTCCTGCAGCGGCCGCGACATGTCCAGTGGATATGGCGAAGGCTGCAGCAGCCTAGACATGGCCAGCGTTTTCAACGAGAGCTGCAGCGGTAGAGATTTGGCGAGTGCGTACAACGAGAGCTGTAGCGGTAGAGATTTGGCGAGCGCGTACAGTGAGAGCTGCAGCGGGCGCGACATGTCCAGTGGCTACAGTGAGAGCTGCAGTGGGCGCGACATGGCGAGCAGCTACAACGAAGGCTGCGGCGGTCGAGACGGCGAGCTGGAGCCCGAGCTGGGCCTGGCCTCGGAGGGCAGCGACAGCAGCCACGAGCACGCCACCTCGCCCCGGTCCCCGCACGACGACAGGACACGCCCGCGGGCCACTCTGGACGAGGATGTGGAGATGGGCGGCAGCGGATCCAGCGGCAGCGGCACCGAGTCCCACGGGAATGAGTCTCACGGAAACGATTCGCACGGAAACGAGTCGGTGGGAAGCTCCAACGGCAACGGCAAAGACTCTGCACTTCTGGAGTCATCGGGAAGCAACAAGAGGTGAGAGAATCGTACTCGCGCACTGTGTATAGGAACTGACCATGCTAACACGCTAGCTTGCTAACGCACTAGCTCAATGTAGCCTAATTGAGAACTGCTTGTCACATTCCCCATTCTGGCCTTAAAGATCTGTACCTCAACATTCTCTCTAATCATGTGTTTTTTAATTTTCTATGATCTATTTGTAAAATGTAGAGAGAAATCCTAACAACTGAACAAACCAATCAATTGCTTTCTGTCCCTGAATAGGCGGCCGAAACATAGCAGCACTGCTACCTGATTGGCTCTTTGGTCGTTAGGTTGTTGCTATCCACAAAAATGACTCCAGTTCCCGCTCATACACTCACATATACTGAGCCAGCTTTGATATACTTCAGATGTAATTTAATAAGTGTCGCACAAAAGTCAAAAATGTGTTGTTGTGTAAAACCGGCACTAGTTTTTATTATCTCTTTTTGACTGTTGCACTGAGCCAAAGCAATTTCCAAGTCTGTGACCTCCTGTTACTTACGTTGGCAATAAAAATGATTCTGATTCTGATTCTGATTCTGATAGTTGGAGCAGCACATAAGGCCGGGCTGTGGGAGGGTTGAAAGTTTCCTCCACTGTCCCATCTAGGTCACGGAAGTAAGCTTCATTTAACTTAATAACGCCGCTGTTTTGTGTGAGTCATTTCTGCGTTTGACTCATCACAATGGACAGAAGCACTCTCCAGGACTTTGGAGTTTGTTGCTTGACGTTACAAAAGAAAGCCTCAGACGTAATTCTTATTTGCCGCAGCCTGAATCCACAAGGTTATTTACTGAACGGCAGATTCACTGAGACTGACGCACATAAGAGGCAATCATCGACTTGTGCTGGAAGGTCAGGAGTGGACAGAGCTTCGAGAGATTGGAGTCATTTCAGTTTCTTCAGTCTCTGTTTCAGGTAGATGTAAAATGAAATGGTCTAAATAAGCATTTCCCTTCTCGCCTCGGTCCTCCGTGTCTGTCAGATCTTTCCTGGGACTAATTTGAATGCTTTACCTAAAGGAATATTTCAAACAAAGCACTAGCATCAACTCGGATAATCTAAACAAAACAAACAAACCGGCACACACACTTCCAAAACCATAGACCCATCACACATCTCCAACACCACCACTCTTTTATCTGTATTATTACTTTATCTATTCATTATTGTTATAAAAAGTAGGAGGACCACTCAACATGTACAATGGGGAATAATACCCTCCAGCTCCGGTCCTGACCACTGCTCCTAGAGGCCTTCAGGATGGGTCAAATGCAAAGGACAAATTACCTGATCGGGACAATAACATACTTACACATACTTACACACATATACACATACATACACATACTTACACATACATACACATACTCATACTTACACACTTACACATACTCATACTTATACATACTTACTCATAATTACACATACATACACACACTTACACACTTACACACACTTACACATACTTGCACATACCTACTCATACTTACACATACTAAACTACACAGCCCTAAACTTGACAGCCATTTGAACATCAATACATAAACGTATTATTAAAGTATTTGCGTCACCACCTGCCCTGTGCCCAGTGTCTTTAACAAACTCATTTTTTCTTCATGAGGAAAATGTTCTGACCTACTTCTGCGCCTCCTCCAAACGCTTCAGTCAGATCTGCAGTGCCCTTGACAGTTTTGTCGCAGTGGCTCCTGGCGTCCTTCGTGTGATGTGGATTTTAAACATTAAATATGTTTTCTATCTTTTCGTTCCGCAGCTCAAACTCTCACAGTCCTTCTCCTCCGAGCAGCTCCAACGCCTTCAGTCTAGTGAGCTCCGAGCAGGACAACCCCTCCACCAGCGGCTGCAGGTTCGTTCAGACACACTCATGGAAGCTCCAAGCATGTTGAAAAGCAGTTTTTATCAAAATAATTATATTAATAATACAACGGTAATATAACGCTTTTCAAAAACTCAAAGACCTTTTGCAATCTAAACTAATTGATAAATCGTCAGAATAATTGGTCAACTAATACAATATGATGTAATATAAATGCTGAATGGTTTAAGATTCAGGCGCTGTGCAAACATATAGAATAATAAGAGGATTTCAATATGCATCAGGTTTAAATAAATTACAAATGAGGACTCCTGCCTCATCGATGGTCTACTTAAAACAAAATATATCACACTTCTCATTGCACCAGCCCCTCCCTGTTCCTCCTGCAGGTGGTGGGGGTCCCTCAGGGGGGGACTTCAGGTTAAGTGGGGTTAAGTGTCTTGTTCAGGGACACAAGGGCAGCAGACATTATAGGTGACAGGTGCAGGTGTGTAGCCCCTCCCTGTCTACATGTGTGCATCACTGTACCAAACTTTATTATTTATTATAATCTTAAAACATACATTTTTATCTGAAGGCTCAGGTCGAGATTAGCGTGAAAAGCTAATCCCCGCAGCCTCCCATCGCTCTGACACCTCTAGCCCCTCCTGCTTAGCCATTTCCATGTATCCAAAGGAGAAACGTGCCAGAGCAGAGCGGTGTAACACGTGGTTCTGTGTCTCTCTGCAGCAGCGAACAGTCAGCCAAAGCAAAGACACAGAAAGAGCTCTTCAAAACCCTCAAGGAGCTCAAGATGCACCTGCCATCGGAGAAGAGGAGCAAGGGGAAGTCCAGCACCGTCAACACGCTCAAATACGCCCTGCGCTGCGTCAAGCAGGTGAAAGGTAAGAGCACAATCTGCAAGGGTTCTTGGCACAGGTCCTTGGCAGGTCTGCAGCTTGGCGTGTGCTGATGCATTGATATTTCTTATCTGGTGATAGATTATATACATTTGTTCACTGTGAGATTTATAAAGTCTTATCTTAGCTGAGATTGGAGTGGTTACCATGAGGGCAACATTACAGATTGGGGTTTTGGCTAGTCTTCACTGCTGTTTGCTAGGTCTAGCTCATAATTATCACAATGAAATGACAGCTGCTCCAGTGTATTTCGTGGCTCAGTGCTTTTATGTGTAATTATCGGACCTTCTTTCTGCAATTTTCTTTCTAATATTATTACATTTTATCTGCAAAAAGTTGAATAAGTAACAGGACATGGTTGCTGATTTTGCTGTTCCTGGCTTTCAGCATTGCTCTTTTAAATGAGAAACACTATAAAGTTTAATATGGGGTTTTATGATCATATTTATATATTTTTCTATGCCCTGGTGTTATGTTATTGTGTCGGTAGCACAATTCCTGCACAAGGCCACTTTAGATTAGAAAAAGCCTAAAGATGACATTTACATATATGTGATGAAACAGCATAAGGCACATTTTTATCCTCTTTTAAAATGCAATTGCGTTTGTTTTTCTTGTTTGCAGCCAATGAGGAGTATTACCAAATGCTGATGATCAACGACAGCCAACCACCTGGATTCGACGTGTCTTCTTATACCATCGAAGAAATCAACAGCATCACATCTGAATACACGCTCAAGAACAATGTGGGTCCCACACACGGCTTTAGCTCACCTTCTAGTTGGTTTTTAGTAATTTCCTAGTTTCTTGCATCGATCAATACTTTATACAAACAGAGTATCATTTTAAAAGTTTCTTAACAGTCGTAGCAGTAGTAGTAGCAGTAGTAATAGTAGCAGTAGTAGTAGTAGTAGTAGCAGTAGTAATAGTAGCAGCAGTACTAGTAGCAGCAGCAGCAGTAGTAGTAGCAGTAGTAGTAGCATCAGTAGTAGTAGCAGTATATTTTAACAATACTTCCCAAAGCCACAGTACTCCTACACTCCCTAACCCTTTTCTTCCCTTTCCGTTCTCAGGACATCTTCGCCGTGGCGGTCTCGCTCATCACCGGTAAAATCGTGTACATCTCGGACCAGGCGGCGTCCATCTTGAACTGCAAGCGCGAGGTCTTCAACAACGCCAAATTTGTGGAGTTCCTGACGCCACAAGATGTCAGTGTGTTCTACAGCTTCACCACGCCGTACCGCCTCCCGTCCTGGAGCATGTGCACCGGGGCAGGTATGCTAATCATGGCTTTTCCACGTGTATGTAGCACATGCGCCACCGTCCACGCCACCTACATTAGCGTTTCCTTTAGCGTGCCCTTCCCCCCCAAGCCCACATGTCCCGACACGCCTCGCACATATTTATTTAACAGATCTCATTACACTTTCATACGTGGGCTCACCGTCTGTTTCTGCTGTGAAAGATCATGTGTCAGAATATAACTGGCATCCATTTTGTTTAGCCAACGTAATGATAGTAGCTAATGGAGTGATGGTAGCTAATGTTAGGATGGTAGCTAATGTAGTGATGGTTGCTATTGGTGGCTGTGACTTTTTTAGTCCAGAGGAAAAACACTCGATCTGTTTGCGTCAGTCCTATTTTGGAAGGCCTTTGCTGGTTTTATTCATACCCTCGTCTCTCCCTCAGAGTCCTCTCCCACCGAGTGCATGCAGGAGAAGTCCTTCTTCTGCCGCATCAGGTGAGCCGTGTTTCATTTCTGTTTTTAGTCCTGTTGTCGTCACTTCAACCTGCTCCAACTTTAGAACCAAACAAACCTGTGTGAGGCCAAAACAACAGTGGCAGGCAAAAATCGATCTAAGTTTTAATTTCCTGAAATAGATTCACGTTATTGAATGTTCTTCTCATAGACTAATAAGTATCTTATGCTGAGAACATTTCAGTACAGAAATGTTTATGTTGATATTAAGAGATAAGTCCAGTCAGAACAATAGATACAGTCCTGTGAAATAACTACTGTTGTGATTTAGGGCGATACAAAAATAAAAAGAAAAGAAATTACACTGAAAGTTGGAACCGTAAACCATCAGGAGTGGTGCTGAATTTAAAATAACCTGATTTGAACTTACTCCGTGTCGTAACAGCTGCAGGCGTGTAACTAAGATAGTTACTATGGCAACCACCAGTTTCTCCTGTGAATGGTCTGATTGTAAATCCAGATATGAGCTATAAAGTATATAAGTGACATGTTAGAGCACAGGGACTGGCCTCCTGCTGGGACTCTGAGGAGCACAGGGACTGGCCTCCTGCTGGGTCAGGACTAAACGTGACCAAAAGATAATCCAGACTTTCAGAAGTGTTTGTGCCGCTCTAACCCAGACGTGTGTTTTCAGCGGTGGGAAGGAGCGCGAGGGAGATCTTCAGTATTATCCGTTCAGAATGACTCCGTACCTGATGAAGGTGCAGGACGCAGAGCTGTCTGAGGAGCAGTTCTGCTGCCTCCTGCTGGCCGAGAGGGTGCACTCCGGATACGAGGGTGAGGAGCTTTCTCTGATTCACATTCACTTTGTTTGGCATTTGCAGTAAAACCCCCCAGTGTGAACAAGACTGAGAGAGAACAGATTTATTACAATACAAATAACTGAATTTATCTCACAATGGAGACTTTTACAATGAAATTTAAAACAGCAAAAACTGTTTATTTTTTATACTTTATATTTGAGTTTTGCTGTTAGAGATCAATTGGTCAAAATTTCATATTTCAAAAACATAACTATTCAACAATTGTAATGCAAAGGAACAGATTACATAGAAAATACATCATTAAAAAAATACAAATAAGTTTAAAAGATTGAATAATAGTGACAATACTAATAAATAACTAAAAAGAGGTGAAAAAAACAACAAAAATAGTTTCAGAAAATGTAAGATCATTGTTAAGCATCTAATCTGTCTCTTCAATCTTGTTTTAGTAATGACGTGTTTGTTCTTCGTCTCCAGCGCCTCGTATTCCGACAGACAAGAGGATCTTCACCACCACACACACTCCCAACTGTGTGTTCCAGGACGTGGACGAGCGGTCGGTCACACACACACATTCATCTTCTACTGTGTTTAACCAAAGTCTAATGATTATGGTTGACTTTGTCAGGGCTGTTCCGCTGTTGGGTTACCTGCCCCAGGACCTGATCGGGACCCCAGTGCTTCTAAACCTGCATCCAAGTGACCGGCCCCTGATGCTGGCGGTGCATCGGAAAAGTAATTCATTTATTTAGTTTTTATTTATGCTTGAACTGAACCTAATGTAAAGAACACACATTAGTATTTATTATTGTGGCTTTAGTCTGTACTGACAGTCTTAGAGTTAGAGACGTCTTAGATTTTCTATTTTATTCTATGCCCTGATGCTTAAAGGTATAGAAGAGGATGTTCTACTTCTGGGTTGATCATCAAGACTATTGGTCCTCCCAGTTGTCAATCATTCTGGTGATACGTGCTCGTCCAATAAGAGCAGATGGATTTTTTTTAAGTTAAACACAGGAAATACAACAATAACAGACACTTATAGGGAGCAGGGTTAGGGTTAGTGAATGTGAATCAGAGATAGCAGGCACTACCACTGTCCTTAAACTCTCCTCATTCTCTGCTGGAGTTTGAAAATTTCTCTGAATTAACCTACTTTCTGTTTTCCTTCCGTAGTCCTGCAGTGCGCTGGGCAGCCCTTCGACCACTCCTCCATCCGCTTCTGTGCCAGAAACGGTGAATACGTGACGCTGGACACGAGCTGGTCGAGCTTCGTCAACCCCTGGAGTCGCAAAGTGTCCTTCGTGATCGGACGACACAAAGTTAGGATGTGAGTGATGAGTGAAACATACGACCCAAACCAAACCTATTACTTTACCTTAATCTGACTTAAATCGAACTAAAAGGACAGATTAATTATTATTATGAATTATCGACCATGTTGTTAGCTTTGCATGTGAAAAATAGATATGTATTAGAGTGAAGTTGTGGCTAATGTGATGCTGTTTCCATGGAAACCTCCAGGGGCCCTGTGAACGAAGATGTCTTTGCGGCGCCTGCTTTCCACGGAGGAAAGATTATGGACTCAGACATCCAAGAAATAAGTGAACAAATCCACAAGCTTCTGTTACAGGTTTGTGCTGCACTGTTATAAACTGAGGAAATATACTATACATGATGGTGCTGCTTTGACAGACTTCACACAATGAATTATTATGACTTTTCATCTTTTATGCACTTTAATATCTGTTATTTTCAGACCGTGAATTTCAGTTACACAAACATAGTTAAAACATGGTTAAACTTCCATTGGAATCCACAATTTTCTTTTTCACATTTATATTTTGGAATAACTATTTATCGAAAGTTTTCCCAGAACTAACCCTTAGATGTTAGCATGTATTTCAAACTAAATGCTGATTAAAAGGTCTCTGGTGAATGGTTTATGAAGAGCCCACTCTGATCATGTGGCATCACCCTCAGAAACATCATTATGCAGTTGTATTGTTGACCGTGAGCTTAAATATGCATTAATGAAACATCCTCTGTCTGCATTCAGCCGGTGCACAACATGGGCTCCAGTGGTTACGGCAGCCACGGCAGCAACGGTTCCCACGAGCAGCTCGTGGGCATCAGCAACGGGAACGCGGCGGTCGAGAACACGGCCGAGGACACGGGCAAAGCCAAACCCACTCGGACCTTCCAGGAGATCTGCAAAGGAGTGCACATGCTCAAGAACCAGGACTCACAAGTCAGCCTGCGCTGGCCGTGCCCCTCGCCCTCGCCGTCCGTGTCCAAACCCGAGCATAAGAAGATGTCTGACTGTGAGCACCACAACCTCTGCTTACTGTTCTTCTCCTCAGAGTGGTTTAAATATCCTGTTTGTTTTCAGCAGCCGCCCCTCATAAGAGCACAGTGGTGCGTCTGAAGGACTCTGCCCACGCCCCGCTGGCCAGAGACGGTACTGCAGCCAGTGTGGAGGACTTCACTTACAAAGATCAGACCGTGTGCTCCTATCAGCAGATCAGCTGCTTGGACAGTGTCATCAGGTAGTTGCCATGGAACCATGGGCCTTGTAATGTGTAATTGTAATGTTATTTTACTAAACGTGTGTGTGCTGCGTAGATACCTGGAGAGCTGTAACGTTCCCATCACTGTCAAGCGGAAGTATCAGTTTTCCTGCAACACCACTTCATCAAACTCTGATGACGATAAGAAAGGCTCAGGGGAGGGCATCCAGGTGCCACAAGATTCTGCCTCAGGTAAGTTTTTTTTAGATTTAAAAATCAGGTTTTGTACACACTATAAATCTTTAAATGGCTTTAAACTGACTGAGAACTGACCTACTATATATAGATCCTTTGATGCTGGACGCACAGCCCGGCCTGTCCAACATGAAAGCCCCTAAAAAGTCACCCTCTGGGACAGCTGCTGTTGTTGGAGCTCCTCTGGCACCTCTCACTCTACCAAGCAAAGCGGAGAGTGTGGTGTCCATCACCTCACAGTGCAGCTACAGCAGCACCATAGTTCATGTAGGAGACAAGAAGCCTCAGCCAGAGTCCGGTCAGTTATGGTTTTAGTGTCATAAACAAACTCTGGTTACCTGATCGTTGGGCTTGTCTGTATTTGAATAACTTGTCTGACTTGTGCCTGATACAGAGATTATTGAGGATGTGGCTGAGAGCTCAGCTCCGCCCACACAGCCGGTCTGTGTGGTGTCTCCTCCCAGTCAGGAGAAGGAGGCCTACAAGAGGCTGGGTCTGACCAAACAAGTGCTGGCTGCTCACACTCAGAAGGAGGAGCAGGCCTTTCTAAACCGCTGTAGAGAGCTGCGAGACGCCCGCTCTGTGCAGAAGGACTACTCCACATGTTTACACAAGCAGCGGGACGCCGCCAACGCTGAAGGTACAGGCTCTGTCCTTCTCTAACCTCTCTGTCCTCCTTTTTCTCCAACCTCTCTTTCCTCCTCTAACCTCTCTCTGTTCTTTCAGAATCCTCTGGTTTGAGAGGAGCAGCTAAACAGGGAAGCACCAGACCAGAAACTGGTACAAAGAAGGGAAGTCGAAACAGGAAGTCTAAGAAGCCGCGTATGAAGCACCCCGACTCCTCTGACAGCGCCGTGTCCAACCGCAGGCCCCGCCCCCCGCTGCAGGGACTCAACCAGACGTCATGGTCGCCTTCAGAGGCCTCTCAGTCTGCGTTCAACGTGTCTTACCCCACCATGGTGCCTGCTTACCCTCTGTATCCGCCCTCCGCAGCTGCCCCGCCTCAGTCCATGCGGCCCGACCCCTCCCTGTCCACGGGGTACGGAGAGGCCCAGAGCACGCAGGCCCCACCCACTGCCGCCTCTTATCCCGCCCCCATGGTAACGCCTGTGGTGGCGCTGGTGCTGCCGAACTACCTGTTCCCTCAGATCAGTCAGATCGGACAGTTAGGCACCGCGCCCAGACCCGCGTTTTACCCTGAGCAGGCGCCGCAGCCCGCCTACAGCACGCCGCAGCCGGCCTACACCACCCCGCAGCCACCCTACGCCACGCCGCAGCCCGCCTACAGCACGCCGCAGCCCTTCCAGCCCTCGGTTCCCGCTTACACCACGCAGCAGTTTCCGGTACAGACGTTTGCGTCTCAGCAGGCGTACCCAACGGCGCCCGCTCAGTTCACCACGCCGCAGCCGTTTCAGGGCCCGCAGACGGCCTACAGCACGCAGCAGCCCTTTGTGGCGCAGCCTTCGTTCCCGGTGCAGACTCAGTTCATGACACAAGCCGCTTATTCCACGCAGCCGTTCTCCTACAGCATCACGCCAGACGCCTCGAAAGTGTCGGCGGTGGAGCCCAGAGAAGGCGCCGCGTCCCGCTCGTCCACTCCTGCGTCTGCAGCCCGAGAGCCCACCACCTCCCCCCCGCTGTTTGAGTCCAGATGCAGCTCTCCGCTGCAGCTCAACCTGCTCAGTATGGAGGAGGGTCAGCGCTCAGTGGAGCGGCAGGACAGCACAGCACCCCCTTTTGGAGCTCAGTGCAACAGCATCCTGGGAGCAGCAGTGGAAGCACAGAAGAGCGCAGCAGCGACCAAAGCCGAGAGCCACCAACAGGTGAGGAACAGAACACATGCAGTTAGTATGTTAAAGATCATGGTTTTAGACCAGGTGAGGACTAGAACACACATGTAGTTAGTATGTTAAAGATCATGGTTACAGACCAGGACACAGAGCCACAGACCTTCATCTTCATCATGTCTCTTCAGGTGGAGTCTCCGGGGGACGGCGTCCACAGTGATGGGAACTCCTCGTCCTGTGACTTGTTGGACATTCTGCTGCAGGAGCAGGAGGACTCTCACTCAGGGACAGGCTCAGCCACCTCCGGCTCCATGGGCTCCGGGTCTGGATCTGGGTCTGGGTCTGGCTGTAACGGCTGTGGGACGTCAGGCAGCGGCGTGTCCGGCAGCAGGACAGGTCAGAACCAAACCTTTATATGAAGCTGAATACTCTGCAATCTGATCATTGTAATTCATCTCTAAAGTAATCTGAGTATTTACAGCTGATATTTACCATTATCCTTTTTCTCTGTAACAGGAGCAATAATGACACTATTTTGTGGTTAACAATGTTAGAAGATGGGACGGCTGGTTTTAACTTAAATCATATTTTAAAACGGAAAACCCACAGCCACTAAAAGTGTCCTGGATCATGACTATAATAACTTTTATGGATATTTATTAACCTTTATACACTGGTCATTTGCCCCTCATGGACCAGTGGCTCTTGAATTGAATTGAATTGAATGGATAAGAATTATAGATAATCTTCTAACTGAGTTTAAATGTTGTGTTTTTAGTTCCAGAATTGTGTTAAAACCTGCTGATTTTACCGTCTCTCTCTTCGCCGACAGGGAGCAGTAACACCAGTAAGTACTTTGGCAGCGTGGACTCCCTGGAGCACGACCCCAAGGCCAAGGCCAAGTCTCGACCAGAGATCGAGTCTCAGTCTCAGAGCAAAGTCTCTGCGGATGACGACCGCTTCATCAAGTATGCGCTTCAGGAGCCGCTGTGGCTGCTCATGGCCAACGCTGATGATAAGGTCATGATGACCTACCAGATGCCCTCACGGTGAGACCCTCGGACAGGTCACATACTGCTGAGACCCACAGACCCACAAGTCACATACTGCTGAGACCCTCAGACCCCCAATTCACATACTACTGAGACCCTCAGACCCACAAGTCACATACTGCTGAGACCCTCAGACCCACAAGTCACATACTGCTGAGACCCTCAGACCCTCAGACCCACAAGTCACACACTGCTGAGACCCTCAGACCCACAGGTCACATACTGCTGAGACCCTCAGACCCTCAGACCCACAAGTCACACACTGCTGAGACCCTCAGACCCACAGGTCACATACTGCTGAGACCCTCAGACCCACAGGTCACACACTGCTGAGACCCTCAGACCCACAGGTCACACACTGCTGAGACCCTCAGACCCACAGGTCACATACTGCTGAGACCCTCAGACCCACAGGTCACACACTGCTGAGACCCTCAGACCCACAGGTCACACACTGCTGAGACCCTCAGACCCACAGGTCACATACTGCTGAGACCCTCAGACCCACAGGTCACATACTGCTGAGACCCTCGGACAGGTCACATACTGCTGAGACCCACAGGTCACTGATTTACAACATTTAATCCTGATGCTGTAGAAATAAAAAGTAATAATTTATACAAACACATTTTGGTAAAAAAGTTTGAAAAGATCAAAGTGTTTCCACTCATTCTTTGGAGCCGTATCTTATTTCTTCTTCTATACAGGGTATCCTTAAGTGGAACTGTATTTCCCTTTGTTTCCCAGGGACATCCAGAAGGTGCTGCGCGACGACAAAGAGCGGCTGCGGCTCATGCAGAAGAGTCAGCCGCATTTCAGCTCAGAGCAGCGCCGGGAGCTGCTGGAGGAGCATCCCTGGATGAGGAGGGGGGGTCTGCCTGCTGCTATCAATGTGAAGGTGAGGCCCGGACTCTAGACCCATCTGGACTCTTCAGACCCAGTCTCAGACTCAGACCCAGACCCACATTCAGGTTCAGACTCCGATTCAGACTTTATTTGCCCTAGACTTTACCAGTTGCAATGCGTTAGAGCAGCTCATAAAAACATAAAACACAGGACATGTCGGACAGCAACATAAACCAGTAACAACCTTTTTGATTGAAAACACTCACATGGTACAACACTAGCTGGAACTGATACAGACATGAAACTTCCTTAGTTTAGGAAGATTCATCTCGTCGTCTTAGAAGAACTTAAGCCTCTTCCCAATTCTCACCCGAGACCTTAAAGTGGTCCCTTGCCCTAGATTTTACTTATACTTTTACTTACACTTAGCCTTATACTTACACTTGCTTCTTTATTCTGCTAAGGTTAGAGATTGTATGTTGTTCCAGAGGAATAGTTCACTAATCTGTTCTCATTAATTAACTGATGCAAAAACTGAACTCTGTGGGACTGATGAAACCTGTCTTAAAAATCAAACGCTTCCTTTGCTGCAGGAGTGTGTTTACTGCGAGGAGTCTCCTGCGACGTCGTTAGAAGAAGAGCTGCCGGGCATGGACATGGGCGAACTCAGAGAGGAGCTGGACCAAGACCCCAGGAACCCCCAGACCCAGGAAGAGTCCCACCCTCAGCCTGACTCTGGCTCCTGAAGCTGCTGCTCACAGCCAGCAGGGGGCGCACAGAGCCTACGCCTGCAGATAACAGACTGTAACAAATCCTCTGGTCACAAACTTGAACTTTTATAAAACAAAGTCATTGCTCCGAGGACCTGTCGCTGGACACATTATGGTATTGTTTTAAATATCGATAAATATATTTTATGACGTCTTGGCGTCTGTGCTTGGACTGCTGCAACCCGGTATCGGATAAAGTGGAAGAGAATGAATGTATGGATGTGTTTTATGAAAGAAAGGAAGCCCACACATGTTTCCATCTGCAGAACATTACTGAGCTAAACAGACCCAACACTGTTAAAAGGAGGTTTCATTTCAATTAGTTATTTTATGCATTTTTTAACCGCAACACTTATTTACACTGAAGCCAAATTTACTGATCTTAGTCAAATAATGTTACACTTTCAGCCAAACGGACGCTTTAGGTCGTCTCTGGAGACTTTCAACCGGTGCTAATAAGATAATGTCAGCTACACTGCAAAAAGGATGAGAAATGTGTCAAAGAAGTCTCAAATCTGAGCTAATTCTGACTGAGCCTTAAAACAGGATTCTCCAACGAGACAAAGAAACATGATCATGTTTTAAAAAGAAATGTCTCCCTTTGAGTGAGAAAAGAACAGTTTTGTTGTAACGCAGTCAGAATGTGCTCAAACTTAGATCAAAACCACGAGATTCAAGCAATTATTACCTCATATTTATCAATTTTTGCAGTGTAAGGCGTTCAAACAAGGCAAAGAATTGTATTAATAGGATTTTCCAAGGATTTAAAACACATTTTCTTTGTTTTTATTGAAACGTTCAAAGTATTTCTAATAGCTTTACAGATTTAAAGACTTTAACTTCAGTCATTTCTCTTTTTACTTTATTTTCTTTCATTTTTTTCTTTGAGCAACAGCCGCCGTCAGGACCTTCTTAGACTCTTTCTGCTCATGTATTTTCTGTTATGTCTGTATTATTTAATTTCCGTCAGACTGGAGTGATGTGAAAAGGCTGTGACTGGGAACAACTGTGGTGCTAAAGCAGAGAGCAGAGAATGTATCAAGGATGGGACCAAATGTCTCTTTTGTAAATCTATTTTTTAACTTTTATTGTTGGTGTTATTGCTACTTTTCTGTCTCGGTCTCGTGGTGTTTCCTGACAAACTACCTCTGAAAAGTGTTTCTTCTTGTTACTGTGAGGTCAGAAAGTCAGAGTGAGTGAGAAAAGAGAGAAAGTATAAATGACCGCCTCCAGTTTGTCTTTCTCAGAGAAGCCTCGAACACTGTCGAAAGCAACGATGTATTTTTGGATGTATTAAAATCTGTTGTACACCGAGGCCAAGTAATTTCCGCGCTGCAGTGTCCTCGCCTTAGTCTCACCAAGAGCGATGTGAAGATGTGAATGTTTACTTTTGTCTCCTGTGTCTGTGGACAGAGTGTATTTAAGCCTTTTTTAGGTAAAGTGTTTGAGAGATTTAAACTATTGTAATAAAACACAAACCATTACATTTGTCTGAGTTTATAATGTTTATAATGTGCTGCTCAAAGGTTTGAGGAGAGGTTATTTGGATGGCCCAGTTCATACACAAAACAAAGAAACTGAGTAAGAATCATAAATAACAGAACATGGAACAGAGTGAAGATGAAACCCCTGGTTTTAAAAATGTCTCCTACGTTTTAGAAAATCAAAAAAATAAATCTACAACTTTATTCTAGCAAAAGTGACAAGGACCATGTCTATAATATTTGACTATTCACACTATACCACACACACACACACACACACAGACAGTTGGTGTGGATCCTCCTGGGAGCTGCTGTAGATACATATGTCCTGATCCAGACCAACTGCTGCAGACTCTGACCTCAGGCTCGGGTCAGAACCTCTGAAGTTATTGTTCAGACACTGAGGTCAGAACCAGAAGAAACGGATCCAACGTCAATGTTCCCACGACTATTACCAGAAACCAGGGGAGAAAGAAAGTGGTAATCTGCCTTTGACTTAGAGCAAAACTGGTCTCTCTTTGGTCTCGCTCTGGTCTCTCTCTGGTCTCTCTCTCTGGTCTCTCTCTCTGGTCTCTCTCTCTGGTCTCTCTCTCTGGTCTCTCTCTCTGGTCTCTCTCTCTGGTCTCTCGCTCTCTCTGGTCTCTCTCTGGTCTCTGTTTGGACCATAGAATGGATATATTTGGACTGAACACCTGTGAGTTTGTTCTTTCATGTGACGTTATTGTCGTGTCTAAAACTTTCTCGATTTTCATTCTCGCCACACAAACACACTGTGTTTAAAACAACATGCTTTAAAGGAGCAGTATGTAAAAATCTGGCCAAAAGTGGTACTGCAGCCTCTCCCACGCTCCCTGACTCAGGTTGCCAGATATGCAGACGAATCCAGCTGGGACCATAACAGCTGAATAGACAAGAGTTTTGTCAACAACAAATCTATAGCCAACACCTTTTTATACAAAAAGGATAACATTGGTTGAATTCCATCCGACCAATCAGAGAGCACGGGAGGCGGGTGTTGTGGTGTTAGTATTAGATAGCAATATGGCCTACGTGCAGGACTGTACAAGGACTCTACAAGGACTCCATGTTATGACTATGATTTGACTGTCTCTTTGTGACACGTATGTCTTTCGATGTGTGACGTGACAATGACTAAATAAACTGTGTACTGCCTTTATTCTGTCTGAAAGAAAGAAACAAAGTAAACCAGTGGAACTTGAGAGAAACTTCCAGAGTTTGGCGCACCACGATCCGTCTCTGTCTGCTTCATCCCTGACAGTAGTTAGACGTGAGTGACGTCAAGAGTTTGTGCCGAACGGGCAGGTTGTAGTTTGGTGAATAATGTGATAGTGAAGTACTCTGGTTTGGTTCTGAAGCCGGAGCAAGAGGAATGTTTAACAAATGTAATCTGCAAAGCTGCAAAGATTGTGGCGCTACTCCCCACGGGCTCGGTTAGCGGCAAAGGAGATGGCTAGGCTAAATGCTAAAGCTAAGCTAAATGCTAAAGCTAAACTAAATGCTAACAACTCACTCGGGCTCATTACATGTCACAGTAAACTCAGATCCAATGGTTTCAATCTGCAAAAGGAGTTAACCCCTTCCACCTGTTAACGGAGTCAATGGAGCAAATCCAGACCTTAGTACCAAATGAAATTAGTACAATGGTGTGGTAAGACCAGGCTAGGAAAGAATGGTCTCCATACAAAACTCTTCTGAGATGGCTCCGTATGAAACAGAATTTGACTTTTCTCGGCAGCTGTGGTGGAATTGTCTCTTCTACAGACTACCTCAGCTCCTCGTGTCTGTGTGGGTTCCATGGGGCCGGTCCTAGACTTATTACCCATTCGGAGACAGGATTTCACACCTTGGACGAGCCGGGGCCACATTAGAGGCCGGAGGGGCCACATCAGAGGCTGGAGGTGCCACATCAGAGGCCGGAGGTGTCACACGGAGCCCACGTGTGACTGTTTCAAGTCCAGACTTCCTTCATGTCCCACAGACTCACAACAAACACTGCACGATGAGGATTATAATCAGAATATTCACATGTATTTGTACCTCGCTTTTCCTTATGCACTAGATTCAAGATTCAACTAAACTAGTTCTAAACTGTGGAAAAGTTATGAAGTTAAAACATGTCTCTACAGCGTCTGCAGAGCTTCAGACAAACTCAAACTGTTTTGTTTTGTTCAAAACTGAATATGTAAAACTACATCAAACTCATGTTTCTACCGAGACTCAGAATAATATTAATGTAATATTAAAATATACATTTTTACATTGAACCCATTTTCCAACAGTGAAACCAATGTTGTTATAATTCCTCTTTAAAAGGAATCCGTACAAAAACACACAACATCAGCTCTAACACAATCACACAAATGACAGATGCACACATCCATTTAGACTGAGCTACATTATTTTATTATATAAAGTTGCTGCATTATAAACTGTGAAACTTTGCTAAATAAAACATCACAACATAGAAACAGGTTTTTGTAAAAAGCTACACAACAACTACACACTCAGACTCAGACACATTTATATTAATAATAACGACAGGAAAAATAAGTCTAAAAGAGCTTTTTCACACCAGATATGTACATTTATAATACAAGAGTCGCTTTGGAGGCGACTCAACAGTGCTGCGTCCCCAAAACTACATTTCCACTTTATAGACTTTTTTTACTTTTTATACTTTTTATACTTTTTATACTTTTTAAGGCACGGTAGACACAAACCAGTAGCAGTAACTTATGTCCGTATTTCTGTTTTGGTGAATTTTTGAAAATAACTTAGCGGATAATAATTAAGTTTAAGCAAATTTCTGAATTATTTATTGCGGTCATAAGTTTCCACGCGGCTGGTTTGCACTTAACTGGCTTTGAAAATGTGTTTTTTTGGGGGTGGGGGGTCTGTGGGAAACTGAAGGGGTCATCTGTGAGCTGCCATCCATACACAGGATTATACTAAAGAAGAAATATTATGCATTATTTATGGCTAATAATTATTTATTATGACTGTGAGAATGAGATTATTTACAGTTTTAGTGTGAAACTTAATCTTCAGTAGATAAAATGCAGTGAAATTCATGACGGATAACAAAATGTGTTCTGCCTGTAACTCCTTATACTACCACCAGAGGGAGTTTTCACAAAGCAACCACAGCCATGCGATTTTAAACACCGTCATTTCACTTCAGAAATTGCCAAAATTAATTTATGGGAAATAGTAACAGCTAAAAAAAGTTGCATATTATTTCTCCTTTAAAAGAATTGCATTTGTTCATTTCTTTGTTTCCTTCATTTGAAAAGTGTCCGGAGTCTTTAGGATTCGAACAGTGCAACGACAAAGTCAAGAAAGTCCATCGTGGAAAGTCTCAAAACAACGAAGCTAAAGCCAAGAGAAAAGCAACAAAACTATATTATTACGTGATTGAGAAGTAGATTTTGTTCAATATCAAGAAAAGTGGAGCAGTTTCCTAAACCCCAAACTACAAAACAAACAGCGGTTGTGGCGAAGGGTTTAGAGAAAATGTCAATAAATTTAAAATCTATGTTTCCCCTTTAAAGGCACACCGCGGACTTTGTGACCTAAAGAGTTGACACATATGAGTTATTTTATATGAATACTTGGGCCAATATACAGCGCTTGACACTTGCAATGCTCCGAGCGGGGCTGCCCTCTTGAAATACCGCCCATGTAACTTTAGAGCAGACGGACCGTCTGCCACCAGGTCACGTGACTTGGAAGAAAGATATGCTTTACGGCTACAGGCGCTGATATACTCATGGAGCTAAGGCTTTTGCTACTCATTTTTCACCTGCTCGACTCCTGGTCATGGCTGAGGCAAGGAAATATTTTAAACCTTCGGAGGAGGCTAAAAAGAGGAAACGCGAAAGGGATCGTGCTGTAAGCTGCATGTCTGTATGAGCGCTGCTCTTCACCTGGTTCCTGGATGTCATCAACTGCAAAGATGTCATTCCACGCAGCACGAGCTAGACGCAGAACTCCCTCATCCAGGATATAGAAGTCCATGTGTGGTAGATTACTAATGCAGCGGTCTGGAGGCTGACCACAGCAGAGTCTCTCAATATCTGTAGGCATGTCTCTACAGTTTGAACACACACACCAGTGCATGCTGTCTGAATACACACTCAAAAGACACCGGCTGACTGTTTGTTGACTTTTGCGACAGTGCTGAGTTGCTTGTGGCCACTAGGGGCGCTAAACGTGAAAGTTGCAGGTCTAGCGCCCCTAGTGGCCAAGAGTTACACGGTGTGCCTTTAAATCTGCAGATGGTTTTTAACAATGCATTAGAATGTGATTGGTTCAAATCCAACACGGAACGTAAGTTAACCACCAAATTCACCAAAAAAGGCAGAAATGTTGGCACTTTTGAATATGTGTTGTTTTGTAACCCCACATTGGTCCACGAGTCCTCGGATGAAAGGATTTGAAAAGAATCCGTACAATATGTTTATGACGTCTGGTTTGTGACTTCTTTTTAGGACTCTCCAATTGGATCGTTTTCCCGATTTATCACTGACCTCTTCTGCAGCAGTGGTCCCAGTCTGTAGCGGTCTGTGTCCATTCTTTTGAAGAAATAACAGCAGTGATACGACGACGACAGATGTAAATGTAAAGGTCCCGGATCACTAAAGGGCCGTCCCTGAACAGAGCTGGTCTTTGTGTTTTGTTTGGTCGTGGATACTTCTCTGTCTGGAGGATCTATCGTCATCTCTAAGTCCAAAGCAGCGTCCCAACTCTTCCAGGTTTGGTGAATAACTCATGGACGTCAAACTGGTCCAGAAAGGGCAGGTGTGGCTGCAGGGTTTCATTCCAACCAATCAGGAGCACACAGACTCCGCCCACTTCCTCAGGTCTTCAGGCTCAGGACTGTACTGGGGCAGTGGGAGGTGGTCGGCTCCTGCTTGGTTGGAGTGAAGTTCTGCAACGGCTCAATCCCCCTAAGGAGCAGTTTGACACCTCTGAGAAAGATATAGATGAATGTAATTAAGAAGATTAGGGATTTCTATGGTCCACAAAGCATTATAGCTCCAAAACCTCTGTATTCAGATTGCGTTTCTCAAACTGTGGCAGAAACACATCCTAGAAATCCTCTTTTTCCTTCTGTAAATGTCGGAGGCCTTGTTTAGCCCAGGTAATGGTTGATATTGAGATATGGATGAGGTGGTGGCCGTCTGAGGGAGGAGTTGGATGAAGAAGAAAGTGGACAAAACAATTCTTCGCTGGTTCTTTGTGTTAAAATGTGAATTCTCATATATCTCATCAGTCCTGATGGTGTTCCGTCAGATCAGTGAATTTCATCCCGTGTTTAAGTCCATCAAAGTTTCCTGTCTTGTTATTTTAGTCCATCGGCTCAAGGACTCTCACCAGGGCCTCACCAGGGCCTCCACATGGACCTGGGGAAGGCCACGGTGGGCTGCACTTCCCGGCCTTCGAGGCTTTCCACCGTACTCTGGTTGTGCCCGCTGTCCGTGTCGTCCAAGTCTGAGCACAGGTCTTCGCTGGAGACGGTGGACGGAGCTGGAGACGGAGACGCCAACATGGACGAGCAAATGGAGTCTCCGCTGGTACCGTTAGCCCATGTGCTAATGCTGCTAATGCTGCTAATGCTACTGCTGCTGCTGCTGCTGATGCTGCTGCTGATGCTGCTGTTGTGAGGGTCAGAGATCAGGTCCATCACGTCCTGGAGGTGGTCTTCGTTGAGGGGCATACACTCCAGGAGGTGGTTGAGCAGCTCGGCGGCCACGGTGGCGTCGATGCCCGGGCAGTTGGACACAAACATGTGGACCTCGTGCATGCACTGGATGTAGCCGGCGGCAAAACGCTCGCTAGCTTCTCTGTTCATTCGCTCGGACTCTGTTGAAGCAGAAAGAAAAGGAGGAAGTTAATGCCACGAAGGATTTCAGAGACTGTAAAATAAACAACGACATGTCTAATGTCTAAAGTCTAATGTCTATTGTCTAATGTCTAAAGTCTGAAGTCTAAAGTCTAATGTCTAAAGTCTAAAGTCTAATGTCTAAAGTCTAATGTCTAAAGTCTAATGTCTAAATTCTAAAGTCTAATGTCTAAAGTCTAAAGTCTGTACTTAGTGCATTTGTTTTTAGTAGTAACTTTCTAATACTCACTTTTACCTGTTTTTACTCCTATGACTTGTTTGCAGCTTGAGCCAAAGCAATAACAATAGATCTGATTCTGAAGGGTTTGTCCAATCGATCTAAACACACTTTTACAGTCCACGTTGGCAAAAGGAAGCCAGGCCCTGAGAGCGATGTCTTTGAACTACACACCACTGGGAAGTTTTGCACAAACCTTTGCTTTGTGTAGGATCTGTGCTATACAGATAAACTTGGCACATCAGAATGGTTTTGGTTTGGTTTGGGCTACACACAAAGATACATTGATTTGATATTGTAGAATAAGAAAGGACACAAAAATGATCCCAGCTGACACCAAACACTGATGTCTGTCTCAGAAAAATGGGTCTCGCTGTGTCAGAAAACTTATAGTGGTAGATTTCAAACAAAAGTATATCACGCAAACTACAAGTGCCAACAGCTAAATACAAATATTTAATGTTCCAGAGCTTTCCTGGCAAACATAAAGACTCAGAAATGTATGTATATAATAAATCTCTGCATTTATGCAAACTGCACTAGAGTTATGTGTAAATACATTTGACCTTTTTCCCTTTGACTCCTTAAACTTTAACCATTTTGTACTTTTTGAGCGACTGTGCCCAAGTGGATTCTCTGCGGATCCATGAAGTTTATCTAAGTCTAAGTTTAAAACATAGACTTAGGACCAGGGTTAATCCTGAATCCGTGACTATAGGGTCCATGGGTCAGAATCTGGATCAAACTAAAGTAGGAAAGAAATATGAAATAAAATGTTGAACTGCAAACTGAGAAACAATGAAGGATCTGGTTCATGCCCCACAGTTTGAGAACCACTGTTTACACCGCAGAGTTCTACAGTCACTCTGCGGTGTAAACTATGATCACATCTACATCTGCCATAATCACAAACAAACCTTGATTTCTATTCTTCAAAATGTCCTCAACCTTCTTCACGGTGAGCTCCAACACCTCTGCGTTCTCCATCTTGGCGTGAAACTGTAAAACCCCAAAGCATTCGAACATTAACCTCACGGAACAGACACAGAAATGCAAATGAGGCTCTCTGTCCTCACGTCTGTGTCCGCCAGCAGCCCCCGCAGCTCCTGCAGACTCTCATTGATGCGTGCTCTCCTCTTCTTCTCCACCAATGGTTTCCTCACCTGCACAAACACACAGTTAATCATAATAGACAATTATTCACAATAGACAGATATTCACAATAGACAGAAATTCAGAATAGAGAGTTATTCATCAAAGACAGGCAGAGGCAGTTCTCTCTGATGCGGTCCGCACGGATTTGGTGCAGGACGAGGCGAGTCTAGCCCTCGGTGACAAGTGCCTTTAAACCCAAACAGTTCTGAATCCTGCAGAGTCTGTACCTTTCTGTCTCCTTTCTGGATTCCGAAATACGGCTCGTCCTCGTCCGTCCGGACCGGGCTCTTGCTGGGCCGGGCCGAGGGTGCCATGACGCCTTTGGTCACAGAGCTGCAGACAGAGGGAGGAGGACTGGAGGGGTGGGACGTGCTGCTGTTGTTAGTATTTATAGTGGCTTATTAACATGTGAATGGGGACAGAGGAGACAGCACGGTGCACACGGGGCAGCAGCCAATCAGAGCAGAGCGCCTTTGTTACCGCACTGAGCCTGAGGAGAGCTTTAACCGGAGCAGAGGAGCGGGGAGGGAACGCCCGCGCTCATTTTACCACAGGACACACTCTACTCACTCTGCTGACTCTACTCACTCTGCTGACTCTACTCACTCTGCTGACTCTACTCACTCTGCTGACTCTACTCACTCTGCTGACTCTACTCACTCTGCTGACTCTACTCAGTCTGCTGACTCTACTCACTCTGCTGACTCTACTCACTCTGCTGACTCTACTCAGTCTGCTCACTCTGCTCACTCTACTCACTCTGCTCACTCTACTCAATCTGCTCACTCTACTCATGTGAGATTTCATAATGCTTTGAAGCAACTTTTGTTCAAGTTAAACTCATCATTCTATCAATGTGCAGAAGCCAGTACTTTTCCCTTGTTTTGTCTATCTGAAGGCCAAGCTACATGGCACCGTGGAAGCTGCTGATTGGAGGTCTCCATGCCTCCGCTCTGTATAATACACTTGCATTCTGTGTTCGTGTTGTTCGTGCTGTCTCTACCATCGACAATAAAACATGTCTTCTGTCTGAATGAAAGACGCGATCCCAGACTGTCATCTTCTTCACTCACTCTGCTCACTCTGCTCACTCTGCTCACTCTGCTCACTCTGCTCACTCTGCTCACTCTACTCCTTCTACTCAGGCCCTGTTTATACTGAGACGCTGCGCAGACGTTTCCAGGCTATTAACAGAAACGACCTGGCTCCTAATGCAAATTTCTCAGCGTTCACATGAGGTTGAAAAACAATGTAGTTCTAGTGCCCGACCAGTAGTGGGCAGAGAAACTTTACAACACTCACACGACCCCCAGCCCCCCTCTCGGCAGTATATTCACGTCCTGTGCCAGACCCTCAGAACGCACCAGCGTCATTCTGCATTTTAACAGCAGCTGTGAAAATGGAAACTGAAACTAGAGCTTTGCGTGGTCTCGTTTGGACGAACGAAGGTGTAGAATTATCCTCTGTGCTGTGCTCGAAGCCCACGAAGCTAGTTAGTGTACCCGCCGCCATTGTTGTTTATGTTTGTTCTCCGCTACTGCGCATGTCCAAATTTACGTGCGGGGAGCAGCGGGAGGCGGGGGTCAGAGCAGAGGGGGATTTCACACCTTTTCCCCTCTCGCGGGTGTGAAAGAGAGCCCCGTGCAGCGTATCCGAGTTGTCCCACTTTGCAGGCTGGATCTGAACACTTACGTTTTGACCCCCCTGGAACACAGTCTCCGTATGAACGGTTGGTAGAAACCGACCTCCAACTATACCGTTTTACTGCCACATTGTCTCTGTGTAAACTCAGCCTCACTCTGCTCACTCTGCTCACTCTACTGACTATACTCACTCTACTCAATCTACTCACTCTGCTCACTCTACTCAATCTACTCACTCTGCTCACTCTGCTCACTCTACTCACTCTGCTCACTCTGCTCACTATACTCACTCTGCTCACTCTGCTCACTCTGCTCACTCTACTGACTATACTCACTCTACTCAATCTACTCACTCTGCTCACTCTACTCACTCTACTCACTCTGCTCACTCTGCTCACTCTACTCACTCTGCTCACTCTGCTCACTCTGCTCACTATACTCACTCTACTGACTATCAAATCGCTCTGTTTGGATGTAGATGTGGATGGTGTTGTGTCACTCTGCAGAGGCCCCCAGACTAGTCCTACGTATATGTGGGACCAACGAAACCTTAAAGGTCCATATAAAACATTTAAAAACAGACAATTCAAACAGACAAAGATACAAAAAATACAATGTTTAATATAGATTCTGTGGGGACAGTTCCTCCAATGACTCCAGAGTTCATATTGATTCCATTAGCACACATACTATTCTTGTTTCTTTATTATACAAACGTTAGAGATTGCATTGTAGTATAGAGTTATTGCTCATATCCTACAGTTCTGTCCCTGCTGATGCAACACTGAACTTTCCCGATGTGGGACTAATAATGCATTTCTTCATCTTCATCTCAATGGTTGAAATAGCAATGATGCACTGACTTTAATTTGGTTCGGCCCATTTATTATTTAGTAAAAGTGTGTTTGTTTGTCCACTTTGTCTGATGTGTCCTGGACCCAGACCTGGACCCATCTGTGTGTCTCCAGCCCTCCTACCAGAGAACGCGGTGCTCCACAGACCGACGGTGCGTGTGTAACGTGATGCCATCAGTTGGCAGCTGCTGCTGCGGCCCCTCGGCCCAAACTGAATCAGCTCCGGGGAATTAAGGGCCCTTGTCCAAAGAAAGCGACAGGTGTTGCCCTACGCCTCGTTTGTTCTGCTCGTTCTTTGACTTGTGTTTTGTGCAGAGCTGCATTCTCCCGTGTCCTGTCTGAGCCTGAGACTTCATTAAACCTGTTTCTATCATTCATATTTGATGATTTGACTCAAATGTCCACATAATCCTGAGTGCACTGTGCTCATTCACAACAGTCTGTTTGTTTGGTCCAGTAACAGCCCGGCCTCTGTCCTCGTTACGTTGTGGTCATTATTATGCAAATGAGACGTGTATTCGCGCGACAGATCCCTCAGTCCTGCGCAGGTAGTCCCCGAGTATTAGGACAAAATGTTCAGTTTTGACTTGAGTATGATTGAGCCCAGAGCCAACTTCCCCCAGCCGCCCATAGAGGCCCGTGTGGGTGTCTGTGGTGCGGCCTGGAGCGGCCTGGTGCGTGTTGGCTGCTCGCCACAGTGTGTTTAATGGTGCGCACTGTGTGGAGCAGCTGTCTCTGTCTCCTTTGTGTGCACCCCCTCTCGGCCCGGCGCCTCTCATAACGGACACAATAGCCCGGGAAAGAGCCATATGCACCAGGACAGTTATAGACCAGTGATAAATAGACTTTATTTAAATCAAATTACTTCTATTGGATCGTATCGTGGTGCGCAAAAGACCATCGAGGAAACTGTATAATTAATAGTTACTTAATGTAACTTAAGTTCTACGAATAGGTGCGTAGTCCCTTAGGACTTCGCTAGTGGGATATCACTCGTGACCCCCAGGTCACGCGCCAGAGAGATCAAAATAATTTGCTCCAATCACCAGCCACCTTCCTCTATAAATGCCCCTGCACAAGGCCGTACCCCCTCTTGAACTCTGCCAAGCCGGGCTGGCCTGATGGGCTCGTAGCTAAGGGACTACGCACCTATTCGTAGAACTTAAGTTACATTAAGTAACTATTAATTCTACGTCATGGTGCTACGTCCCTTAGGACTTCGCTAGTGGGACACAACGCGGAGGCCGTAGGAAAATGTACTCCCAGCAGGCCAGCGAAGGTGATTGGAGCTCCGCCCGAGCAAGACCCTCACAACGTGAGAGGACTCAGGGCAGAAGAAACAAGCGTGTTACGGGGCCACTCCTACCAAGGATACCCCCACGTAACACAAGCCGTAGGTCATCCGTAGTCACAGGACGCCTCTCCCAAGAGCTCCCGACGTGGACTACCAGACCGACCACACACACAAAATGTACCGCACCTGTAGGATGCCTCTCCCAAGAGCTCCTGCACCAGGGCGGAAAATAGACCGAAGGCCCCCCTCAGGGGAAGGACCCAACGGTCTAACTCAGTCCGCTGCACTCAGCACGGAATGGGCCACCGACCGGTCCGACACATCCGAAAGATAAGACCGGAAGAAAGAGGAGGACGACGCCCAAGAAGCCGCACGGCAAACGTCCTCGACCGACGCCCCCCTGAGAAGGGCCGTAGAGGCCGCCATCCCACGCGTGGAATGCGACCTGAAACCCACCGGGGGGGCCAGACCCTGCGTCTGATACGCCCGCCGCACCGCCGTGGCGACCCAATGCGCCAGCCGCTGAGCCGACAGCGAGGCGCCCCTGTTCTTGGGGCCCAGACACACAAACAGCTGATCACCCGACCTGAATGACGACGTCATGGCCAGGTAATGCCTCAGCATTCTGATAGGACACAGAAGGTGCTGCCGCTCCTCCTCGGGGGAGGCATGCGGCGGCGGGTGGAAAGCCCTAATCCTGATGACCCTCGACCTAAAGGCCGACGTGATGACCTTGGGGAGAAAAGCCGGATTGGGCCACAATTCCACCATGCCGTCGTCCTCTCCAAAGGACAGGCACGACGCATGGACGGAGAGCGCACACAAATCGCCCGCCCTCTTCGCAGACGCCAACGCCAGTAAGAGGGCCGTCTTAAAGGCGATACACTCGGGACTCGCCTCCGCCGCCGGTTCAAAAGGCGGACCCGACAGCCCCCTAAGGACCACCCTGAGGTCCCAAACCGGAGGCGTTCTCTGGAGCGGGGGCCTCCTCCTGCGCGCCCCCCGCAGAAAACGTTTAACCAACGGGTGAGAACGGGCTGTGAATCCCCCGAATCCGTCGTGACCCGAAGTAATGGCTGCCGCGAACACCGCCAAGGTAGCGACAGCCCTCCCCTTGTCGAAGAGCTCCTGTAGGAATCCCAGGACCCCCTCCAGCGGGCAACACCTGGGATCCCAGGAACGGGAATCGCACCAGACACTGAATAGCCTCCACCTCGTGGCGTAGGCCCTCACGGTGGACGGCGCCCTCGCTCCCTGAATGGTCTCCACCACCGCAGGGGGAAGACCCAGATCTACGAGGCTCCGCCTCTCAACCTCCAAACCCAGAGCCTGCGGCCGATTATCGGACGTGAAAACAGGGCTCCTGCCCCCTGGACTAGAGCCCCCGGCTCGTCCGGGAGGGCCCAGGGCTCCATCACCGCCATGCCCCTCAGGAAGGGGAACCACCGGGCATGCGGACTGTCCGGAGCCACCAGGATCACCGATCTCCTCTCCTGTTCGATCCTCCGCAGCAGGACCGGCAGGAGACGCACCGGTGGAAAAGCGTACAACAGGCCGCCTGGCCATGGGTAATGAGCCAGAGCGTCCACGCCTAAAGGCGGCTCGTCCGCGGCCCTTAAGGCGAACCAGGACGGGCACTGTGCGTTCTCTGCACTGGCGAAAAGGTCGACCACTGGACAGCCGAACCTCCGCCAGATCTCCGTAGCCACCCGTGGGGCCAGGCCCCACTCGTCCTGGAGTGGGCCCCCCCTGGACATCCTGTCGGCTCCCACGTTCCGGACCCCCGGGACGTGGCGCGCCCTGAGAGACAGGAGGTGAAGCGCCGCCCACAGCAGCGTCACCGTCGCCATGCGATGGAGAGCGGGGGACCTGGTGCCCCCCTGCCTGTTCAGATAGGAGACCACTGTGGTGTTGTCTGAGCGCACCATCACGTGTCTCCCCTGCAGCTGAGGGGCAAAGTGCAGCAGTACTCTGTGCACTGCCTCCATCTCCAGCAGGTTGATGTGAC